GGCAAGTTCCGTGAGAGCGTAGTTCGCGCGTGGCGGACGAGAGCGTTTCACTGCCACTGCTATAGGATGCCCAGTTTGCAAACCGCATATGTCGAGTCTGACAATGTTGAACGTACCAGCTCGGGTCCCAAACATCTTGCGCATGAAGACTCCAGAGCATCGTGAAACCTTCGGGTCCGGGCTTTCGGGTTCGAGAAGCGTGGCTGACTGCGTGAGACAAAAGGAGCTTATTCTGTTGGAACAAGTCGAAAAGGAGAAACCTTGGGCGTAACACAGCTTTGTCATCCAATGCGTGCTGCCGACAGCAAGGCAACCTCAATGAGGGAGAAAAGCGACGGGCGCCCACCTACTAAGTGCCCATACTCTCCACGAAGTTGGCGCGGGGCAGATTGATCAAGTACCTACTCAGAAGTCTCGTGGTTCACGGTACTGGGAGATTTTTCTGAGGATCGAGTCAGAGGTTGGCAAAACAAGAATCTGGTCGCTGGAATCCGCCGCCCATCTTCTCGAATAGGTAGCAGTCAGCTGTCAGCATAAACAGAACCCGAGAGCCGCGATCGACAGAAGAGGTGACCACTGGAGACCGAGTCCATTAAAACGACTGTCTACCGCTAAATCTCACTCATGTCGGATTTATCCCCACGCTATACAGGCCAATTACATCGTTTCCTGCTGTGTCTGGATGCTTACGTTGAGTGCCGGCCTGCAAGTCCTTGTCGAGGTGTAATTGGCCGTAAAGCGTGGGGATAAATCCGACGTGAGTGAGATTTTGCGGTATACCTAACATGCTGCAAGACACCTACCGCAGAGGTTAGGGTCAGGGTTAGTTAGTGTTAGGGTTAGCGGTTAGGGTCAGTTAGGGTTAGTTCCGGGGGTGCAGGGGGCCGGCGAGAGGCCCCCGCGTATGAATGTGAATTTGACGTTGAGAAGGACGCGGTTTTGAGCTCTGAACGTCGTGGTGTTGAACGATCATTTTGGTGGTGATTGTGAGCGCGACCTGACACCAATCTTGGCAGTTCAGCATGGTGGACCGCGCCAAGGCCGATGGATTTGTGTGGTCAGGGACAGTCGTTCAACTAGGAGACACAGTCGTTTTAACGGGCCCGCTGGAGACAGTTGGACATCCAACGGACTTGGAGGACTTCATGCTGATCGCCAGCGAGAGATCTCGATGCAATCAGGCTGGGACTTGCTGAACAGGACATAAAAGCCACGAAAACAGGACTGGAGATCTGCCAGCTTGACAATGACTTCATGTCCGGCCCGAGCAGCCTGCCTCATCTGCCAATCGACCAAGGTTGCATTCGCTTCCAACATCAGTTGAGGGAAGGTGAGAGGAAAATCTCAAAGCCGTTCGACGCCGTTGCAAGACCTGTGTGTAGATCACGCAAGGTACGGTTCAACGGAGCGAATATGAGTGGGCGTCCTTCATGTCGATTCCGTTCCGTCGTGGTGGACCAACGGCGAATCAAGAGTCGCAAAACGTGAGGAAAAAGCAAAGCGCAATAGGGTTGATGGACAGGTACCGGGCTGCCGTTAGAGGTCAGCGCTTTTGGCTTATTTGTTAGTCACTTATCTCACACGGCCGCAGAATCTGGTGGTACCCAAGATACCGCTCTAGCAACTACAAGAGACGTCAAATGTAACGTTCACATCAGTGTAAACCAAGCTCACCAAGTTGCCCGCCGCACACAATTTATGACCGTCAGAAATATCTCGAGAAACGGTTGAAGAGACGCTGATAGTGCCTGCAGATCTTTGAGTCCAACCTCTAGCTCTGGGCAACGGCCCCGCCTTGCAACGGGAAGTAAAGGTGGGGCGAGCCGCAGTGCAGGTGTCTGCCAAGAAAAAATGGCTGGATGGTTCCCGTCCTTCCGTCCATCTTCCAACTCTTTTTCAACTGATCATTAAATTCCATTGCAGCCTTTCATCAACAGCCAGCCAGTCAGCCTTTCGTCTGGAGTCCGGGATACAAACCAACCGGATGACTTGTCATCCCATTCACAACTATGCGCAGGAAACTAGATGAAGTGCTCTCGACGATGCTACCGTGACTGCATCCTCTTGCTGCGTATCGGACACCATGGCTCGGTCAACACCAGCTCATCATGGGTGTAGTCACGAGAGTTGAGACGGAACCCGTAAAAGACATGGGCCAAAAGAGCATCTCGCTTGCTATTAGAGAGTCGAATCGCCTCAAAGCCCAATGGCGACATCCAATGCCCTGCACTGCAGTGTTCAACTCACCAGCAATCACAGCTCCTCAGGTCACCTCGCATATCAGCAAGATATCATGTACCCGAGACTTCTTGACTCGGTCATTGAGTGGTGCCAACAAGAAGCGCTATACTAGAGGAACAGATGTCACTCGGTATTCACACCTCCCTCGCTCCGACATTTCAGTCAAGTTGTCAACCCATTCATCGTTGCCCACGATGTAGGTCCCCGGACCAGTCCCACTTGGCCGTTGATCCTCCTCTGGACCTCTGGTCGGAAATCAACGGTTGAGATGACGCCATGTTACTATTCGGAACTCATCTGGGAAAAGTCTTAACAACGCCGTGTACTATGTATAGGCTTCAAAGAAACCCTCTGGATAGTCCGGCAAGAGCTCGGCACGGACTACGGCTATTTGAATGGCCATCTAGACTAATGGAGACAAGTACCGGAATACTGAAGAGGGGTCAACGGGATTCTTCTCTTTGTTCCTGTCTGGATATTCGGCTAACCCAACAGGTTTTGCTTCCTATGGCCAGGTTGTGACACCTGCAGATCGCGTTGGCTGCAGCCAAAGCTCCCCCTGGGCACGAGAATCTCGAGCGAATTTCTTGGGGTCCTGCACGAACCTTCGTGTTTGCGACAAGATCATCCGCACCACAACCGTCCGAACACCCAACCCAGCCAACCAGGAACCAGTCAGGGCGGTCATTGCAGGGCGACCTGGATCTGGCGGGCGGGTGGTCAGATTTTGCAGTAGTTCCTCGCCAAGGTCAGCCACAACGCCCGGCAGCTCTTCAGAACAGAAAACTCCCGATTGCATCGCCAAATCCGGACTCCAACTCACTAGTGGGAGCTGTGATGTGCTCTTGACAGTCGCCGCGCATGGATTTGCAGCTTGACGCAGTCGAAAAAGCAAGCGTCCTGCCATGCGATCAGCAGGAGTACATACGGAAGCAAGGGAAACCTCTGTTGTCTAAACCACCAGCCAGTGTTGTCCTACCCTTCACGAGAAACATCTTGACAGTCAACAACGGGCTTATTTTTCGAGAACCATAGCAGCTATAGCAGAGCGTCCAATGCTGGAGAAGCCATGAACAGACAGAGAAACCCAAAGGTCTGCCATGTTTTTTTAACGTCATCTCACAGCCGCAACGACATCATTTGCAGGGGTTCTGATCGCTCTGAGCCAGGGGCCCAGGGAGGGTCAATCCCACCCTACGACTTTCAAACCGTAACGCGGGGGAACACGAGAAAGTTCTTGGCTCGCTGATTAGTCCAACCTACAGTGGGTAACATAAAAAAACGCCCAATTGTTTTTTCCCCCGCAAAAACGGCCAAAACTCACCACTTTGATACAGTAAGAAACCAACCAATTCGAAAGATATTAATAAGATTACAAAGGTACAGATAGTTCTTTACTCGTCAAAGGTGGCTAAGAAGGTTGTCTTTTGTTCCAACCTTAACTGCACGTCATAATTGGTTACGAACTCGAACTTCAATACGGATTCAAATTTCAGTCCACTAAGACACGCTATAAGCCCACTATAACTTTTTCGCCTACTCAACTCCAACTTTGCACCTTGATTGCACAACTACGAATGATGCAAAGGAAATAAAACTCCTACCGATCTGATTTAATGTTATTTCTCTATTATCGCTAATAGTGCATTGGTTATTGAGTTTTATTGAGAGGTTGGAATCTCGGAGTGATGAAGTTGAGTTTTGGCCTTTTTTGCGGGGAAAAAAACAATTGGGCGTTTATTTGTGAGAGGGACTGTACGATGTGGCTTATGCCACTCCCGGTTCTCAAGCCCGGTGATACCCTTCGACTGACCATGTACAGTTGACTTTCGAGTGTCTCTGTAAGCCCAGATATCGTGTTCGACATTCTCCTCACAATGCTAGGCAACGCCACACGAAAACTCTGATATCTAGCCCCCGTGTCCATGGACCGATAAATGTTGTTGGAACAAAGCAACCAGAAGGGATGACCAACAAGCTCGCCCCTACCGAATTTGGATGGTGAGGCTACCTCGAGGGATAAGGCTATGGTCAGGGGTGTAAACATCCACAGGCACACTTGCCAGCAAGCTGGACTCTGGATCGGCGCTATCTGACTGTGCGTACCAGGGAGGTTGTCACCCCGGATGTGAAGGCCTCTCACAACAAGGCTCCATCATCCGGAAGTAAAGATACATTGCAACACAACATAACTACAGACCGCACATATTGTATGGCCAACCAAAAATCAGCCGGATCCAGCAACTGTCTCCGTCTATCCTTGATGGAGCTCTCCCTGTTACCTAGCTTACACGGCTTGGTGGCTGCCCAACCTCGCGGCCCTTCTCTGGATTTCCTGCGGACCCATCCTTTGCTTCCCGTTGTTGCAACGCCGTCACCAAGGGCCCATCCCTCTCGGTTTTTGGGTACCCTGCAGTCCAAGTAAGATGGCAGCCAACCATGTCATTACAAACATATCCACCTCTTCTGTTGGGTTCTCTGCCTACCTCTACCAGGCTACAGGGCCCTGGTGGTTTTCCTGTCCCTCTGCTCCCGTCTTGCACATGTATAACAAGCCACCATCCCGTTCTTACTGCAGGTCTCTGTCCTTCTTTCTTTTTCCCAGCCCTCTCGGTCAAGCATCTCCCAGCCAACCTGTTCAAGTGACTCCTTCGCTAAGGTTACTTAAGCCTCTCGCTTCCTCAACTTATCCTCACGATATCTGAACATATCAGACTCTCGTTACATACCTTATACATCAGCAACCCTTAATCAACAAGATGAAGGCCGCTCTATCCCTCGTTGCCTTGGCCTCCTCGGCCCTTGGAGCCAACATCCCCAGAGGTTGGGGTCATGGTGGTGATCACGTTAGCTATACTACTGAGGTGATTGTTACTTACACAACTGTATGTGGATCTCCTGTTCTTTTTTCTATCTCAAGAATCCTCGATGCTAACAAAGTTAGGTCTGCCCGGAGACCACCACGATCACCAAGGGTGGTGAGACTATCACCAAGACCTACACTACCACCAGCACTGTGGAGACCAAGGTTCCTACCGTCATCACCGTTACCGATGTTGCTCCCCCAGTAACCAAGACGGATGAAGCCGGTATGTGTCTGACTTGACCGCCCAAGTTTGAAATCACTTGCTTACCAAGAAAATAGTCGTCTACACCACTATCACTGAGCTATGCCCCGTCACTGAGACCAAGGTAGTAGGCGGCTCTACCGTTGAGGTTGTCTGGACGTCCACCTCCACCCTTTATACCAAGGTCCCTCATACCGAGACTGTCTACACCACCTCAGTCGCAACTGAGTACGAGACGACCATCACCACCGTCTCCAAGGGCGAGACCGTCTACATCACCAAGACCGACACCATCACCACTGCCGTCACAGAGGTGCACACCTACTCCACCATGATCCCTCAGACCATCACCAAGGCTGTCGATGTCACCATCCCTATCACCAAGAGCGCGGGTGTCACTGAGACCAAGTACTCAACCGTCGTCGTCTCTGCGAACAACACCATCTACACTCCCATCGCTCCTCCCCCGACCACCGTCATCCTCCCCACCACCTCGACCGTGGGATCTTCGCCCATCGGCTCGACCAGCGCTGCTGCCCCTGCTGTACCGGGCGCCGCCAACGTCGTCATGCAGAAGAGCCCTGTCGTTGCCCTTATTGCTGGTCTTTTTGGCGCTATTGCTCTTCTCTAGACTAGACGAGTTTAGTCTTGGAAGATGGGATGGGAAAACGGTTAATGATACAAACGACGCTCCTTTATGATGATACCCTTCTATTCATATAATGCACGGGGATACGATTTCACGTCCAGCATTTTACATTTTTGGGGAAAAGGCAATAGCGGGAGGATACCTCTTGGCTTTTGATGATATGCGAGGAGCTATGGATGGAGGAGTTAGGGGGAAATGTTTACATGATTGAATTCACGGCCAGGTCACTATCGAATCGGACTCTCCTGAAAGACAAGAGAAAAAGGGTGGCTGGCGGGCTGCGAGAAGGATATAATGAAGATACCATACCATTCGAATGTACATATAAATTAGAATCCCTCTCCGGGGTTTATTTTGGAGATGGTAATTGAATGAGGATACCAAACTATCTGTTGTCGTCTTCCTTCCTTCCCTCATCATACCTCTGCATTAAGCATCCGAATTTATCTATCGCCAACTCGAGTCAACTTGACTACAATCCCAACAACAAATCCGCATGTTCGGTAAAAGTGAGACATTTATAAGCTAAACTTAACATAAAAGCAAACGTGAATCAACATGAAATCAGGTACCTGCGCAAGAGGACATGAGCACGGCCGTTTGATCCCAATGTGTCCTGGCGGTAGGTGCTCGGGACTTGGGAGATGTTGGAAATACTAAACCAACCCACAAACTCCTCCTCCTCACATTTCATTCATTCCACAAACTTGGACGTCATCCCGTCCAGGGCAGTCAATTAAAGTGCATGTACCCGGGCCGTGCCTTCCTTCATTCAAACAGTGATAGTCAATTCTTTGGGATTGAAATTTCTGCTTGTTGAGTTCAGCGAGGAGGGAGCGATGGTTGTCGGTTCGAGCTGGAAGACTTTCCATCTTTGTGCCTGCTACATTTTGGGGGTTTGGATTTTACTAGGCCACCACATCGGAAAATAAAAAGATTCAACTACAAACTTTTTGTGCATCGATGTCGATATTTTTTCACGCCTCCAGGAGTCACTCGGATATATATCCCCTGTACACTGACCTAGTCTACCTACCATCTGGCCCATCAACAAGATCCTATGTAGCAACAAAATGAAGTGGCCAACAACCCTCTCAACACTCCTCACCATACTTCTAACCTACTGGCCTCCTCCCACCGCTCGCGCCATGCCCACGTATTCCCACTCCGACAAGACCGACGATACCCTGCAAGCGAGAACTCTCGGCGGCGTTAGTAGATCTTTCTCTTTGGCCCTGTTTGATAACATGCATATCTGACATTGAAAAACATCTAGATCCTCATCTGCAACGGCCCCAACGCCTCGCAAGCATGTGCCTATAACGTCTACGAAATGGAGACTTGTTACAACCTGCCGGAACAGTTCTTTCGGAATGCGAGCACGTTTGCGCTGGATGAGGGGGGTTGGTATTGTTATCCTTATATGTGAGTGATGTTTCCTGGTTCGGTTGCCGTTGTTGCGTTGTTTTGTCTCCGTGTGCATCTTGGGGATGTTGTGTTGTGGTAGATCTTGAGCACTACTGAGAAATGTGCGAGAGATGTATACAAAGCTTATGAGCCATCCAAGCACATCATTCTTGATCTCCCCTCGTTAAATCTTTCGAGAATCATTGAAGATCATATCACAAAACACTCAACTACCACCCATCATTGCAATCCGAACTAGACTAGTCACCTTCTTCCCAAGGTCGAATGGTACACGACAATTCCATTGCCTGCCATCTACCCATCCCCATCGATTGCCGAATACGTCCTTGTAATACAGCATCACATATACGATCTGCATAAGTACATACTAACCTCGAGCTTGAACCCGATCGGTCAACAGCATGTCTTGCGGAGAAATCTGCACCTCACCCGAAGGCTGTACTCTCGGCGGCGTGTCGTCCCAGTACGAGCACAAGTTCAACCTCAGCGCGGTGGGATGGGACCATTATATCTCTTCGTTTGAGTGTCACTTGGGCGTTGCTCCGTCTGTACCGTAGTTGTCCACCCCATGCATGGGTAGAGCCCGGACTTGGGTGATGAGGTTCCATAACTGGCACGAAGGAAATGGGAAGAAATTGATGATTGACAATTGTTGAACATCCCTTTGGCGAGTCGAGCAGTGGTGTGGTGGAAGATGTGTGGTATTCTCGCCAAAGGAAACAAGATACCACCCAACAGGTATTTGTGAATCGTGATTTCGAGACGTACATTTGTTTCCGCCATCTTCTCGGCCTATCAACCACCGCTCCCATGGAGAGCTGTTCTTTGCTGTTTCACATATCGAATACACACCGGACATAGCAAATGTTCGAAAACCGAAAGAGGCAGGACTGTTGTGAAGGATATACAGTCCAATACTGGTTTGTTTGTTAGCTCGAGACCTCTGGTCAACTTTCCTAGGCGTTTATATATCTAATTGATCCGTTTCGTTCCATAACCAAAGCGTGATCTTACCTTGCATATACTATTTTGGAAATTTGATATGCCATATTGAATCTTGTGAATGCCTTTCCGACCCGTACCTAGCCATTCATTTTATCTCCTTGTGAGGTTTGGGACAATTCGGGATAGATCTCGTCCAGTATACCAGGAGTACCAAGCTAACAAACAAACCAGTATTGGACTGTAGATGTTCGGGTTAGGGTCGGCAATTCGGAGACATGCCCCCATTTACCCACTGCGCCCCATGTCTCTTGGCAACCAATTCCATGCACAGATGACGGTGTTTACCCCGCCTAGTGAGCTTCAGGTGGGGTAGGTACCTTGACAGCTTTACTAATTGACTTTCGGAATGATGAAGCCGATATAGTGTCAAGATAGGCTTTATTCCCAAGCGGGGTGTGACCTGATTAGTCTTTCATATTTTAGTTTTATCATGATAACAGCCGGACGTTTCCTTCATAACTGTTCAAAGAGGGACTTGTCATCTTTGCTCTTTCCACTCTTCAAAAGTCAAGCTCGCCGCCAACTGAGCAGCTTCAAGTCGTCGAGTCCTAGTCCCTTCGTCATCACCTTTCCTCGCTGTTATCACTCAACAACATCAGCGACACCATCAAAAACACACAACATCACAACAACCAGACAAAAGTCAACAACCGCCAAAATGGGTCTCACAGTCAAAGCAACCATCGCCTCCTTCGGCGGCAAGCTCTTCAAGCTCTCCCACCCCTCCACCTCCACCGGCACCGACATGGCCGTGAACCTGTACCTCCCTCCCCAAGCCCTCAAGTCTTCCACCAAAGTCCCGGTCCTGATCTACCTCTCCGGCCTAACCTGCACCCCCGAGAACTGTTCCGAAAAGGGTTTCTTCCAGCACGGCGCCTCCAAGCGCGGCGTCGCAATCGTCTACCCTGACACTTCCCCGCGCGGACTCAACCTCCCCGGCGAGAAGGACTCGTGGGATTTCGGCGAAGGGGCCGGGTTTTACGTCGACGCCACGCAAGAGCCTTTCAGCAAGGGGTACAAGATGGACACGTACATCACGCGCGAGCTTCCGTCTGTTTTGTTTGGGGCAGACTCCGAATTTGGCAAGTACTTGGATGCCGAGCGGGTCAGCATCACGGGCCATAGCATGGGCGGCCACGGCGCGTTGAGTTTGTACCTCAAGAACCCGGGCATGTACAAGAGCGTCAGCGCCTTTGCGCCGATTGCGAACCCGTGTGAGTGTGCGTGGGGCAAGAAGGCGTTTGGGGGCTATCTTGGTGAGGAGAACAAGGAGGAGTGGAAGAAGCATGATGCGACGGAGTTGATCAAGGGGGAGAAGTGGAGGGGACACAAGGATGCGAGGGTGCTGGTTGATGTCGGCACCGCGGATAACTTTTATAAGCAGGGGCAGTTGTTGCCGGAGAACTTTGAGAAGGCGGTTAAGGAGGCGGGCGTGGAGGGGGTGACGGTTAGGTACCAGGAGGTGAGTTTTGATGATCTTTGGGGGTGATGCTTGCGGTAAGCTGTGGAAAGAAAATGGCTGACAAGAGTGAACAGGACTACGACCACTCGTACTACTTCATGGCATCTTTCAGCGATGAGCACGTTGACCATGCGGCCAAGTACCTGGGAATTCTCTGAACGAAACGGTTAAACGGAGTTCTATGATAGAACCGCCCCGTCCAGGAATTGAAATGCCTGCTATATATGCCACGGAAATGCCAGCAAACATTGAAGTAATGATCAAGAGAGACTCCCCGGCTGCACGGATTGCTCCTGCTCGCTGTCCATGTACAATTACTCATCCTCCTGCCCCAACTTAACATCAAATAGGTATCATACATAATGACCTTTATCCCTCCCGGCTAATCCTCCTCATAGGGTCTTCACTTGACCCTGGCATTATCGTCAACCCCTGCATCCCAGCTTGAGCCTCAGCCATCTGGACCTCCTTCTTGATCCTATCGTATGCCAGCTTCTCAAACCGACTGAGACCTCTCCACCAATGTTGGCCTGCCTCATGCTGCGAGATCCTCTCCAGCAAATCCGCTGTCTTCACCCTGACTTCTCTGTCCTTATGGAAAAGCCCAAGGGCAATGTAGAACAAGCCGGCGTGTGCCTCGGGGGCGACACTGAGGAGCAAGCAGATTTCGTCGTAGTTGCGGACGTACTTGGCAAACGTCAGGTAAATATCGCGGCTCTGCATAGCCGTTAAGCGTTGCGTGCGCAGTCGATCGTGCATGTGATGGAGATCCAGGCCTTTGAGCGGACGGACCGTGTATAGCTGAGCGACGTCCTTGTGAAAACAGTTAGCATGCTTGGATGTTCGTTACCATCAATTCCCCCTCGCCTTGCAATGAATGACTCGACTCTGGAGAATGTGACGACGCGCAAACTAGGAAACTTAGGCAAACTCAACCCTGAACTGAAATAGGAATGAAAGGGGCGAGAAAAGGTGACCGCGAACCTGGATAAAGCTGTAGTAACTCCTAGTATTCCTCCAGCCTTCTATCCTCGTGACGTTCCCTGCTAGCTCCTTGCTCTTTTTCTCGTCGTCGGCCCACACGTAGCCGTGCCCCGTAGAGTTGGTCGTGTGCGGGTAGTTGTCGTGCTCATCACTGCCGATGTAGAGAGCGCTGGCGCCGTATACGCTTTCCTCGAAGGCAGCGGCAACGCGTGTGAACTTGAGAACCCAATCCCGCCACTTGGCACGAATCACACGCTCCCCAGCTCTCGTGGCTATGCTCTTTAACATGTCAGCCATGAAGGCCTGATCCCCTGTCAAGTCTGCTGCACTGCTTGAGTGACTCTGGTGTACGAGTGAAGCACAGGATGGATTCTGCTGCTGGAAGTAGACGAGGCCCTCCGTAATTGCAGGCTGCTCGATTCTACTACTGATCTTGATTCTCCCACTGGGCAAATCACACAAGATATCCCACCACTCAGGATGATGTTCGAATGTCGGATTAGTGACACCAGCAATGAAGCCAGGAACTCGTAAAAGGTCGTCGACCTTGGTCAAATCCGTATAGGGAAAGGCGTGGCGGGTAAACCCTCTAAGAATACCGCCAGATGCAAGCGCGCAGGCGGCGAGGACCGCTTCGGCAACCTCGCCGGATGGCATGTTGTGGCCTAGGAAGATGACTCGCTTTTGGGTAAGCAGACCGTTGACCAGCACTATTATGGGGTGTGTGTTGGGGCCGTTCGTGGTCAGGTGGGCATGCAGAGGAAAGGGATGTGGTGATTTCGCATGTGGTTCCGAGAAGTTTTGTATGAGTTTGATCAGGGAAAAATCCCCAACAGTCTCCGGCATAATCGCCGTTGGCACCTTGATCGGGATAGGGATGCCCTTATACATAACCCTGCTCTCGAACTCGTGAGTGTCGCGAGGTACTGCGTATGTTGACTGTCCCACGAGGTGCGCTTTCGTCCCATGTCGGAAGATGCCAGGCCTTCTAGGCGGACTCCTGCTGGCATCAAACGGCTGGTCAGCAAGGCCATCTCGATCTCCTGAAATCCGCATTTGAATCATTTGTTCAAACTTTTCAACGAAAAGGTCCTTGTTATTGCTCATTTGTAGCAAATGCCTCTCCAGGAGGCTTAGCTTGGGCATGAGCGACAGGTCCATCTCGTTGACCGCATCGAACAGCATGGACAGTGTCTCTGGAACAGGAGACTTAAAGTATTCTTCCAAAGCCAATAATAAAAGGGGCTAAAAGACAAGTTAGCGCTTGGCCGAGTGAGAGCTGCGTGTAGGGCGGAAATACCTTGTATATATGAAGAAACGGATGCCGGGTGCAGATGGCCATGGCCTTTACCACTGCACCTCTCTTGACCGTTTTGTCGTGTTTTGTGTTGACAAGGTTGAGAACGTATACTAACGGAGGTCCCTCGCCACCTTCAGGCTCGTCGTCGTCGGTGGACTCATCGTCATCCCAATCATCGTCGTCCAGGTCGTCGTCTTCGTCGTCCGACTCATGTATGATACCCTGTTCGCGATCCAGTCTGCGTTTCCTCCGTCGACGCCTCTCCTCCTTTGCCTGACGTTCTGCCTCGTCTTCCTCGCGGCTAGAATCCTTGTGCAAAAAGAATATGGTCCAATCTTGATTTCGTGCGTGGGCCTGGTCTGGAAGCATGAGCTCAGCTAACATGTGCTCATCCCCGGTAATAGCGACTGGATATTGATGCTCCATGACCGGACCACGGTCGATGTCGAAGGAAGCGACCAAGATGTACTCGACATGGTTTTCGGTGCTCCCACGGGGGTACTGCGAGCGCAACTTGCGGCGAGGATGGCCAATGGCGTTGTTGTACTGACGAGTGACGCCGGCGGCAGAGAGCGAGCTATGTTGCGAGGAGAAGCCGGTACCAGTGGAGGCAGTCTTGCCTTTGGAGCTTTGGTTGGAGGTTCGATCAGGTTCGGCGTGAGGCGGCTGCGGGGAGCGCGCTGGGCCATGATGCGACATTTGAGATACCGATCGCGATTGGGGCGGAAAGGAAGACAGAGACGGTTTTCGATCGTGAGCTGTTCCAGTCGCTCCGTGACTGTTGTTTCGTGAAAACGAAGGCCGCGCCGGCTGAGGAGATGCCATGCTTTACTTTGTCCGTCTGCTTTGCGGCAGATGGTAGCTTATGTGAAACGAGGTCCTATACGCTGTGCTACCAGATATCCGATACCTGTCCGTCGTTGGACCACCCGTGATCCGAGGTAGATAAATGTAGTCGATTGCGCCGGTCGCTGTTTCGGGATGATGTCCCTTGGGTAACACCGGCCGAGTCAAGGTCGTGGTCCTAATCGTATCGACCAGCTTCGATATTCTGGCAAATATTACACGCAGTCCAATCTCGTGGGGTATTTGATGTTGTCTGGCGATCGCGGCTCGGATAGGCTGTCGGGTCAAATGTTGTTTTCTGTGGGTTCCCAACACGGGGGAAAGATGCGCCTTCGTGGTTGTGGCAGCTGGCGGTAAGTACAGGTAAAGGTACTCGAGGTGAAACTCGAAGGATGATGGCCGACAAGACGAAGGGGCATAAGAGCCCAATGGTCTTAGCTCGAAGCTGAGTCTCCGAAGGAACTACCTGGTAGTAATTAGATGAAGATGGAGGCCAGGAAGGTGTGCAGCCCAACGGTGGTGGAGATTCAGGGACCTGCATTCAAACGACCCCAGCATCGACATTTTTGGTGGAGTGCGGGCGGGAGCGATTCGGCCGTCCATTTACTTCATATGATACCGTACACCGGCATCTCAGGTATCTGAATCTTACCAAAACGGCTTCTGTATGATACATTGCTTAGATGATAACAACATACGAGCCCGGGCACTACATGATACCTTCATCCCTAGTCTAGCCAGCGAACGCCGTACGTACAACCTACCTACATAACTTCTTTGTTAAGAGGCCACCCCTGTAGTCATTCCGAACGGCTTCTCCTGACAGGGGGCCGCATCTCTGCAACCTGAACCGCTGATGGTGGAGGTCACTGGAGGAGGGGTTCAGGGGTTTTATGGCCTGGCCCCTGTTGCAGTTGCTGTTCACTGCTTTCTACCGCCTGCATCAAATAAAGTTGAAGGCTTAAATACACGCCCGAGCCAATCAGAGCTTCGAATCATGGACCCCGCCAAGGCTCAGCTGCCGGAGTCCTGAACAACCTCAAAGCGCACCGAACAACCGCGCTGTAGCACGGGACGCACCAGCCATTTTAAGATCCAAGTGCTGCCGCTTTCCCTGGTGTCTGGTCGCTTTTGTTTACTTTCAACTCCACTCTTCTTCCATCGTCGCCGGTTGTAAACCGAACTCTGATTGACATCGCGAACCAGCCCATTGCTTCACTTGGTAACACCAGAAGCTCTCCTAGACTCGCATAGCTGGACAGAAGCAAACATTCATCTACCTGGCACGCTCAGTGTCTATTTGGCAAGCAGCCATCACCAAGAGGAAATCCGGGGGATCGTACAGTACAGGGCGCATTCGTTCGTCCATCATCCGCCAGCCCAGCAAGACAGTCCCCGGCTGCTGTCAATTACGACCTACGTCACTTTATATAAGTGGGAACCAGAGCCATGGTGCGCGATGTCCCGTCAAAGAGTCCAATGCACGATTTCCAGAGTCCAATCGCTAACCCCGTCCCGTCTCGCGTGTCATCGTAACAGGCGACGCCAACAACAGGGCCGTACAAACCATCCCCACTGGGATCGTACGCCTCCCCAATGGGATTGGGCTCCCTTGGTGCCCCAACTGCCACCAGGAATTCCCCATTCCAACGCAGAGCTGTGTCCCCAGTGTCCCCGTCCCCACTCCGACAAGCAGCGACATCTCCATTGGCGACACCGCCTGTCAAGCAACAGCAACAATCGGGTCTGCCAGGGGGAGCCAGTGTAAGCGAGTTGACGTCTCGGTTCGCCAATAACATTGCCAGCAGCAGCGGCCCGCCGACCACGCCCGGAGCTGGACTTGGAGGAGCTGGACCTGGACTTGAAGCTACACCGACCAGCCAGACCCAGTCCCAGGCCAGCTGGACACCTAGAGCTTCGGCATCGGCACCGACCGTAGTCAACCCGCCGCCGCCTAACCCAATGTTTCTTAACGGCGACGCGCCGCCGCCGCGGCCTCCCCAGCATCGCATTTCCCCCTTGCCTTCGCCCTCGATACCACGAACGACTACCTCCGCCTCTACCATGAGCATGGGAACCGGAGGCAATGCCATGTCCCAGCTGCAGCCCTCGCAGGTACGCACCCTGCGGGAGGGCTTCCAGATCCTGGACCGCGACAGCGACGGTGTGGTGGTCAGGGAGGATGTCATCGACATGCTGAACCAACTGGGTACGTTAGGTTCCTAGACTACCTCTTGTCTATCTACTCCTTACCTTCTCTGATATCTCAACTAACACCTGAACATCTAGGTCTACCCAACAACGCCTCCGACGTCTCCCAATTCTTCCCTCCCAACGGCCCCCAATCCATGACCATGGCCGTCTTCCTCAACTCCATCGCCACCGCTCTCTCCAGCCTCTCTCCCAGCGGCGAGCTTCTTTCCGCCTTCTCAGCCTTTGACGACGACGACAGCGGCCAGATCGACGTGGCCGAACTGCGAGACGCTCTGCTCAACACGGCGCCCGAACCAGGCGAGAGGCCGCTAACGTCGCTCGAAGTCGACAAGGTCATGGCCGGATTCACGGGTCGCAGGGCGTTTGCGCAGAACAACCAGAGGACGACTGGACTGGGAGGAGTAGGCGGGGGAGGCGCGAACAAGCGTGGGGAGGTGTTCAGATACCAGGAGTTTGTCAAGATGATTCAGGGGACGGGGAATGGTGGTGAGCAGGGTTCCGAGGACTCGGGACGTAGTTGAATGATGAATCAGGAGGGAGAACGTGGTGTCAAGACTACCGTGATAATGGGATGATGGATGGAAGGCTAGCGCGATGGGATATCAAAAAGGGATACGGAACCGGGAAACTGTAATTACACCGGGTGATGGGTGATTATGATGACGACGATGACGATGGGCTAATAAGTCTGGTTTATTATTGCGGGCTGGGCTTTGTAATAGTGGGTTTGATGATATTGTAGTTTAGAATTAGGACAGGCAGGCAGGCAGGCAGGCAGGTTGCATCGGCGTTGTCGAGTCGGGTAATGGATATCACTTTGAACCTTGGATTGTTAAATGGGAATCCCCAAAAGAGGTTGCGTTGCAACCGTACAGCGTGGTTGATTGACCTCGGCTGCAGAACTTGATCTCGATGCCGCTGTCTTCGGGATGGTCTGCCGATGGATGTTAGTGTGAGCAACGTGGAGAGAGTCCAACGAAGGAATGTTGCTTGGCACAGAAGAAGTTGGTTGGTTGGGTCATTTTAAAAGATGGTGGGAATAGGACAGACAATTTGATGAAGCATTCGGTTATCAGCCTTGTAACCCTACACTTGGGCGGCATGTCATTTTTTGTACGAGTCAAACAAGGTGTTGGTTGTTAGGTGACCCCATAGAACCTTCGAGAAGGACTTTTCAATGTGATGTTTCCTTTAGCCTACCCTGTCTCCCTGTTTAACACATAGGTTTCTCTCTTGGAATTGCTCATTCATTAAACGAGGGGTGACAGTGACAGTGACAGGGTGAAGAGCTAGGACTAGTGTTCGGGCGAGGCCAGCCAGCTGGCCTCATCCCTTCCCAGCGGGTGCAAGGCTGGATCCTGGGTTGAGCCCGCGCAGAGCTGGATTTTGGGATGGATTGTAGTTGGAAAGTAAATAAAGAAACCTTTACCCTCAAATGAAAGTCCAAATGGAGGTGCAAATGGAGGTAGTGTTCGGGGCGGCAGGAAACCTGCCGCGGCCCTTCCCAGAGCGAACGCGAACGCGAAGTTTGGGGACGGAGAGTGCACTAACAGAAAAAGCGCGAAATTTAGTTAGCACTAACAATTCTTTTGCGGGTGAAAAGTGCACTTTCGGGCCGTGCGTTATGATTTGGATAGTGCGTGCGCGGTTTTGTATGGGGACCGCCCGCGAAAAGCACTAACACCCTACCCGGATTTTTTAGCGTCCGGTGAGCTGTAAGGATAGAGAGAAGCTAGGGGGCACTTGTCCGTAGTCTCCGTACTCCGTACAGTAGCCACGCTACATATGTGGTCAGGTAAGCTCAGCCCTTTTCAGCCCTTTTTAAGCACACTTCACCTTTTTATGAGTGATCATATTGGACAACAACGACATATGTACCCAGACAGACGAAAAAAGGGATTGCACAGCGGGTGAGCGGCGGTTGGGCAAAGCCACTCATACACCCGGGCGGGCAACGGATGCACCCGTGGGCCGGGCTGTGTTATCCGCTTCCCGTTTTTTTGTTTAAACATCGACCGGGCAGGCAGGGCAATTTGATGTTCAGATTCGATATCCAAAATGTCTTGCAACCCTCCAATATCTTCTTCCCTTGCTGTTGTGATTCCCGTTGAAGTGTCTCGATCTTGATTTAACCACAGTCTCGTCAGGAGAAGACCGAAGTGTTGGTTGGAAGATATGTATATCTCCAGAGTATCATCTTGCTTGGCAGGATGGGTGGTCGAAGGTTTTCGAGAAAAAAAATTCGGGGCCGGAGAGACAAGTTGACATCCCCGAGTGGAACTGAAAGCCCCAATGAAGACAAAGGCCGGTTCGATGCAGGATTTACATAGTCGTACCCAAACAAACCAACGCTGTCAAAGCTATTGGTTGGGCAACAATGCTGCCGCTGTCAAGCCATCATAGCCCTCTTTTTAGTGTAGTGCTGGTTCAGTTCCCAACAGCCGGGCCGTGATGCGGGGGCCGGGGATGATATGTGATGTCCGGCATGGCTGCTCTCGTGGTGACATGGTGACATGGTGAACCGATTTGATCGGTTCTGAAGACTCTGAGAAGTTTGGATCCCTACCAGTTAGCCATCAATAATCTCAGCTTCAACAATGTTCTTCGTCAAGTGTTAACTGCTTAGTGAAGTGTCAGTGAGAATCTTGAACACATTCAGAAGCACGAGTAGAACGTTGGATATGGTCCCAGGATGATCCCGTTCCCAACCTTTCCCAACAAGGTCGAAGCAACCTGCAGCGTGGCGTTGATATTGCTTGGGTCGCTTGTACCTATGACTACCGACCAATGCTACCTTTGTGAATTCATACACTGCCATCCAGTTGGTGTCTCTTGAGGTGTCTGGGGTTTAAATTTTTCTTTCTTTCGCCCTCATCGTTGAATAGCTCGTAACGGATGACTGTTAGTCCATGTAAGGAAGGGTGTAAGCGGGACCCCCCAGCCAACTGATATTCCTCCGAATCGCAATGATTTGTCTGCGGAAGCCGAGAAAATCGTCCTAAACCCTTCCAATATTTTTATAGCGTCGGATGTGATGGGATGGATCGACCGTGCCTAGCTTCCGTTGCTGCCTTTCGTTGGCTTCTCTTTTCCCTCTTGTGTCGAAACTGACGCCTGTCTCGTCTTGTTGAATCTGTTCATCCAGTGTGCTTTGTGTGTCATTTGCATCAATCGTCCCATGTCGTCCCGCTTTCATCTCCATCCCAACCTCCTCGAAACCGCGGATTTTTTCGCAAGCTTCTCCGTTCCAATTCGACATAACGAACGCTACCTCTTCGCCGCACATAAAAGACACCAGAGATTCACGGCCAGGATCCCGGGCAAACGATTGCTTGCTTCCCGCACGCGGTTTCCATCACCCTGACCTAATTTGACGTGGCCTAGGTTATACTCGGGATCTCCTGTTCCATAGTGAAAAGAAGTGGAAGGTTTTATAGGCGCTGAACTTCTATGATCTCCCCACAGTTCACAGTCACCCCCCTACTAGTAGACGGAAGACCGTGAATATCAAGGTCCCGAGTTCCCACTTCTGACTCGGATACGCACAAGTACTTGGCACAGATAGTCGCAGGGTACCAGCACAGGAAGTCCCCACCAATTTTTGCCTGGATGCGGATGCCGCGATACAAGATCCGGGTCTGGTTGGAAGTCACCGCTCGCTCGGCACGCACACTGGGAAACTTTACATTTTGGCGGCCCCAGCCCGCATTGCCATCCGGCGACCTTAACAAACCATCGGCATCCCGGTGTCAGGAAAACGCCCTTTTGCAACGGTTTGCGGTCCGGAAATTGGGGACAGAGCAGTCCGGCAGTCTCAATGAGGTTTTTCGGCAAAAAATCGTCCAAGAGCTCCATCTCCACGGACAGAGTGGACGCAGACACGCGCGCCGAACGTTACGAGTCGACGCAGCCTTCTGGCGCTTCAGGTCCAGGAAGTCCCTACTCACAGTCGCCGCCGCCGCCGCCTCCAAAGAGTCCAAAGCCGCCCGCGCAGACGCAGCACACGCAGCAGCCGCCGACGCCGCAGCACACGCACACGCAGCAACACCGATTGTCCCCCACCAAACCCGTGTTTTCGTTCCCCTCGGGCACCCGCTCGCCGTCCGCCAAAAAAACTCACAGGTCGGAGAGTCAACCACGCCGGGACCATTCTCCCCCGCCACCACCTCCGCACCACAATCTTCCCTCAACACCACCTCCGTCGGGCTCAACTTCTAGATCTGCGAGTGCGCGCGATCCCACAAAATACTCGTCGTCGTCGTCGTCGCATCAGCCGCGCTCCTCGACCAGTTCCCGCAGCAGTTTCGGCCGCCACCCAGTCGATCCCGCCGCTGCGTCTGACAGCCGTTCCAGGTCAACTTCCTTCCGTCGAAAAAAGGTCGACACAGACATCCACCCGTTGAACCTGCCCCCCGAGCAGCGCAAACGCTTTTCCGAACTCTCCGGCTTTAGTGTTCGAGATTCAATGGAGTTCGACAACAAGGAGAACGGCGCGGCTTCCGCAGCCTCGCCCCCGCCGCCGCCGCACAAGCAGCAACCGCAGGACCAGCAAGCGCAGCGCAAGCCCACACCGCCCGCTCACGGAAGCACCTTTACCGTTCCCGTGTCCAACGGTGCCGATGCTGCTCAGAACAATGACGGCGAAGTTCCTACCCCTCCTCCCCATCGCTCGCAGCCTACCACCCCCGTGCAGAGCGCTGCCGAGCAGGCGGAGGGCTTCAAGAATGAGGGCAACAAGTTCTTCAAGGCAAAGGATTACACTCAAGCGATTGCGTACTATACCAAGGGTGAGAAGGAGGCCAGGTTCCAAGAAAAAAAAGTATTGAGGCAGAAACTAACTTGGGCATAAAAACTACAGCCATCGTCTTGCAGCCCGAATCCTCGACATATCTAGGAAACCTTGCGGCAGCCTACATGTCCGCCGGCAAGTACAAGGATGCTCTCGAGGCCTGCTCTCGGGCAGCGGAGCTTGACCCGAACAACCCCAAAATTCTGTTGCGTCTGGCCCGTATCTACACCAGCCTCGGCAGGCCCGAAGAGGCCATCGCCACCTTCAGCCGCATCCAACCGCCTCCTTCGACAAAGGACATGGCTCCCGCTAGGGACATGTTGAACTACATCCAGGCCGCCCAGAAGGCTCTTCAGGAGGGCACGGCCGCTTCCATGGTTCTGCACCCCCTCGATATGGCCGAAAGGCTCCTGGGTATCGGCGCTACCCGGCCCAGAAAGTGGGTTCTGATGCGTGGCGAAGCCCTCCTCAGGTTGGGTGATATCAACTCTCTCGGCGAGGCTCAGAATCTTGCCATGTCGCTCCTCAGGAACAACAGCCAGGACCCCGAGGCTCTCGTGATTCGTGGCCGTGCACTTTATGCTTCGGGCGAGAACGACAAGGCGATTCAACACTTCCGTAAGGCTCTCAGCTGCGATCCCGACTTCAAGGATGCTATCAAGTGGTTGCGTACCGTCCAGAGATTGGACCGTATGAAGGGAGAGGGTAACGACGAGTACAAGGCTGGCCGTTGGCAAAACGCCCTGGAAAAGTACACTGCTGCGTTGGAGATTGACCCGGCAAACAAGGGCACCAACTCCAAGATTCTTCAGAATCGCGCCTTGTGCTACACCAAGCTGAAGCAGTTCGACGAGGCCATCGCCGACTGCGAAAGAGCCATCAGCCTCGACCCTTCTTACCTCAAGGCCCGCAAGAGCAAGGCCAACGCGCTTGGCTTGGCCGAGAGGTGGGAGGAGTGTGTTAAGGAGTGGAAGGCACTTCAGGAGCTCGAGCCTGAGGACAGGACCATTGCTCAGGAAGTCAAGCGGGCCGAGCTTGAGCTCAAGAAGTCGCAAAGGAAAGACTACTACAAGATCCTTGGAATCGACAAGAACGCGGATGAGACCCAGATCAAGAAGGCGTACCGTAAGCTCGCCATTGTCCATCATCCCGACAAGAACCCCGGCGATGCCTCCGCCGAAGCCAAATTCAAAGATATCGGTGAAGCTTATGAGACGCTTAGTGACCCTCAGTAAGTTTCCCCCCACGTTATGGGCTAATGTGTGATGATTTTGCTAACGCCCCGAACAGGAAGCGCGCTAGGTACGATAGTGGTGACGACCTAGTGGACCCCTCTGATATGTTTGGTGGTGGCATGGGTGGTGGCATGGGTGGTATTGACCCCGAGATCATTATCCAGATGATGGGTGGTCAGGGTGGCCATGGCTTTGGTGGTGGTGGCTTCGGCGGTGGCAGCTTCGGCGGTGGCGGCTTCCCTGGAGGCGGTCGCTCCCGCGGCAGGGGAGGTTTCGGCGGCGGCGGCTTCCACTACCAATGACAACCCCAAGAAGATGGTAATGGGTACGAGGACGACTTTGACGATGATAACGAGGGGTACCTTTCCGAAGACGACGCTGCCGAGCATGCCGACGAGCAAGAACGGACCCACAGAGCTTGGGGAAAACGAAAAGCAGGCAACGAGATGGACAGCCGAGTGGCATGGCTTAGATCATGGGGTATCTGGCTGGTCGCTGCCGTTGTGCTTTTGCCTCCCCATCTCTTGGTTCTGCTCGTTGTGTGGTACATATGCCTAGGGCTGTTCAGAAAGCTCATGGCTGCCGTCAGACGCGCCTAGCGCACTTCCGGCGTCTCGGCCAAAGAGTGACTGGGAACACGTCTAGAGTAAGAAACCCCCTGGCTCGGGCAAAGTTCAGGAAAGATACCTGAGCATGTAAGAAGCGAAGGAGCAGGAAAAAAAAGACTCGGATGTTTTCTTTTACATATTGGGCAAGGCATAGACTTTTTCATTGGTTCATAACCTCACATACCTTTTCCCCGAAAGTTGCGCCACGCTTACCCTTCGTCATCCGTCATCCGTCATTGTCTTGTTATCGTCTCGCCCAACTGTCATGACCGTTTGGGCTGTCAGTCACCACACTCATGCACATACTCACATGCTGACCGTTATCCGGCATTCTGAGGTGATAAAAAAGGTAGCGGCGGTGTATGTGTCTGGGTTTCCGGGTTGAGGATGTTATGGTTTTACATATGGCATAACTGATTGCACATAGACTTGGAACCAGCGCTGCTTACAACTCCAGATAGAAGTTTGACGTACAGCGCCGCGTATTATGGTTTAGTTCCTTGGGTCTGCCAGAAGACGAAGCAGAAGTCTTTGGGATATTTAGGATAGAGCCATTGAATGACAGCTAACACATGTGATATTTTGACTGACCTCCCACTTTCGCCATCTAGTTTGTAGTATCTAACCCAGTTCCTAACTTTCTTACAACAGATTTCGACATCATTATGAACACCAATCCGCCGGAATTTGTAGTATCCAATGTCATCATACACAATCCGTAGTGTGAATAATCATTTTCACTGTACTTTAGCGGCTCACGTCCTGCGATATCAATGTTGTTTCAACGATGCCCGGCATTCGGAAGGACCCGAACGTTGGTGGCACCCGGTCGATGGAAAACACTGGTTATACTGTGTCGCCTGTTTAATATCAAAATCCATCATGATAATGTGTGGTGTGGCGCCTCTGAGTCTTGAATAAGGGGTATAAACATTATCATAAGCTTTGGAATAAGCTTTGAATACAGATTACCGCCCTTGTATTACAGTTTGCTTCAGGTTATATTTCTTTTCTGTAGTTGCCATCTTTTTTACCTGTGCATCTCTCCAAGTTCTTCAGAGGTACCAAGGTCCATTTCTTACTGAGTGCGGGTGATTAGTGGCCATCTTCTTGAAAGGCATCTCTCTGATCGAAATCAGAGGTGAGATGCATCCAGGGAGAAAAAAAAAAGGGAAACAGAGAGAGATCTGTTCAGATCAAAGGCGACATAAGATCACCACAACAGGAGGCGAGCCCAGTGCCGTGATTGGTTCACAAAGCCACTAACAAGATCTCGCGTGCCCGTTCCGGGGTCAGAATGGAGGACAAGGAACCGTGGCAGTCGAGCCGAAGGGGCAGGTACGGAGGCGTTGGGAGGGAGGTACGTAGCGGTTAAGGTAGCGCGGAGCTTGGACCCCCTGCCCCAAATTTGGAGGCCACGATTCACATTCGGTGCCAGAGTCCCCGATCCGCAGTTGCCAATCCGCCATCTGCAGAAAGACAACTTGACAACATCCCTCATCACCAATCCGACAAGTATCCATCTGTCCAAACCGACGAACCCTGTGGAAGCCGCCACACCTCACTTGACACAGTCGCACCACCTTTGTTCCCAAGCATCTCCAGCATTGAAACTGGGAACAACTTCCACTCCTTTCTCCCACGGTCCACTACAACGCTGGCCTAGACAGACGATCCCCGCGGCAGCTCCAACAAAAGCGCCTTGCTCGGCCTCTTCCTAGCTGCAACTTGTCCTCGACATCTTTTCTTGAGAATTGCAGCCTGATCGTCCACCACCACAGAGAGCAGCAGCCTCTCGCCACGATAGGTACTCACCATGAGTACTGATTACGCCTACGACGAGGAGGGCCACCTCTGGCCCTTCTTCGTGTTCACCCTCACGTCCATCGTCACCGTGCCCATCACGTACTCGCTAATAAAATCGTCGCGGAACGACCCGGCCGCCGCTCTTAAGCGCATCCATACAGACTACGAGCACGACCAGTCGTCGGTAGTCGACACGCTACGCAAGTCGGAGAAGCGCAAGGACGGCAGCAAGCCATGGCTGATCGCCCTCGTCATCGCCGGATGGGCTGTCATGGGCTACATGCTCTACCTCATCAAGACCACCGACGCCCCGGTACAGAACCTCTGGAACCCGTATGATATTCTCGGCATCTCTGAGAGCGCCACCGAGAAGGTGATCAAGAAGACGTACAAGATGCTCTCCCTCAAGTTCCACCCCGACAAGGCCCGCCCCGACGCCTCCAAGAACGAGACCATTGACGACCTGAACCGCCGCTACGTCGAGATCTCCAAGGCATACCAGGCTCTGACGGATGAGGAGGTGCGCAACAACTTTATCCAGTTCGGCAACCCCGATGGCAAGCAAGGCTTCAGCATCAACATCGCGCTTCCCAAGGCCATTGTCTCCGACGGCAATGGCAAGTACATTGTCCTGATCTACTTCGCCTTGTTTGGTGTCCTCCTCCCTTACTTGGTCGGCTCTTGGTGGTACGGCACACTTCGACGCTCCAAGGAGGGCGTTCTCATGGAGAGCGCCAACCGTTTGTTTAAGGAGTACCAGGACAACATTGACGAGGGTGGCGTGGTGGCAGCTCTCAGCAGCGGCCAGGAATTCGAAGACCTGTTCAAGGGTGACAAGGCAGACGCTGGCCTCTCCAAGATCGAGTCCAAGGTCATGGCTTCCGACGAACTTCCGCCCAAGGAGAAGAAGAAGCTCGAGGACGTTGAGAGCGGCCCCCGGAGAATGGCTCTTGCCCTTCTCTGGGCTTACCTCGGACGCATTGAGCTCGGTGATGCTACTCTCGAGAAGGCCAAGTTCCAGGTCGCGCCTATTGCCCATGCTCTGAACAAGTCCTTCAACGCAATCGCCCTCGCCTACATGAACACCGCTCCCCTCCTCGCCTCGTACTTTGCCAGCCAGCGCCTCATTCAGGCCATCCCGCCCAAGGCTTCTCCTCTGTACCAGCTCCCCCACTTCAACTCCGCCATTGTTCAAGCTGTTGAGGGCGACTCCCGTGTCCACACCACTGTCCAGGCCTTCATGGACCAGCCCGACGCTAAGCGCCGCAGCCTCGTTGTTGGAAAGGGCCTCTTGACAGATGCTCAGTACAAGGAATCCATCGCCTATGCCAAGCAGCTCCCCTATCTCCGCGTCGCCAAGGCTTTCTTCAAGGTCACCGGCGAGAAGTTCATCATCCCCTCTTCCCTCGTTACCCTCGTTGTCAAGGGCCGCTTCGTTCCTCCCGGTAGCGAGAAGGTGCCCGACGTCACCCCTATTGATCTCGAGGACATTGACCCCGCCGAAGACGATCTCGACGCCATCCTCGGCCGCAAGAAGACCAAGAAGCTGGTTGGCAAGGACGAAAAGGGCAAGCCCATCTACGAGGAGACCACCGAAAGCGAGGACGTTTACCCGCCGCTTGCTTCTTCCCCTTACTTTGCCCGCGACCACAGCCCCAGGTGGCACGTCTTCCTCACGGATTCCAAGCAGGGGCGCGTGGCCGTGCCGCCTTTCACCTTCGTCAGCTTCGACAGGCCCATTTACGAGTCGGACGGCAAGACGCCCACGTTCGCCATGCAAACCCTGAAAGCGCAGTTCCAGGCGCCGCCACAGGCCGGCCATTACACGTTCGTCATGCACGTGGTATGCGACAGCTATGTCGGGTTCGACACCAAGATGGAGGTGACGCTCGTGGTGGAGGACGCGAGCCAGGCGGCGGAGATGAAGGTTGAGGAGGAGATTAGTGAGCCTGAGGAGGGTGAGTTTTTTGCGTCCCCACAATCCACGAATACACATAGTGCAACAAAAAGCTAACCACAGCTACTACAGATTCTATCGCCGGCATCATGAACGCAGCAAAGGGTGCGCCGACAAAGCAGAGGGTTGTCAAGGACGAGGAAGACTCGGATGAGGAAAGTGGGACGGATGATGACGAGGACGACGACACGAGCGATACTAACACGGATACGGAGCCTGAAAACTAAGTTTAGCTTTTTGGGTCTCTCCTCGCTTGTCGTTCTTCTTCATGTTTTGTGACCTTTCTTTTTTTCTATTCTTAAGAATGGGTGTATCGGTTGGTTGGTTGGCAGGATAGGGTGGGTGTGTAGTAGCTTCCTTAAAAGTGACGAGGTGGCTTATACAGCGAAAGACAAAATTTCATCACTATTAGTTGGGACAGCCTGGTGGCCACAACTGCTGGGCTGGCTAGGCTTTTACAAGTTTTGTGTACATACTTAAAAATATCTTGTCAGCGTATTAGGGAAGAACCCTTGACATAAATGCTATGTGGCGCAACGCAACGCAACGCAACCATATGGGGTATCATACCTCTATTCAGTTCCTTTTCGAATTCCTCTCAGTTTCTCTCTTCCTTCCCATCAGCCCCCCTTCCACTTCTTGTCAGATCGTCCGCCACCCAACGAACCCAAACCACCCGTCCACCAATCCAACCACGAGAAAGGATTAAGAGAGGTATGACCTAGTAACTGTGTATCCCATCCTTTATAAAAAGGTACGCTAGTCTAGTTCTAGTAACTCTGTCTTTGTATGATTATAGCTTTATTCCCCCCTTCTCGCAGCGGCATCCTTTTCCTTCTTTTTTCCTCTCTCCCTACCCATAACTCCTCGGCTCCGCGCAAATCCAAATGTGGTAGTTCTGAGCCATGGACAATGATCCGCTAAATATGCAATGCTCGGCTCCACTTTTTCTGTCCTCTTCTTCGATCCTCCTCTTCTTCCTCTCCCCACGCTCTATTGGGGGATAGGTACTAATCCCAGTTCAGCTCAGCCTCGCAGGCTAACTGGTAGCTTTCCAACGCCGTCCTGGGCTTCTTCCGCCGTCTTGCTTCGCAGCGAAACGGCTCTTCGCTAGCTTGTTGGAGCAGATTCGCCGCTAGTCTCCTTCTCGGAATCGGCCTCGCTGCTGCTGTTTCCAAATCATGCCACAACCGAAAATTGTATAAGTTGTTCAGTAGTTTAGGCGGCAACCTTCATGTCGGTTCCGGACGTCTTGGCCACGCTCGGGTGGTTGTTGGCCCCGGTGACTTCGGACACGGACTGGCCACGGGCCTTGGCGGTGAGGGCGATGAGTTCCTTGAGCATGAGGTCGCGCGTGTTCTTGCAGAGCTCGTCGACGTCGGCGGTGGTGAGGCCGGTGGTGTCGATGGGGTCGAGGACTAATGGGGGAGATTGGGTGGTTAGTGTCTGGGCAGCATAAGGGAAGGGAGAGAGAAAGAAAGAGTGGCTGAGGCCAATGCTTACCCTTGATAGGAACAACTCCGGCGTTAAAGACCAGGTCCTTCACGTTAAGGATGTGGCTATAGTTGGCAACGACAACCGGCACAATAGGGACCTGAGCCTGAACAGCCAAGTGGAACGCGCCCTTCTTGAAGGGCAACAGCTCGGGCTCCTTGGAGTAGCTCCTGGTTCCCTCGGGGAACATGTAAACGCTCTGCTGCTTCTTCTGGATCTGGTTGGCGGCGCCGGCCATAGCGGCGCGCGCGTCGGTCTTGCTAGCGCGATCGATGAAGATGGAACCGGACAGGGACATGAACCAGCCGAGGAAGGGGGTCTTGCGCAGCGAGCTCTTGGCCGTCACGGAGCAGTACTTGGGGAACATGCAGCCTAGCATGAGCACGTCGAGCTCGGTCTGGTGGTTGCCGATGAAGACGGCGGGGCGGGTCTTGCCGAGGATGTTCTTGGGGTCCTCGATCTTGAAGCGGACGCCCGTGGTCAGCGCCATGACGTACTTGAAGGAGCGGCCGACGGCCCATTGCGCGCTCTGGCCGTGGCCGAGCAGGGAGAAGGCGATGGAGGTGAAGACGCCGAAACCGGCGCAGAGGAGCAGCGAGAGGTAGCTGGCGAGCGAGCGGGCCACGAAGGCCGCCTTGGGGAGGACGAGGGACAACATGTAGAAGCCGATGGTGAGGACGACGCAGCCTTCGAGAAAGTAGACCGGGTAGTAGAGAAGACTGGCCATGACAGCGGTGACTAGACACCCAATGGTCCTAGAGGTATGTTTTTATTCCGCAAGTGGGACTCGGAAGGGCGTCTGGGATGCGGCTAAAACGGGGTCTGCCCTGCGGAAGATCGGTACCTCGCGTGTGGTTGGAAGTATGACGCAGGCAAGACGGGGGCGCCGGACAGGTTCGGGGGTGGTAGAATCTGAGCCTGGGTCAATGGTTTAAGTGGTTAGTTTTGGAGAAAGACGAGACTATGGTCTGCTTCTGAAGCACGACGGGAAGGCACAAGCAGAAGTAACAACAGCTAGTGAGCAGACTTACAGCGGCGCAAAGTGTGCAGAAATCCTAGCCTTGCAGCGTTGGAAGCAAAATGTTGTTGGGAGAAAAGGATCAAGGACTTTGGTGCTGGTGGGAGAGGAGAGGAAAAGGCTGGCGTAGCTGGCGTGACACAGGATCTGGTGTACACAGTAAGAGGTGGTTTCAGTTGGGATATGTCTTGTGGGTGATTGTGATGTGTATTCACCTTCACCGACAAAAGAGATACAAGACGACGGCACGGGAGAGGCTGGACACACGGCACAAGCAACAAGACGCAGAAGCAGAAGCAGAGGCAGAAGCAGAAGCAGAAGCAACAAATGAACGACGTACCCGATGGGATGATTCCAAGAGTGTGGGGTTCCCGAATGAACCTGAACCGTGGGATGACTGCCGTTCATGCTGTTTTGATTGGTTCCTCATGCTAAAATCCCCACAGAATTTCCGTCTTGTGCACTGTCGTCACAGCTTCCGAGGTTGGTCCCTGTCAAGCCGGGACCGTGTCTGTTGAGGCTAATTTTTTCTCTTCAGAACCCCTTGGAATCTCTTTGATCAGCCGTATAAGTACATTGAAGACTTTGTTCTTTGCAACGGCTGAACCAACACTCTAATCAACACCAGTTCTATTACACTCGATCAGCTGCCACAGGGCCAACCCTCCATCCAACCTACCAGACTGAGGACGAGGTTGTCTTCACATGTTAGCGTTTGCGTGTGTTAGTGTCACTACGAGCGGAGTTAGGCGTTCAACAAATCTTTGGGGATCTGATGACATGATGCCAGGCAGGTACCAGTGGTGCCCCAGATTTGGCCAGGCCAATCCTTCTTCAGGTGCTCGACCGCGCCCAATCTGATCAATTGGGTTAGTATGATACGTACTGTTTTGGCAGGCAAGGCGTTACACCAATACGAGAATTACGGGTGTAGGGGCGGTGTATTGTAAGTTTGATACAGATGCTCCCCTCGCTCTCCTGGTGTTCTTTCCGCCATGCCCGCATCAGATCATTTCCGTTCCTGCGGCCCGCCAGTCCTCCACTGTTCCCCTTACCGTCACGGTCGCGGTCTCACAGTCGGTCACTGCCTAGACAACCACCTAACTAACAAACAGCGACCGCCCCGGCGTTTCAACCCCCGACTTCAACACCGCCGCCGACCGCATATCACTCCCGTCGCCGCTTGTATCCATTTTCACCGGCGGAATTCTATCCAGTAACACCTTTGCCATACAACATATAACACGATAACCTCACGTGTCAAACAACTGCGATTGCGATTGACCACTACCACCACTGCAACCTAACCCAGGACCAACTAGGTATCTGGTCACTTGGTGGGGGGTCCACATGATATCATGGTCTCAGTCCAGCACATGCGACTGCGATAATCAACCATCCGTCTTCCACAAGACCGCCGACACAGCCCTACCTCCAATTGCCAGACAGCCGCCATGGCCGCCTACCGACGGGGACAACCGTCCCTCTCCGTGCGATTGCCCCAACCTTCGGCCTCGGCTGTCCTTCCCGACCTGCCTCCCATATCGGCCCTGTTTCTGATCGACTTCGATGTCAAGGCTGGATATACCATTGTATGGAAACAAGCAGTGCCCGGGCTGGAACTCGATGGCGTTGTTGAGTACAAGAGTCTGCCCTCCGGCCTTCACACCGTCACCGACGACTTGGTTTACTTTGTCCACGAGGGGGGACATGCTGGCTTGAGCGCCTTCGTCAACGCCAGGACGGACGAGGAGGAAAACCGCCATGCCCGTATGATTGCTGTTGGTGTTTTGGTTCCATTGGCATATGGACGACTGGGGAGGTCATGGCGCCATGCCGACCGGCTCAAGGATATTGCTAGGTAAACGACGGTGCTGTGTGCTTTGGCTTTCAACATCAGGCGCTAACACTGGATCCCGACATATAGCAAGCTTGTTGTCGACCGTCAACAGACACATCTGCTGGAGGACTACTGGGCCCAGAATGGGATACGGGATGGCGCTCACCCGCCGCCACTGGCCGAAGCCGCGCTGGACTCGCCCGCCCTGAGCTACAAGGGGGGCCGTCCCGGTCCCGCAAAAGGCCACTCGAGGAACAGGTCCGAATCAGACGGCACCGTCTTGATGTCCTCATCTCACAGACTCTCACCTTACCACCCTGCTTGGAGTTTAACTTCGCTTCTTGACACCTTTGGACCCCTTATCTTTCCTATTCACCGTGCTGCTCTATTACGCAAGCGTATACTAATTTCTACTCATGCTCCTGTACACGAAGCCTGTAATTTCGGTACGTTATGTGGAACTTTGGGTACCTGCTGGAAAATTTTGCTTACATACTTTGCTAGTGTACGATCTCTCTGTCTTATCCAACATCTCTTTGTCAGTCTCCGATTTGGTGGATCCTGCAGCATCGACCCAACGTCTACGGCCGCTGTTCAACATTGGTGTTCACGATATTGGGTACCTTCTAGAGCACCACGCGGCAATGAAGCGTCATTTCAGAGGCGACAACCATGAAACCGACAATGACTTTGCGTCTAGCATTGCTGCGGAGGAGGCAGGATCTGGATGGGTTGCTTGTACAACGGACACCATCCTCACCATCAAGGATAGTCTATGGGATATGCTTATTACATTACCGCCACCACACTCGGGCAACGCCAAGGAGCGCATGTGGCCAACTGTCGAGTGTCCCAAGGGCGTGCCAGTGAAGGCGACACAACGAGATCTGAGGAGGTTCAAGTGGCTGAAAATGAGCCTTGCTCGGATTGACCCAACATCAATGACGACACCCCACATTCCTCGCAGTCCATTATCTGACAGAACAGGACAGCGGTCGGTATCAACACCTCTTGCACCCAACAGAACGCCGACAATCTCCCTTTCCAGACCAACCGAGACCGCTCGACCGGGCACTGCAACATCTCAAACACCTCCGCAGACACGAGCCAATTCAGACGATGACGCCGAGAGAGTCGTGGAGCCGACTACGTGGGCGGCGCTAGCATACTCCGGGTTCATATGGTGGGCATCAGCAGGCGAGCAAGGCCACAGTGACGAGGTAGACGAGTTAGCGCACGACAGCGCTTTGCTTGCCGATCTTACAGGCAACACCCCAAAGATGACCGGACGCACACCTAGGAAGACAAGTTTCGGCGCTGCCTCTTCAACCGGCAACAACATCGGAGAGAGGGGTATAATGGAATCAGTCTTGTCACTCACCGCCCAGCGAGACGGAGCACAGGAGACATCCGATGACGAGCAAGCCCGCATTGAGCTGGCTATTATTGCCTACTTCCATCGTCTGACGACATCCATGCTCTCTGTTTTGGCAGACCTCGTCAACAGTGCGGACGATGATGATCTGCTTGACCTCGATATCGACCCTAATGCGGTCGGTGAGGAGGAGTACAGGGATGATTATAACGATGACGACGATCAGACTGGATTGCTATATGGTCAAGAGCAGTCCGGAATTCAGGGAAGTCGTCGTGAGGGTGAAGGCGAAGAAGAAGAAGAAGAAGCGGAGTACGAAGGCAGTTTGCAGGGGTGGGTAAGAGTCGATAGCGAAGCGCTGGCACACATGGGCCTGGACGTGTGGAGCAAGAGTGACGCGGATTTTGTGAGCGAGTTGACAAAGAGGTACTTTAGGAGGAGGGCGTACGTGGAGAATAAGGGTGTTGAAGTTTGTGGGTTGAAGGTTTGTTAAGCCTAACCCCCTTTTCAATCTGTTTTCGTTTGTTGTCGATCAGGACATCGCTGATGAGTCTTCTTTCTTTTCTCTATTTCCTCCTTTGGCGAACTATTGGGGCCGTATGGCGTTAAACCTTTGGGAATGGGAAAATGGGACAGAGTATTTGACTTCTTTGTGTGAAAGACCGTATGTTTAATTTCACAAGCCATTACATATGTTTCACCAACTTTCTCCTACCAAAACCCCTGTTGGTTGCCAGGGAAACTACTGACAACACTAACATCCCGATGAGTCCCATTCCCTCCTCATCACCCGCCACCCACCACCCCCCTAGAACTAAATCTTCGCCCCCAAAGGCCCCAACGCCCTCAACGCCTCCCTCGTCCCCTCCCCCGTCTCCTTCACAATCCTCACCACCTCCCTAAACTCCGGAATCCCCGCATCCCCCATGCACTCATACATCCACCCCTCGCTCGTCGTAACCGTCACCCCTTCCTGCCTCAGCCTCGCCAGCGCCACGGGAATCTCTTCTTTATTACAACTAGAAACCCCATCCGCAATCACGTAGATTTTCGTCTCGGGATGTTTCTTCAGCAAAGCCAAGCAAGTCTGCGTGACGCAGATGTGCGATTCGATCCCCACCAGAGCTATGTGCGTGGGAATGATGGAGGGCGAGGAGGAGAATAAGGAGGCGAGAGAGGGGGTGTACATCCCGAAGAGGGTTTTGTCGAGGTCGGCGGCGACGAGGGGGTGCGGTTTGTTGTCGTTTTCGGTGGTGAGGAAGGGTTGGAGCTCGGAGACGGTCTCGCCGAGCTTGGCGCGGGTTTGGGTGGTTATGTAGATGGGGATGCGGAGGACGTGGGCGAAGCGGAGGAGTTTGGTGGTTGTTGAGACGCTGGGTGTGGGGAAAGGGGTGGTGTAAGTGAGATGGATGGTTGTTGGAGTGGAGGGTGGGTGGGATGGGATGGGATGGGATGATATAAGGGTGACTTACACTTTGTCGAACTCGTGGATGGCGGTGCGGAATTTCTCTTGGATGTCACAGACACTGAGAAAAGAGAATGGGGTTAGCGGAAGAATTGGAATTTGGAAGAGGGGAGTGGATGGAGACGTACAAGAGAGCTGGCTTTTCTGGGTAAGATGGAGGAGTAGTTAGTTTCCATTGATGAAGTTTAGAAATGAAGAGTGAAGAGACATTCTGGGAGGGCCTTTAGGACAAGCTGCCATATAGGAACATACCGAAGCCTCTCTGCGGAGCTGGGTGGGTCATGATGGATGAACGTCGTGTTTGCGAAAAGGGTAGATTGTGGGAAATTGCTGAGGTAGATACCGCAATGGTTGAGTGTCTGTAAAGTGATTTAGGAGTTATGCTCCTATATAACAAAGACAAGGAGGGTCTTGCGGCCAGGGACACACTCATGTTTGATCACAGGCAGGCGGGGATGGGCGAGGGGTACCGAGTTCCGGGGGATATGATATGCGGGAGGAGGTCGCTCTAAAGTAGCGGGTAGGTAGCCGAGGACATGCCGATGTAACCCCGCATCCGGAGCTCGCTGTAGCGTCACCGAACGAACGAGCAGACAGCATCGATCAAGACTTGGCATTAATGGATCTGATCTTCAGATACCCTCAAGCATACTTCCTATTTCAACGTGATTCATATTTTCCATCCGAGCTGCCTCTTATTCCGTCCCAACACCTCTCTCTGCCTCCCACATCACTTATTAAAGTAAGTACCTAGGCACGCAAGCTTAGCACTCTTCAACCACCCCAACTTCCCCTCCCCCGTCTCCCTCCTAATCTTGAACAACTCATCCAAAAACGCCGGCACAAACGTTCCCGGGCCCTGGACATCCCTTCGTTCAGCCGCCCTCTCCGCCGCAATCTCAAAGTGCATCAGCGCCGCCACCGTAGCCACCAACTTATCATTTGGATAAGCCGTCACGAAGGCCGAGATGACGGTCCCCAAAACACAGCCCGTGCCGGTAACCATCTCCAGGTAGACGTGCCCGTTGTCGATGCGGAACGTGTGTTGCCCGTCGCTGATGTAATCGGCCTCGCCCGTCATGACCACCACGTTCTTCTCGCGCAAGGCAAGGTTGCGGACGAGTTCGGCCTTTTGGGAGACGTCGAGCTCCGAAGAGGAGTCGACGCCCCGCTGCTGGACCGTGTCGTGTCCGTCGATGCCGTAGACGGTGCGGATCTCGCCTTCGTTGCCTTTGATTACGTCGAGGTAGCCGTGGGAGAGGATGGTCTTGACGGTGGCGCGGCGGAGGGTGGTGGCGCCGGCTCTGGGAAGGAGGTGATGTGTTAGCCGGTCGGTGTTTTAGAGGCGTCAATGGCAAGACAATCGTCCTTCAGTTTTCGTGGAAGAAGACACGGAAGGGAAATCAATGAATGCTTGCTTACCCGACTGGATCGTACACAACTGGTTGACCCACCGAGTTGTACGCCCGCAAAGCCTTCAGGTAGTTCTGCAGCCCGTCTGGGTCAACGGTGCCCATGTTGACGACTAGTGCGCCCCCTAGCTTGCACAAGTCGAAGGCTTCTTCAGCGTAGTTGGACATGATGGGCGATGCCCCAATGGCGAGAGCGACGTTGGCTGCAAAGTTTTGCACCACCTATGCATACAACGAACGACCCAATTAGTAAAAGTGCCATGAGATAGTTTCCAAGGGCACACACGGAATTGTCCTTACCAAATTCGTCATATTATGTGAAAGAGGCTTCTTCCTAGCAACCTCCAGCACCACCTCCGGCACAAGCTCAAGGATTTCCCCCACCATCTCAGCTCTCGGGTTTGGTGGCTCCCTCACAAAAGGCGGCAGCGAGTTGAACAAGCCGACCAGGTTCTTTGCCGCCGCTTCCGGGTCCGGAGCAGCCACGAGGGCGCTCACCACCGCGACGCCATCAAGCTTCTTGCTCGGGGCCTCACTCTGGTACACGATCCGCTGGAGGTTCTCGGCGTTGATGCCACCGATACAGACGGTCTTGACGTGGTCGTAGCCGGCATCCGCCATGGTTTGGAGGATGTTGCGGACGCCGGCGGCGCCGATGATGTTCTTGGTGTTGGTTTTTCTGTATACATACATGTATGCGATTAGCATCGAAAGCATGGCGGTATGTAAGCTCGGCCTCGACATGATTGATGATGAGGTGACGACGGTGACATGTGGAAAAGCTTCTTTCTCTCTACTCACGTTGGAGTGGCATAGACGGTGCCAATGCCAAGGTAATCCGCGCCGCCTTTGCAGGCCACCATGGCTTCCTCTCTGGTGCTGACCGTGACTCCGATGATGGCGTCGGGGCCGAGGAGCCGTCTTGCGGTGGATAGTTCTGTGTAATGAAGTTAGCTTCCTCTTCACTTCCTCTTTGGGCATATCCAGGTGAGAAGCTGACGATGAGAAACTAACCCATATCATCCTGCCCAATGTGAACACCCTCGCACCCAACAGCCAGAGCAACGTCGATGCGATCGTTGATGAGCAGCGGGACGTTGTACTGCTTGGTGATGGCGTGCAGCTTCTTGCCCATGGCAATCATGTCCCCCGTATCGCTCGTCTTATCGCGGAGCTGGACGATAGTGGTGCCACCCCTGACCGAGGCCTCGACGACCTCGCAGAGATCTCGGTCGCCGAGGATGGCGGGGGTCGAGTCCGTTACTAGGTAGACGGCATAGTTGACGCTGTCCCGGTCCATCCTGAAGACAATAACGGCGTTGCCGTTGTGAGGGACGATGCGGGCGAGTGGTGGTTAAGGGGGGGCCTGTAGTGTAGAGAAATGTTCCAAAGTGGAAGTGAGGAGTCTGTAAGTACCGCTAATACTCAAAGGCCTTAGTTAGGAAAATGGGATAACCCTATTGGATTGATGCCTCATATGCACTAAAGCCGCCTTGCATATGCAGCTTCTCTCAGCCAGGTTTAGTAAATCTCTTACGACTGAGTACTTGCGGTATGAGTGGTCAAAGATTCGAGTGATTTCTTGTATGCGTCCAGTGTTTGGCTATCGTAAGTTTACTGTGTGTGGACTTGGACAGGAGGTTATATCACTCAACGTTACACCATAGAACTTAAACTTGGCAATCGCTCATCACGATAACTATCTTAGCGATGATGCATCACAGATTCAATTCTCAAAGGTTTGATTTGAGATCGAACACTATTGTAATGTTTTCCCAGTGAGTGGTAAAGCCTGCACAGTGCGATAACCTCCGTTACTTACACCGCAGCTTGATGCAATACCTGTATGTTACGCATGCAGTACCACATGCATCCCCGATCTTCGAGGACTCAGAGTTGACACTCGAAGCTTTCCAACCCATAATGATTACTGTTGAGCATGTTCGTATTGATTCACAGATTTCCGATGCCTTCCTTTTCCATCAAACCCAACCTGCCCATTAAACCCTTGATCCGTAACCGTTCGTAACCAGACTATCCCAACCCATACCTTGACCATCAGATTAATAACATAATATTACAGTACCATTCATCAACATCGTCAACCTTTTACCTTCCATCCTCTCTGTTATCCAACACAACTCTCCTAAGAGAGAGCAGGACTCTTCCTAGCATTAACATATCTCTCCACATAGTTCCTCTCCTTGAGCAACCACCCGCTCAACGCCAGCGCACCCGCTTCCACGGGGATCAGCAGGATGGACAGGTAGATACCCGCCTTGCTCTGCTTGCACAGAGTCCCCCAGTTAGGCTGCGTCCACATGGGAACCGCCCGCCACCGGCAGGTCCAGGACAAGAAGGTGTCGACGGAGTCGGAGGCGTTGACGGAGTAGAAGAATATGACGGCGATGAGAGCGGCGACGAGGGAGATGAAGGGAAGGGCGAAGGATAGAGAGACTTGGACGATTGAGGCTGTGCGGAGCTATGATGGCATGTTAGTTTCTTCTACAAGAGTGGGTGTGGGAAAAGGGATACAACATACAAATTGCACCTTGGCAAAAACCAAAGCAACCATGTGGAGGACAGTGATGATGGCGCTGCAGGCAACTAGGGCCACGGCTGGTTGGATGTTGAACTCCTGAGGCCAGAGGGAGAGGAAAGATCCCGGTAGAGGCTTGGTGTAGTTGTAAACAGAGAGTGTGTTGGCGGAGACACCGAGGACGGTGAGGCCCATTAGGAGGCCCAGGAGAGTGATGGCCGTTTGGACGCTGTCCAGGATACGGACGATGCGTAGCTTGTTCTGCAGGTGCTTATCTTGCGAGGCAACCTCGAAGAGGTCGGAGGTAGACGGCGCTTTTTCGGACGACATGGTGAAAGTCTTTGAAGATGGAGTTGACCGATATGAAGTTTAGCTTAAAGGGTATATAGACTGTTGTTGTTTGTCCGTATATAGAGCTCTGCTCTCTCCTTGGCTTGAAGACGAAGGGATAGGGGGGAAGGTTAGTTGATGGAAGGATATGACCCGCAAAAAGGAACCCAGAGAAACGAAAAGGAAGAAAAGAAACGAACAGCTCAACGGTTCGATGGAGACGGATGGAAGACTGTCTCTGGAAGGGAAGATCGTCAGGACTCAGGAGTACGGGACTGTTCTGATACAAATACCTCTGACGGATTTCAAACCCATCACTAGAAAGGGTGTGTACAATCTTTTATTCCTTGGCGGCTAACCGCCATTGGCATTGCATCACAGCGCCGGGCATACCACCAAGTTAACCCGGGGATGGGATTCTGGGATCTCTTGGATCTCTCGGTGCTACCGTCCGGTAGCGTGCCCGCGCACCTAAACGCCCGTCATCTCAGTGTCATCTCGCCTTCAGATAGATGAGCCGATGCAGTGTTGTGAGGTAGGGGGGTAAGGATGCCACCCTCCCATTGCCTGATGGTTGTCATGTTTCTCTTGATGGTCAATTATCCCTCCTTGATCGGAATGGCAAAGGAGATGGGGAACCAGAAATAGTGCCCTCTGACCATGGGATTGGCTAGACGTAAGATAGACGCAGATGAGCTTGCAGACATGCAGTGTGCGTGCGAACTTGTGTGATGAGCGGTTGACGGTTGGATTGGTGTTGAACATGTGCCGGCGCTTACTGGCGAGAAAGGCAGGGGGGTTAAAAGCCGGACGAGTGAATGTTTGGGCCAATAAAAATGCGTAAAACATGGCTGAAACAGCATTGGTGGCTCGCTAGCGTCTGCAGTGCGCTTCGAAGTTTGGCCTAGGGCTAAGCTGTGTGAGCCCCTGCAGCTGTCAGCGGGCTAAATTTGACATCGTGGGTAAATTGATTTGGCCTTCTTCTGGCATGCAATCTCCCTCGCTTGTCAGGAACAACTTTCACAGACATCGAATTCTCAACGACGGAAGTAGAGTATCCTCTGTTACAATGGTAACTTCTTCTAGCTGCATGCGAGAAAGTGGCCGAAGAAGCTTTGGGAGACCTTCTAGCCAAGTTCCAGAAACCGAAGCGTCCAGCAAACTCTACGAACTTTCCTCGTTCTAAGCCTCACACCTCACAACTCATCCCTCCCCGCAACTCTAATCTTCACCCCCGGGATCGATCCTGATCCAGTCCTCTTCATCACCTTTCTCGTCGCCTTCTTCCCCCCCTTCACCACTCTCACTCTGTTCTTCAGATCTCTCAAAACCTCGTCTCTCCCACTCCCACTTCCATTCCCATCCTCTCCCTTCTTCCCCTCGTCGTTGGACGACGACGACGGTGGAAACCAAGACTTGACCCTTCCCAGATACAGATCTAACCCCCATTGCTTGACATTTGACTCGGTGATGGGTTTGTCTTTGGGGTAGTGATAGATCAGCTTTTCTATCTTTTTGTTGTTGTTGTTGTCGTCGTTGCCATTGTTACTCTTCCAGGGCCACACAACTGCCCCTGTTACACCATCCCCACTACCATTGCCATCACCTTCACCAGATTCCTCCGAGTTTTCGGAGAGACTGAGGAGACCCAACTCTTTCATCAAATCGGGAAACAAAATTGGGTCGACAAGCACGATTTGCAGTGAGGAGTGGTACTTCGTAGCAAGCGCGGAGAGTGTATGTCGGAGGTTGATACGTTGCTGGTGAGGGGAGCGTGCGAAGACGTAGACGGTTGGGAGGGTGTTCTCCGTCTGGTTAGGTAGCGAGTTAGTAAGATGTTCGTTCCAACACAGACCCCGATAACGGTGAGTGAGGCATCATGGAGTATAGTAGGCAGAGCAAAAAAAAGTACAACGAACCTCTCGTACCCTCCCATAATTCCACTTCGTCAACTCGCCAATCACGGGTCTGGCCATTTCTTCCATCCACTTCTCCAACTGTTCTCCTCCCCCCTCAATCACCACTCCTTTAGTCCCAGCCTCAAATTCATCATATTGAGGAATAACCTACGTCTCAACCCGTCCCTCAACCCCACCACACCGCAAGCACACCGCTTTTGTTGGCCCTGGAGCCGAACTACTTCCAAGACCAAGTCCAAGTCCGGGATCACTCCTCCCCATTTCCTTGATCATCATCTCCTCAAAAACACCGGCAGATTTGACGTTTTCGATTTCGATAATACCAAACCGTAAAGGCTCATTCCGCTGAGTACTATCAGCAAATGATTGGAAAGTACGTTTGAGGGCCGTGACAGCGTTCTCGGCAATGGAGGAAGAAGAATCAGGGGCGGAGGAGCTAAGAGACGAGGAGGTGTCGAATATTAATATGAAGAGAGCTTCTTCTTTGTCGAAATCGGAGGAGGTATGAGAGTCAAAGGTGGTGGTATCGTCGTCGTTTTCCAATAACTGTTGGGCATTTGGTAAGCGGACGAGGAACTTCTTCAAATCATCTAAAGTACGAATCGGAGTGATCTGTGACGAAGAAGACGCCATGTCATCAAGTGTCGTCGCATCAAAAGCCTCATGTTGCCAAGCAGAGACGTTCGAAAGGAATGCGCTTAGCAGACACGCCGTGTGTAAGATAAAAAAAGGATTGACGATCATTGCGTTTGAAGATCATGAAGACTGAGAAGAGAAAGGTAGACGGAAAATAGGAAAGGGGATAAGATACCTCATGTTGAAAATCGTATCTGAACACTCGACCATCCAACGTAACTTCGACCTTTCTACATTAGGCTCGTAGTTCTTTGGTTCTCCCCACATGAAACACCAAGATCTAAAAACAGGGAAGTTTTTCGATCTATCCCAAGATTGATATGGATGTCACAGTTAAACCCGAGCGTGGAATCCCTAAATCCCTGCTCTTCCATGTTATATAAACATATAAACAACAGCTTTAGTCATCACCACCGAATGGCGCGGTATAGGAACTCCGAGTCAAATACAACGCCACGGTACGAAGTACCTGCAACCAATGCCTGTGTAAGACTTAACAAAACCAATGCTTTTTATATCCCTGCCTTTCTTATGCCATCCATCCATTCCTTATCCTTCCTGCCTGCCTGCCTGCCCCATTCACCCACGTATGTATGTATATATACAGTAGTGTGTATAAAGATCTCTTGACATGCTAGGTATGAACAATTGCAAACGCGCCGCGCAGAACGTAGTTGTGTAGAGTATTCTAGAGCCTTATGTCTCCGTCTCAACAATGATGGGCAATCCATCACTTATCACCTCGCGCCCTTCTTCTTCCCGCTCCTTGTCGTCGGTGCAGCCTGCACCTCCACCTCTTCCTTAGCAGCGGCCGCCTCCTGCTTCTTCTTGCTTTGCTTCCTATTCCTCGCCGGGGGCGGTTCCTCTCCGTGGAGATGACCAATCTCCTCGATGGCCGTGGTGTTGACCCATGCGAGACACCTGTACGCTGGTGGTTCCGGCGTGACTTGTCTGGTTGTCGTGGCCGCACGGCTGTTGTTGTTGTTGCCTCTTGTGCTCCGCTTGCCCCTTCCTTTCGTTGTTGGCTGCTGGACGGGCGGCTCCTCGACGACGGCAGCAGCCGTGGTGGTGGCTTCAACACCCTCCATCGCATCTCCTCCCGTGGCACCGTTCTCTTCCTTCTTCTCTTCCTCTGCAGGCTTATCGAGACCCACGTATGTCTTTCGGTTCTCCATGCCCTTTTGGATTCGGTCTCTGTAATTGACGATTTCCTTCCTGAGCTTGATCTCGTTGACGCCCCTGGGATCAAGCCACTCAAGGAGCTTATCCACGTCCTCCGTGCGCTCGTAGAAGCCCCACTGCGTAGCTTTGAACACGCTGGTACCGCCTTCCTCCCTCTTCTTCCTCTCCGGCACGGTGATTCCGAACTTGGCCACATATTCGTTCTGCCACTCCTCCTTCATGTCGATGTACCCTTCGCGCTCCAGCTCGTCCGGCCCTTGCACCCAGATACAGCCGTTCGCGTACCCCGCATGCGCCGTGGAGCTGTCGGGCAGACCACCATACGGCATTCCGTTTCTCTCGAACCAGTAGTACCTGTTCCAGAACCGGTCCTTGCCGAGCACCCTCGTGCGGGGGCAGTCCGCCTCGCGAAGGTCGTTGTCGATGATGGCAATCTCCTTTTCGCATTCCGCAATCTCGTCTTCCTTCTTCTGGATGTCCTTGAGCACCTTGAGGAACTGCTTTGACTGCTTGGGCACCTTGGCAGCGGCCGCCGCCGCTTCCGCGCGCTGCTTCTTCTCTTCCTCCTTGCGCTTGCGCTCGGCGGCCCGGTCGTTGCCACGGCGCAGATTGCGCAGGCCGTTAACTGGCGTGCCGTCGGCATCCTCGACGTCGGAGTCGGGGATCTCGTCCGAGTTATGGGCTCCCCCTGTCAAGGAGATCTCGTCAACGTCCGTCATCTTCACGTCGCCGTTAGTGTGCGCTCCGTTGACGCCGTTGACCTTACTCGGCTCCAAGGGTGGACTGGGGGGAAGGTTGTCCGGGAGCAGGATCTTGCGTTGGTCGTTCAAGTTCTTGAGGTCCTCGACACTATCATTCATGTTAGCCATTGTTTCGTTCCGCATCACAGCTCATGGAATTGCACTTACGCTTGCTTCCTCTTTCGTTGCCACTCAATCTTCTCCTTCCTGTACGCCGTCATCTGCTCGCTGCAATCCTCCATATAACCTCTAATAGCCTTGGTCTCCGCAGTGAGCATGCAGATGATCTGCAAAGCCTGAACGCGGTAATTCACATCGAGGCTCGCATACCGCGCGCGCACCGTCTCGCGATTCGGCTCCTCATCCTCGACGGGAACAAGCTGCTCCAGAAGCTCCTCGCAGCTTGCGTTCAGCCTCTCGTTCTTGCTCAGCTGGTGTAGCAACCCGACCATGATAAGTTCCCAGCCGCCGTCCTTGAAATCGCGCTTCCGCAGGTGCTCGATCCAGTCGTAATCCTTAAGAACCTCCTCGGCACGGTGCTTGGGCGCATCTTCGGCCTCCTGCATCTCACGTTCGGCGGCCGCAGCCTCGGCAGCTAGTCGCTCAGCCTCGAGCTTAGCCAGGCTGCTGCGGGTCGCGCGGGCGGTAGGTAACGATTCGGGTTCAGGGGTGGCGGCGGCGCTGTCTTCTCCATCCTCCTCTTCCTCATCCTCCTCTTCAAGCTCGGGCAGTTGAATTTGGACCTTCCCACCTTCGGCCTCGGAACTGACAAGGATCTTGAGGACGGCGCAATGGATCTCGTTGAAAAGCTGTACCGGCATCTCCGACGAGGCGAGCTGCATGGCCTCCACAAAGTCGTCGAAAGTGAACGAATCCAGCTTGAAGATTTCGCAGTAAACGTTGAGGGTATCCCAGGTCTCGAGAAGGGGTCCTACCGACTTCATGAGTATCTTGCCATCGAAAGGCGCCTTGGCATTAGGTTCCAGGTCGACAGGCGGATCGGCACACAGGTACTTGAGTTGCGGTCGCGCGAAGCCACGAGACTCGACTTGCAGATCCTCGATGGGGTACTTGGGCGGCGGGGGCGGCGGGGGAGGCTCGGGCGCGCTGTATATGGGAGGTAATGTGTGACTGCGATACGATAGAGGGAACTGGAACGGATTGCCTGGCAGTGGTAAGTGCATGAACCCGCCCGGTTCAGGGCCATTGAAGAGGTTTTGTTTCCTGGAAACCACGCCTCCATTCTGCCGCGCCTCCTGAGCAGCAGCCTGAGCGGCCTGCTGAGCCTTTGACTTGTGACTCTTGGGCGCTGGCTTTAGCTCAGGGAGGCGGACCGGGCCAGTAGGACTAAACTGTCCGGGTGAGGTAGGGGTGTTATGGCTGGTGTGGCTGTTGAGTTCGATACCCATACCGCCTGGTTGCGACATCCTCTTCTGCGCCTGAATTTGCTTTCTCTCGAGCAACTTGTTGTCGTAGCGCAGATGAGGCGGAATTCGTGTGTCGATATGATATCGCTCGGCAATGTCGGTCTTAACCAACCAGGGAGCGCCGTTCCAAGCCTCGCGCGTTACTGTCTTCTTGATGAAAGAGCGAAGGACCGACTTGGTGAAGACCTTGCGATCGCGGAAAATCTGGGAATCGTTGACGGGCACCTCCTCCTGGCGCTCTTTGAGACTGACAAAGTAGCGGGAATACGGGGGAGCAGTGGAACCATCTGGTAGGACGGTACCTCCGAATCGAGTCTTGTCCCGGACTACACCATGTAGTTTCTCTCCATCGATGCTGACGGTAACAGTCTCACCCGGGTAGTAATCGTTCTTGAACTCGTCATAGATCTGATCCACCAGAGTGTCAATGCGAGACACAGTCTGGAACTGAACGCGTCGAAGAACAGGACCCTTGAGGGCCTCAGGAAACGCCTGCTCAACCTCAGCTGCCCCAGCAGTCTGCAGGTGAAAGGGTTGGGTTAGTCCTGTATGGAAACGCAGAAGGCTTTCTTGAGCTTCGCATACCTCACTTGATAGGGCTTCGAAGAAGGTTAAACCAGAGTGACCTGTAATTGTGCATATGAATCGTTTCTGTTCCATAATGTGAGTACGTATCATCCAGGGGTGACTTGTTTACTTGCACAGCTGTGCTCACCTGGTTGTAAAAGTCCATTCTATCTCGATGTTAGCTTCTCAGTTCACATATAGTTGATTTGACTTTTCTGTACATACCGATTGAGGTACTCCTCATACGTCACGAAGATCTCTCCCGTCTGGGGGATGTGCCAAACCTACAAGGCAACGTGTAAGCTGGCGACTGCACGAACACATGAGAGGGCAAAAGGAGGAGAGCATGCATACCTCTTGGTTGTCATCTTCAATATTCGGTACAGTTATAAACTGCACCGGTTTCCGTTTGAAGAGGACCTGTTTGGTGAAGATAGGTGAGCAACCTGAACCAGATGATAATGGAGCCATTGGGGAATTAAGTACCATGATGAAAGCTCACTCCTCGGGATTTCAGATGAAGCGGAGTTGGTGACCTTGGGTGAGGAGGAGGAAGGAAGGGAACCGACGTAAAGCCGGAAAGGTAGACCCCAAAGATGACGGGGTTAGCTTGAGAGGAGAGCAAGGCCGAGCAGCCTTGCACGTGTCTAGATGATGAGTCTAGATGTATCAGACCTATAAGAGCAAAAGTGGTGGTGAGCAAGTGTGTGATTGAGAGAATTGAGACGCGTTGTTGCGCCCAAAAGAGCGGTGTTGTGGCTCATGTCGCGATCCGTGACGGTCGAGTGGAGAGAGGGGAGTTGGGTTGAACAGGGTTGTCACGGGTGTGGTGTGTGGGTGCCTCGAGGGTAGGGTGCTAAACCCAAGTGCGTGGTGTGGTTGGGGACTCGGGGGGATAAGAGGAGAGGAGGTATGAGGAGGTATGAGGTATGTGCCATGTAGGTGGTATGTGGAAAGGTGTAATACGTACAGCCGCCCTAACACTTGAGGTGGTCTCAATGCTGCTGCAAGGCTGATTGAAGACTTTTTGGATCCAAAGCTGCGCTGCATCCGTTTAAAGCCTCGAATTCGTGGTGGTTTGAATTTGCGCCAAATCCAATGGAGGCCGGGAACACGGTGGGTTGGGTTTCGGATGCCGGCCGGGGGATGGTGTTTATCAAAATTCCATTCAATATCCCGATATCTTGGACAAGACAAAGTGGTGCCGTGGTGGGCGGATTGTGTCGATGCGGGAGCGGGTGCAAGTTGTGGGAGTTGTGAGGAGGAAAAAGTTGAGCCAGGGCCCGGGGGGAGGAGAAGAAGTGGAAGTGGGAGGGCGGGAGTGGAAGCCCCATGGCGCTGGGATGGTCGGGTGGAACGAGGAGGATGGACGGCAAATGGGAGCGTAGGACTGACTGGCCGTGAATGTACCTGAGAACCTGTGCCCGTGTTGGCGTCCGGGACCCGTTGGACCCGCCAGGGAGGGACGGGATGAGGGATGGCTCCAGCTCCGATGCCAGTGCGGCCTACATAGAGTGGGAGCCCTGGCCCTCTCTTTGCCCTCCTCCTCGTCCCCCGTACTGGCACCGTACTGGGCCTTCCCCCCCGAGCACCCCCAGGACCACTCCCCAGACCCTACCGGCCGCCCACCCGACAACTCCCCAACGTTCAAGTACTCGCCGTGCTCGCCGCGACGAGGGCTATCTGCTGACGGTTGAAGCGTTCATTTTGGTCCATTCTTCAATTATATATGTTGGCGGATGTACCCTCCAAAATTTGTTTTCCGAGGGTAGGGGTCCCGCATGCACCACTTGGACCAGGCCAGGTTCCAGGCAGGGCGGCCGCTCTGGAGGTGCCGCGATAGAGCGCGACTTTGATCGCAACCGATCCCGCATGTCGATCCATGTGCACCAGCTGCCCAAACAGCCCCCTTTTCTTATATGGGATACCAGGTTCTTGTTTGCACGATATCAATGACCTCAGACCAAAAAACAACAATGGCAAACCCATCCTAGCGACAAGGCCAAAACGCGCCTGGTTGCGCGTGTTGCGTCTGGCGGTGGTGCATGACACTTGCTCCGCAGCAAAGTACCGCGCTAGCAGGCTCAGGGATCTTACCTTCACACTTGGCCCCTCGACAGACGGGACCACCGACCACGGCCACCACTTTTTCACCTCCATTCACTGGCCCCTCCCCCAATTGACGTGCAGAAACTTCATCTGCAACATAGGGAGAACCTTTTGAGCAATCCAACAAATCAACAAACCAAAGCCATATATAAGGTCCGAATAAGAAGCACCAAGACAGGCCACGAGGTTACTATAGTATCAGATCGAAGATACGTACTTGTAGATCTGATATCGGATGGCAGATTCGCGCGTTCAGGGGTAAACAACAACTACTCGTCAGGTAACATTTCCACCCAGCTACCTCTACCTACCTCTACCCCTGGATCGTCTATAGCCTGTCTGTTCCTCCATTCAGTATGGATGCCAAATGGGAGTGGTTGCACGCAGTCCATATATGTCTTGTGGTTGGGTGTTTGTAGTTTAGACAAAGAGTACCTTGACGAGGTGCAAAGGAACGGAACCTGATGGAGTCACGGAAGAGTACTGTGTAAATGAGTGATAGCTCTATCGGTGAGCGGTAGATGAAAAAAAAGAGTCAGGGCCCTCCCGTTTGTTTGTGCAACCAAACAACAATTTTGGGCCGGTGGTCACCGCACATCAAAACAACAACAGGGGTACAACACAGCACAACACCGAGCGAACCGCACTGCATCGATGTGAGCGAGTCTCTCACCAGCGATCACCAGGGGTCCTGGGGGTATGGAAGAATTCGGCAGAAGCTCAGAAGAGAAAGAAAACAAAGTTGCCTGCCGGATCAAGCGGCGCAGGGATGTGGGGTAGGTAACTCGCAGGATACGTATGTACAGATGGTACAGTTTGAGTTTCTCCAAATCTCAGCCTTGCAGAAAACCACGATTGTCTCGACGAATCGACGAGCGCCAACGTTCAGACAGCAACCTTTTTGGTCAAAATTCATCGGTTCATTGGGTGCCAATTTTTGAAACCTCACGTCGTCTTAGTCAGCCGCATGGCTGGGTTTCAAACCTCCTCAAACCTTTTTTTGGAGGTCCAGGTCTTGGCATTACTCTTCAGTTGGCGGGTGCACCCGTGTCTTTGTTTTTGTGATATACACACACAGTACTGCGGGATTGAAGGTGAAAATAGTTCGCCAAATAAAAGAACAAAAGAAACCAAAAAAATATTGCAATTGATCGCTTGTTACGCAAAAATTCTACTCTGTAAAATACACCACCATGAAGCCCAACCAGCTGCCGACGACTCCTATCGCCGAGTACGAGCTGGTAAACATCAACGGTAGAAACTCGTAGCTCTTGCCAAAGATGATGCCATGCATCAGAGAGCAGTAGAAAATAAGGGGGATGCCGACGGTGATGTACGCCGTGCTGAGGCGATCAAACAGGAACAGTCTTTGGCGGGTAGGTGCCGGGGCAAGACGGTCGAACGCCATCAAGAAGAGAACAAGCCAGAAGATGGTATAGATGGTCTTGATAGGGAACTCGGCCGGCGTGAAGATCAATGGGAAGAGCGACACATGGCCCGCCACAGCCAAGGGTCTGAAGGCGCCCAGGTACCGTCGGTCCTTGAGCGCAATGAGGCTGAACGGGATGATGACCAGCAAAATGGCCTTCTCGTGGACGTGCCAGCCGAACAGGAACGAGGCGTACCCGCAAAGGGTGACTGCGCCGATGAAACCCTCCCAAGTCGGCCTCATAAAGAGCTTGATGAGGGGGATGGCCTGGAAAAGGAGCGTCAAGACAAAACACATGCGAGGTGTGATGTCAGGCAGCACCGCGAACGAGGTGTCTCCGACCAGACCGCGGGTAACGCTGTTGAGTGCATCCGCCTTGATCGGTAGCCCAATCCTTGGCGCGAGCGAGATCAGAACTCGGTCGATGAACGAGTACATGGCCCACACGTTGGGAGCCCAGTATGCATGGCATAGACCTCGCGAGAAGGGGAACAGGCGGCTGAAGATCTGCGGGATCTGGTTTCTGAGCGCAAAGGGGCCAAAGGCAGCCGCGAAAATGGCGGCGATTCCACCGCCCAGCTTGACGCAGTTGAAGAACTGGATCCTGAAGATGGACTTGGGGGAGAGGCAGTACACCCTGAGAAGGTAGACAAAGTAGGCCGGTGCCAGGTAAAGGTAGATGTGCTTCATGCACAACAGGGCGGCAAAGACGAGACCGCTAGCCAGCAGAGATGACTTCTTCTTGGCCAGGACCAGAGAGGCAATCAGAATGCCGTACAAGACGCCGTTGTACTGGAAATGGATGTGGTCGATGATGAGGAGACCGGGCGACAAGAGGATGGACACAGCAGCCGCCTGAGCTGCCCTCTTGGACACGCCATGTGTAGAGTCAACAAACCTAATTAGCCTTTCGTTAGCAGCGCACGTATTTATTTTCAAAGGAACATTGGTTCATACATCTGCAGCGCATAAACCAAGACCAGCTCCGTCACAATGACGGTCCATCTTTGAAAGTAAACGGTCTGCCAACTGTCGTACTCCAGATTATGGACCCAAATCATGGCCGGATCAGCCAGCTTGGCAACCTGCGACATGATCCATTCGAAGTAGGCGAAGAAGGGCGGATAGTCCAGAGTCCATTCTGACGTGTTTTCGTAGTACCAATCCCAGAGCGGGAGACTGTGAGTGATGGCCAGCCAGTTGCGATGGACCTCAAAGTCGGTGGATTTGCTGAAGGGGCAGGATCGTGTCAGTGATCTCTACGCATGAGAGATGGTGATGGCTTCCTGTACGGCGTCGCCGGGCCATCGGGGATCGCCGGGGCAAAGGATGAAAGGATGAGGCGACTAGGTAGACATACTAAGCTGGGAACAAGAGGATCTTGAAAGCCGCAGCCACTATCGCGCATTGCACGAGGGAAGGATATATCTCAGCCATGTCTCCATTTACTGGTGAGATAGGAGACGACGGTTATGAGATGATGAGAAGAAGTGCAAGGTGTCACTGTGGCCTGGTCCTATCGGTTGTCGGCTCGTCGCAGCCTGGGTGTCGTCGACGTCGGTCGCGTGTAATTTACGATGGGTCCGTTTTTAATTGTTTCACTCGTGAACCCTGACGGTCTGGCTAGGCTCTTTTGAGTTTTAAAGTTGCCTGCCGCGAGGTGCTCGGACGTCGGCATGGCAAGCATGGACAGCCACATTCCGTCTCAACTTGAACTTTAAACTCAGCCACGTCTTTTTGATACTGAAGCGAGCTTTTAGCCACAGGAGGTTCCCCGCAGACAGGCACGCTGGACGTGCGGAGAGGGAAACCCCTGTTGCGGTGAATCAAGCTCCTTGCAGGGGAAGGTTCGGTGTTTTAAACTTGTAAGAGTTTTGGGAATTGGGAAACTGGAAGCTGTCATTCCGAGATGGCACAGCAGCACTTGAACATTCTCGCGAGTAGTAGTCTCCAACACCTTTTTCGACAGTCACTTTTTTCTGTTGACTCTCTCATTCTAAAGCACCAGCCATCATCTCGTCTACACCTTGTGTGAATCTCTTCTGGAATTCGCTTGCCGCTTGGCTTGCCGCCCTATCCTTCTGTACCTGTCGACGTACATGTATCCACAGTCCACACCTTGTTGACCTCTCTTCAGTCTTGGCCGGGCCGCTTCACCGAGACCCCAACTCCTGTAAAAGTGTAAAGTGTCCTCATCGCATCGACAAACGGAAAGCGGCTCTTCACTTTTTTGTGACTTTTGATATCAATAGGCTTATCAGTTCCTTTTCACCTGGAATTGGCCTTCGGATTGAGCATATCGCGCCAACAGCTCTTCGGCCAACCACCAAGGTTCGCGCCCCCTAGACTAGGCCGACGACTGTCAACATCACCGTCGCACTACAGTCAACACGATGCGCTTGTTGGCGGGCATTGTCGCCCTCGGCGGCGTCGCTGAGGCTGCCCAGTACCTTGTCAATGATCTCAGTTTCGGATTTGGCACAAGGTACGTTCAACGTCAACTGCACACTGCCGGCGCACATCAACTAACAGCTGCCTCCTCTTCCCCACCTCAGGATAAACCCCGATGGCCGCAACACCATTCCACATTACTCCATGCAGGGCAATCCCAATGTGCCCGAATTGCTCTCCAACAAGGTCATTCTGACCCCTCCCGCGCCCGGTAACCAGCGCGGTGCTGTCTGGGCCGACAAGCCGCTCGAGTACACAGCCTGGACGACAGACATCGACTTCCGCGTCAATGGCCCCGAACGAGGCAGCGGCCTCCTCAACATCTGGCTTGCCAAGGATGGCGCCCGCAACATCGGATCGCAGAGCATCTATACGGTCGGCAAGTTCGAGGGTCTAGTGCTCGTTGTCAACCAGCACGGCGGATCGGCTGGCATGATCAGGGGTTTCCTCAACGACGGCACTCTCGACTACAGCATGCGCACCAACGTCGACAACCTCGCTTTCGGCCACTGCTGGTTCGCCTACCGCAACTTGGGCCGCCCTTCGCAAATCAAGCTGCGCCATAACTCGCAGAACTTCAAGGTTGAAGTCGACGGCCGCCTGTGCTTCGAGAGCGACAAGATCCACATCCCCACCGGCTACAACTTTGGTCTTTCCGCCGCCTCGGCCGAGACCCCCGACTCGTTCGAAGTCTTCAAGGTCGTCGTTTTGTCCGAGGACGACATTGGTGCCGTTCCCAACCAGCAACAGCAACAGCAGCAACAACAACAGCAGCAACAACAACAGCAGCAGCAGCAACAGCAGTACCAACAGCAACCCGGCGAGAACCAGAAGCCCCTCGGCGGCACGACGCACGACGAAAACGGCCAGAAGCGGCCCTACATGAGCTTCGGCCGGTCCGGCCAGGCCGCCATCCCGGACCCGTACGACAACGCGATCCCGGACGTCGAGGCCAACAGCATCACAGCGTCCAAGGCGCAGTTCGAGGACCTGCACACGCGCATCCAGTCCATGAACCACCACCTGTCGTCCATCTTCCGGTCCGTGGCCCAGTACGGCGGCATCGCCGACCAAAACCACCAGGAAGTGTCCGTTATGCTGGGCGAGATGAAGGGCCTCCTGACCAAGCTGGACCGGTTCGCCAGCGTCGAGAACAAGCTCGAGAACCTGGAGCGCGAGGTGCGCAGCATGCGCTCCGAGCTGACGGCCCGCCTCAAGGAGAGCGAGCACAGCATCAAGTACCATGTTACCGATAAGCATGAGGATTTGGCGGGTCATGTGGTCAAGCATGCCGCGCCGGGCCATACGAAGCTGTATGTGGCGATTGTGGGGAGCCAGGTGGTGTTGGCGGGTGCGTACTTTTTCTACAAGAGGAGGAAGGCTGGTGGGCCCAAGAAGTATTTGTGAAGGGGGTAACATATATGAGGATTACCGAAGAGAGCGGGGTGAGAAGAGGACGAAGGTGGAAGGAGGAAAATGTCTAAGGAGACTAGAGACTTCTCTGGCCCTCGTTGTAAATAAGAAATGGGTCTGGCTGCCCGTGGAAGTTCGTTGGATTGTTTTTTGCATGGCGTTGTAGCTAGAGTACGTTTGGGTTTTGTGTTCTGTCTTCAGGTGTAGTTGCAGGTTGAATCGAATCTGACAGTCAAAAGTACCTACAAGTGCAGTATTGTAGTTGGACACTATCAAATACTAAACCGCTAAGCGTTCTATGTTATTTCGAGTCGGTGTCCATGGCTACAGTAGGAGATAGGGTTGGTATGATAGATATGTGGTCTGCAAATACCTCTCTACAAGTAAACACATTCACGTTCCAGAACAGTTACGTTACACTCAACTACATTGAGCGACAAAAAACGTCATCTCTCAAACATTATACTCCACATCCTGCATCGACATCGATCATTTTACCATTGGTAGTTGTCTTTTTGCATGAATCAAGAGCTCACTTTCCACCTGGAGCATTCGAAAAAGAGAAAGAACACATTTGTCCATACCTACTGATGATGATGCGACTGAAAGACAGAAATATCGCTGAAGAACCCCATATCACAAATTCGGCCAAGCAATATTTTAGGACGCGGCTTCTATCAACGGCGGCTTCTGAAACTTCTAACAGTCCAACACTGAGCAGATCCGTAAGAATCGTGGCTCAACTTTGTTCGTTGTCATACAAGTAGTCAAATCGAACTGGCATTGTGAGATTGAGAGGTTTCGTTTCGCAGAACCCGCTGGCTGGCTGGCTAGGTACAACCTATGAAGAACTGTTCAGTTCAACCCCATACCTCACAGTTGGAAAAAGAGAAAGGGACGGGAAGAAAGGGGGGAGAAAGGTACCAAACACGAGGTTCCTTATCATGAATGGATCCTAGCCATGAAGGCCATACGTCAATCACTCCCACCGGTCCCCGGCGAAGACGATAAAACCCTCTCTAGAGGTAGTCTATATGTGACGCATAAATAACGTTGACGATATTTTATCTACCCTTCAGTCAGTCCATTCTATCCAGTTGGACAACAAAGGCGCTTGCTTATATCAGAAGTAAGGTATGTATGTAAGCTCTCGTCTTCTATCTTTCTACTTTGCCTCTATGCTCATGATATCGTCAATGCCGTCTAGATGGTATATCTAAGGTAATGCTCTTCTTCTTCTGTATCCAAAAACCACAAAAACAAGACCCTTCATAACGCCTGACCGTTTTCGCAACGACCAACCCAACCAACACCGCCCATGCCTCTGTACCATTCAGTCATACCGTTCTCATGCAAGTCCTTCACGTCACTCATCGTTCTTCATTCCGGGGTATCTCAACTCAACTCAACGAATCCAACTCTTCCTTCTCCTCTCCATATCCCTTTCTCTCCCTGCTCTTGACACTTCCCCTTCCCACCACCAACTTCCTACCCGAGTCTTGCGAGTTTCTTTCCCCTTTGACGGCGGCATCCACCTCCTCTTCACCGAGAGCGATTGGGACTGGGACTGGGACTCCTAATCCCTCCCCTCCTCTACCGTCGCCTGCTGCTCCGTCCTTTGCAACCCAACCCCACTCCCACTCCCACTCCCATTCCTCCCCTCTCCCTCACCTTCACCCAACGTCTCCGCCTCCGCCTCCGCCCTCTCCAACGCCCTCTCCCCCGCCTCCACAACCTCCTCCCCATCCCCATCCACGGACCACCCCCTTCCAATCCCCTTCCTCCGTCCCCTGACCACAGCCTCCAACGCCCTCCCCACCGCCCCCAAATCCCCCAACATACTCACATGCCCGCGATCCGTACAAACCCTCCCATCCCTCACCAACTCGTACCCCTCGGGTAACATGCTTTCGCGCGCCAGCACGACGCCATCGCCGCTGGCGAAAACCAGGTCGTCGTAGCAATCCGTGCAGGCGATGGCGTCCCGACATGACACGCGCGCGGCGTGCACGGTGGGTATGTCCTTGGCGTAGATCACGGCTAAGGGAGGGTAGGCGTTGCGTCGCTGGTGGGAAGGGTTGTGGGAAAGTTCGGAGCGGAAGTGTTTGGTTTCGGCGAGGGTGCGGGTGAGGTAGCGCAGGGCTTGGGAGTGGGAGGAGGGGGTGCGGTTGATTGGTTGTTGTTGTTGGTTTTCCGAGGGGCTATTGTTGTCGGTGGAGGAAGAACCCATTTGGGGAGCGATGGTGCGGTCTTTGAAGACGGGGTTGGAGGGTGAGGAGGAGGAGGAAAATGGGTTGTGGTTGTGGATGTAGTTGCTTGCGGTGGTGATTTTGCTGTTGTTGTTGCTGTTGTTGTTGTTGCTGTTGTCTTCGCTAGTACGGTTCTTCCCGCTGTTGCTGCGGCCGCGGATAGGGGAGAGATTGGAGAAGGAGTCGGATAGATTCAGAAGACTGCCGAGGGTGCCGGTGCTCTTGGACGGGTTCAAAGGCGGCAGGGCAGGTTCGCCGACGCATGGTGAAAGGCGGTATTTGATCCAGTCGTCTACGTTGTAGAAGTCTACTGGATACTCTTCCTTGGTGTTCTTGTCGATGAAGCAGAAGCCGTCCTCGGGCAAGAAAACAAAGGTGGTGCGGAGCGAAAAGTTGACCTGTGCGGTGAGTACCTTCTCGTTGAGCAGGACGGCGTCACCGTTACGCAGCGGGCCGAGGATGTTAATACAACGCTGAGGGACGCCAGCATAGACGACGCCTGCGTAGAGATCCGGGCGCTGGTTGACGGCGTGCCGGGTGATGACGCCGCCGAGACTGTGCGCAATGACCCAGGCACCTCTCTGTTCGGGTGGTGTGTGAGGCTGGTTGGATGGAAGCTTTTCGATGAATTCGTTCAGCTTTTTCGAGAGACGGTGGGGGCTTAGTCGCCAGTCATAGCCATAGTCATGGACTCTGAGTTTGCCGTTGCGGGCATTCTCGCACTCCCTCAGCTTCCTGAAGAGTTTTCTTGAAATGTCTATCGGTCCGATATTCTGGAGCATGCCCGAGGCAAAGATGTGCTTCTCCATGTTTTCCTCGTCCTCAGGCTCCAGGCCAACCTCCATGTTCACTTTACGGATATTCAAGCCTACCTTGACTGGAACCCACAGTTGTCGGTACGGGGGCTCAGCGGACCGAAGAATAGAGCCTCGATATCCTCCCATGACCACAATGTCTCCTGTCAGAGTCTCCAGAATCGCGTCAAGAGGATGAACAGCCTCCCGTGACGGCCGGTGGCTGCTTGACCCTGGCACTGAGCGGGTTCCATCTGTACCGTGAGAGTCACTTGCCGAAGGAACCACCTTCTTCAATGGTGATGTGATACCTGCCTCCGTTAGTCTCCCGCGGCTTACGGCCATCAGTCGTGTAAATGACGTACTCTTTGGTAGTTGAGGAAGTTTGAATGGGGTCTCGAAGCTGTCGATTATAGCTTTTATCCTGGTGTTGACCTGCTCACGAACATCGGTGAAACGCTCATCATCGCCCAGCGAGGAAACCCGCGTTAAAGACTGATATAAGAGTGAATCATTAGAAGTAGAGTGACGCAGTGTAGGAGGCCTCGAGGCTCTCAGAGATGATGACCGGCCGAGACCTTGAGTCGTGGCTGCTCCTGGTGTGGTAAGGGAAGGCCCCGTTTGGGCTCGGTTAGAGCGTATGCCAGCTATCGTGGCTGCCTTTGGAAGATGGGGCATTGACGGCCAAGTGGAATCCTTGTGAGAAGAAGAGCCGGACGAAAAGAAGGACGGCGTAGGTATCGATATGGATGGAAGGGCCTTGGACAATCTCTTGAAAGCATTCTCTCCGGCTGAAGCCGCACGAGATGACCTTGTCTCATTCCCAAACACGCCGAACATGGAGGATGTCTTGGCGCCATGTGGCTGGCCGACAATCATCTGCTTGGGCTCAGCCCGCCATGGTGATGGAAGGTCCGGAAGGCCCGAGTGCGATGACTGACGGAAATGACCACGTCTCTGTGGTTTCCTCGGGCTCATATCACCAGATGCCTTTCCTGAAGACTGAGCCCTGCCTCCGTCATCCGGGAAATCGAAGAGACTAGGAAGATAGTCCATGGCAGCAGCCTTCTCAGCAGCCGGAGTGTTTGGCGAGGTCAGACGAGTCGCTCTTGCGCTAATGGCGGGCTGCATGAAGGACTGAGCACCGTCTTGGTCGTCGTAGATGAGGTCGTCTTCATTGTCGTCGGAATTCTGTGCGGCGGTGGCGGAGGGTAAGACCTGGGGCTCGGGAAGATCGAGCTTGAGGGGTACCGCTGAAGCTGAGGCAGATGGACCAGATGGGGATTGAGATTGAGTAGGAGTGGGAGTGGGAGCTGTGCCGCCATTGACGCTGACGGGGGCAGCTTCCGCTTCCAATGGCGCCCCAGACGTCCCTAGCCCCATGCTCATGTTGGCCATGGATGACTTGCACAAGAACCAAACACTTGGTCGCAGCTAACTTGTCCCGTCCTGAAGAAAAAGTTTGGTGCTGGTCCGGATGTTCCGGTCAGGTGAAAAGTGCGTGGGTGACGGTCTCGAGAGATGGTGGAAGGTAGCGATGGTAGGTGATCGGGTGGTCCCAGTTAGGCTGATACAGTCTGCATTGTTTGTGTGGTGCAGCCGGTTTTATATATTGGGTTCCGCGTATTAGTGAAAAATGAAAAACGAAAATAAAAGAGAAAAGACAAGGTCTATGAGGGTCTGCCTAGGAAGAGAAAAGAGCGAGGGTCGGGTCTATAGGTAAGCATTAAGCGGACGACGAGGGAGGCCCAGTCAGATGTCAAGGGTTCATGGGAAAAGTCCACTTGGCCGTAGTATTTTTTCCAAAAGAAAAGTCGTGATCCCCACTCCCGAGTCCCGTCATCCGGTTCACTTGAACGGTCATCTCGATGGTGTTCATCCTCCGCTCGAGGGACGTACGGAGTTTCCATTAAACCCGATGGGACCAGAGAAAAAGACGGGACCAACGGCGGCAAGCTTGCAGGGAGTCCCATCTTGGGGTCTGTGGGTCCATCTGTGTTGGTGATCAGCGCTCCTGTACTCAATTCAGTTCTGCCACTGCACCTGCCAACTGCTGCTCCCTTCAGACGGGACATGGTAAATCCTACATGTGCATACATCTGTGGTTCGATTCATTACGCAGTATGTATCCCGTCGGCCTTTTTCGCTTTTAACTGGCGGTTTCGCGGGTTCGTTGTTCATGGTTTAGCCTGGGAATGCTTGGGTCCATGCCTCTTCAGGCAATTGGGCCCGGAGGCTGAGTGATCAACCATGTCTTATCTACCACTACCATTCCGCGTATGACATTTCCAACAGGCAATGAAAACATTAAGATACGCGGAAATAAGCCTCGACTTTAGTTTACTTGCTCAGCTATCCCAGCTTCAGAATAGCTAGCGGCGCTTGTCGCTCGCTCCCGTCCCTTCATCGACCAAGGTAGTCCATTTCGTCTTGACGTCATGGCGCCCGGAGACTTTGACTGATCTCGAGCTGATCTCGCCGTTGACGAAGCCAAATGAGATTTAACCGCCCACGCCGTCCCAGCGCCGTGGCAAGCGAGTCAATGCCGTACGTAATAGATCTGAGATGCACGACAGACGGGATCGAAGAAAATCTGGGGAAGTTCCAGTTTTCACCCAGGGGCTAAGGTACGAAATCGGTAGCTGGGTAGACTCAAACTGGTCCCTGGATAGACTAAACCCACTTTGATCGCTGAGTAAGCCCAGCCGCCCAGCTAGCCGCCCAGCCTAGCCCAGCCCAGCCTAGTATACCGTACAATTAAGGTTATATAATCGATGCCCGCGTATTGCCAGATCTACGTTGTTGTCGTTATTTTTTACGTAAAGGTATTTAGAGTTATTAATCTAATTAATTGTCTACTACTAAGGGTATTAATACTATGGTTGCTAATAATACTGCTATCTTCTATATTGGCCCTATTGCTGCATATACTGTATTTGCTGTATTTACTGCCTAAAGTGTACATGCCTACCCTAATTTTGATACCCGCCGTGTAAATATTACTTAGAGTATTAGAGAGCCCCTATATATCTTTATAAATATATTAGAAGTATTAGAAGCGGTACTATAGGGAGTAGAGTTCGATTATATTACGTTATTAATATAATTTATTCTTATGAACTATTTTACTATTAATTAAAAAGGGGAGGGAAATTTTAATTTGGTTGGGACTAGGGTATTAGTATTAATTATCTAACGGGAGCTAGTATTCTATAATTAAGTTAATTAGAGCTGCTATAAGCTAGTAAATAGTTATAAGGCGGCTATATCTAATTATTTGGCGGCTAGTATTAAATTTAAGGATAGGGAAATAGGGAGGGCGCTAAAATTCTTTATAAGGGAATTGGAAAATAAAAAGGCGAATATAAATGAATTAGAATCGACCATAGGGGTATTAGAGAAAGCGTTAGCGTTAATATAAATTGTATTATAGTTTTTATAATAATATTATTTAAATCCTTTTACGTAATTTAGTTCGCTTATTACTAAATCCCCCTTCTAGCCCGAAATTATTTTTAGTAGGCTGGCGCCTTCCCCCCTCTCTAGGTATTTTGTTATATTACCCGGCGGAGCGGTTCGTTGTAAAAGAGTATACAGCGGTTATTATACCGGTTATGGTTAATAGGTACGGTAGTAGCGGGCGTGGCGGTAATAGGTTAAGTAAAGTTTTAATTACTATCGAGACTACGTAGTTCGAGAATTTCCCGGTTTATAAAGTTTCGTTCTAATATTTTATGTATATAATTAATAAGGTTTAGATCGGGGATAATTATTCGTCGTTAGCAGTTAAGTAAGGTAATAGGGTTTTAAATTGCGTAAATACGCCGTTTAATTTCAGTTAATTTAGTATTGCCGTTTAATTTTAATTATTAATATATATTTATATTCTTTATAATTAATATTGATAGCGGGACTATTTGTAATAACCTCAATATAAAATATTCATAGGGTAAGTTATATTAGGCTATAAATACGTTTTTATATTTAGTATTTAAGTTTTAATAAAAGTCTTTTAATTAATTGTTATAAGCATAGTAGTATTAATATTATATAAGTTTGAAGGTATATAGCGCTACTTATATAAAAAAATAAAAAAAAGGGAGGTTAATTAACTAGACTTCTAATTGTATTTATGAGGGCAATAATAAAAAATAGTATTTTTACGTACTTTTAATACTAAATTATTAAATATCCCTACCCTTTTATACTTATATAAATACGATTACTTTGCTATAGTATATTGTAATTTAAATACTTCTCTTTAAAAGCGGTAAGTAAAGCGTATATATTCGTATAATTAATCTAAAGAGAAGATACGGTTCTTAAGGAGGCGTTTAATAGTTCTATATATAAATTAGATTTTATTAGTTACTTTAATATTGAAATCCTTATATTTTAAAACGGTATAATTCCTAAATTTATTAATTTAAGGGAAGTAGTATTTATAAAAGTAGGCTAAGAGAGTTAAAAGATATTAACGAAAAAAGTATATAATATATTATAGAAAAGAAGGGGGTTAAAGATAGGGGTTATTAAATATATACGAATTTATTATTTAAATTTATATATTATTAAATATTATACCCGCTTAAAGTAATTATTGTTATTAGTATAAACTACTTACTTTTAAACGGCTTAGAAGCCTTCGTATATATTTAAATAAAATTAATAAATAGGATTGAAAATTAATATATTACGATTATATAGAATAACGGCTTCAATTATTAATTCTTAATTACTTAATAAATTTTTTATTTATTATTAAATTATTAAATAAAGCGGTTAACGGTGGTAGTATTGTTAACCTCTTCTAAATTATCCTCCTCTAAATTATCGTTAATACGCTCGTCCTTTTTGTTAATATTATTATTATTAGCTTTATTATTATTAACCGCCGCGGGGCCTTAATACGATAGGAGATTAGGATTATAGCTATTTAAATTCCGGATAATTAGTAAGAGATTTAATAAATTAATATTAGGGGTAAGATTATTACTGCTATTACTACTATTAAGGAAAAGTTATACTTACTCCTTCTTAATATAGTAATTTACATTCTTTATACCGTACTATATATAAAATTAATATTGTACGTCTAAGTAGGTAGCAATAGCGGCCTTTTTAAACCCTCTATCGAAGTTGGTAATGAGCATTGCGGGGTTGGGAATTTCGTAATCTTCTTAGAGTTTCTTTAAATAATTAAATTACTATTTAAAGTCTTTTTACCTCTCCCCGTTCGAAAGATTAAAGGCGATATTAAAATTATAATTAAATATATTGATACTAATAACGTTGAAAAAATGAAGGTTAAAGCGGTTAATTTACAAAGAAAAAAAGGGGTTAATTAATTAAACCCTATAAGAGTGGTTAAGTTAGAGAGTAATTGAATTAAAAAGTAGTTGAGTTAATAAGGGTAATAATACTTTATATATATCATCGACTAGTAAAATATAAGGGTTCTTCTTCTACATTCCTATATACTAATCGAAAATTTAGGATATTTACGCTACTTTTTATTTATTAGGAAAGAACGGGTTATAATTGATAAAATATTCAATACCATATACGTTCTTATACTACTTTAAAAAGTCGAAGAGTATTTTCGTCGAAGAATAAGGACTGTACTTTATACAACGAATACGCTTTTAAATATTTAAAACCTCCTAAGTAATAATAGGAATTTAAAAATTATGTAATTCTAATACTAAATTATTACCGTTAACGCGTTAAATAGAAATAATATTTTCTATTTCGATTTTATAATCCAAAGTGCTGCTTAAATAATAAACAATTTAACGAAAGTTTATTCTAACGATACTAAATAACCTTTTGATAATAATATTAACGGCCTCTTTATAATAACAACGGATTTATTATTAATAAATAATATTACTAGCGAAATTAATAATATCAACGTTATAATTATAATTATTATTAATCTTTTTAATAAATTATTAAATTTTTTTTTTCAATATAACTTTTACTTAGTAAAGATAATTAAATCGACGTAAGGTAGTATTTCAAATTCCTTACCCGATATTACCTTTATAAATACCACCGTATATATAATAATAATTAATATATATAACGAATTGCTTTTTTCCCCTCTTTTTACTCTTTATATTATTGTATAATTAAATTATAAAATTTTATTATACGGCGTATCTTATAAAGTATCGAACGTAATGACCTTATTATTGTAATCCGACAAAATAAATAATGGTTTCGTTCGTCGTCGGATTGGCGAAAGTAAAGGCGAAGGAGAGAGAATTCGTTATTTAATAGTAGCGCACTCGTTAAGAGATTATAATAACCGTATTTTTATTCGCTCTTTATGGGGACGGTAGATTGATAACGATTAGATTTCAGTAATAGGGGTCGTATTCCTATTGGGAATAATTATTCGAAATAGACTTTTCGGATTTAAAGGTATTTTATTAACGATTCTAGTTAAATCCTGTTAATGCTAATTATTTTGGTCGGCTAAATTAGAAGTCTAATTTACTAAACGAATATACGACGTATAGAAGGCGGGCGGGCGGTATATTAATAAATATTACGAAGTCGAAGATATTATATTAAATAATAATAAAAACGAGGGATAATCGCTATAAACGGTTGCTCAATACCAAAGTAAGGTCTCGTGATAGCTTCATTCAATTGTATAAGACTAACTATCACTAATAGATAGCGCAATAGTAGTAGCAGTTGGGTAGCGATATATACGTTATATACGGTATGCTAGGCTAGGCTAGGCTAAGCTGGGCGGCTAGCTGGGCAGCTGGGCTTACTCAGCGATAAAAGTAGGTTTAATCTATCCAGGGACTAGTTTGAGTCTACCCAGCTACCGTTTGCGGCTAAGGTAAGATCCGTCTCTTGAACCAAGCTTTTGCAGCACGTTTCTTGGCTTTTATCGTGCCACGCTTGCACCGGGCTGAGACACTTCGGACGAACCAAGTCAACATAAAATCTGTTAGGGCTGAAAACGTGCAATTCTTCAACATTGCTGGGCTGTTATAGCGGGTTGATTGTCTCTGCTACTTCATGATTGAAGCGAGTTGATGATTTGCACAAGGGAGGAAGCACTGCCCTGCAAGGGGACCCAAAGAGCGAAAGCGGAAAGTTTCAACAATTCAGGCCCCACACTCCATCCAGCACAAGCTTGCCAAGGCCGCCTCGTCCGCCTACAATGTAACGCCATGTCACCACCGAGGCTTGACAACCTTTTAGGCTTATCTAAGAAAAGCTTGGTGACGGACACCAGGCCGACGTCTTGCATGTGAATCCGGGTCTGAGAGAACGAGTGTGAATGGAGGATGGTACGAAGGAACCCACGGTGACTTGGAGTTCGATGACCTTTTGGTTAGGTAGATATCTTTGGACGGGATTCGACCTCGTCTTCTGCTGTGTTGGCAAGGAGTACCCAGGATATATAGTCATGCCCTTCTAGTTGAGACGCATGGGCGAGTCAGAAAGTGAAAAGACGAACGGCCAGTGTGAAAATTATCGTTCCTAATATAGCCTGCGAACCAGGTTGATAGACAGTTAGACACACATGGTTCCGCAAGAGGTTCGTTCCCTCAAGGCGCAAACTCGAAACAAACTCGGTAAAACAAATACCACTTGGCCACAAACTCCGAGTTTACTCCCTCAGTCCTTTGTGAGCCTGGGTACTATACTCAAACCATGATCGTGACACTTCCTTAAGCGGTTCGGATGCTCAATCATAAAAGTGTAGAAGCCAGGGGGTTGACTGGCTCTCCCAGTTGAGAGGATCAAAGGGTCCATGAGTGCGAAATACAGTGGAAGGTTGAGAACGGTGGGGCATAGGGTATGTCGGACATGACTCGGTCAAGAGCACGACACTGGCGGGATGTTAACGCAACCGGTTGACGACCAAATTCGAGCGACAAAAGATTGGTTCATTCGTGGATATTGGCGATTGAAAAGAAATGAAAAAGTGACAAAAAAACCAAAAAGAAGGCGTGGTGCTTCCCAGAAAGCCTTTACACAGTAAACCAAGGCTTGGCGCAGTGCACGTGATACAGCACGCGTCCTCACCTTAAACGACGTCGCTGCACTCCGCCAAGACTCCACCTCCATCGTTCACTCGCCTGGGGAGAACTGACCCATTTGACATCACGACCCTTCCCGGCGCAATTCCACACCCAACTGAAGTACCACAGACATCCCAGCACTTCAGCAACAGCGCAAGCGGAACTCATTCAAAATGGCGGGCCTCGAGCATTACAGTTGGTTTCCCCCATCTCTTCACCATTGTCTCGTATGCAATTGCGATTGTGATGCAATTGAATCGCATCGCATCGCATAGTAACCTCCGAATGTCTCGAGACCGAAATGCTAACCACTTTGCGATTTTGTATAGAGCTGGCCCAGGACCCGGCGTTCGTTCGCCTGTCCAGTATGTAGCCCACCCTGACCTGAACCCGTTCCTTTCCCTTCCTTGCGATTACTCCACTTCCGGTTTCCCTACGAACGAAACGATGAAAGATCCATGTCCGCCATGTTGTGCCATATCTCGTACCTCTCCCACGTCCATCCAAATCTAGGCGGGTTGCAAAATGTTGGAATACAAGCTTGGTCTATGCTGGACGTACCAAACCGCTATATAACCCGAAAATATGGTTCAAAACAAGAAGGAAACCCGTGGGGGAGTGATTGCACAAGAAGGAGGAGTCAAGTGTCATTAACACCATTTTGCCTTCCCACAGACATGACCAGCAACCGCTACAAGTACTTCCGTTGGACGCCCCGCACCGCTAGGATTACTTTCGCCTACGCGATCGTCGTTCCCGCTATTGTTGGGTATATCGCTTACAAGACCGATGTGAGTTATCCATCTATCTGAAGGACGCGACACGACATATGTATGATGGATGGGGAGGGTGAATTGCTCACAAAAGACACACACACACATAGGGCAAGTACGACTTCCGCGCTAAGCGGAGAGGTGACGACATGCGCGAGTTTTAAAGAGATGGGGCATTAGAGGAATCAAGGGAGTTCGTTGTGAGCATGTGTACATGTGGTAGACTGGCCGCCGCTCATAGAAGAGTCTGAGGGGAACACAGAACCCGGGGATGCTGGGCCCATGAAAACATATTATTAGAATCACTCTCCTGGATTGCTTGAGTTCCTGCGCGCATACATCCGGAATAGCGGTGGACAGCGAGCACATATGGCCCAGTTGTGCTACTGCTTTTGTGATGCTCTTCAATCCGCCATCGATTGCTTTTGACCGAAGAACGCTTCCTGTTCAGTGACCCATGGATCTCTTCTTGCGGAGTCACCGGCACTTGTAGAATGTCTTGATCTCTGTTATATCGAGCCAACATCCCCTTCCTGCTTTTGATGCCGTTCTGGCGGCATCATTTGCCATAAAATGATTTCTGTGTCCTTTTTTTTTTCCGTAGTGATCGCATAAATCCACCAAACATGATACGTCCTTGGTATCCAACATGCACCCATGCTGATTCTGGCCTCCCCCAACCCGTTGGTGTATGGACTCCCTTCCCTCCTGCAACTCAAAGCCTCAAAACCCTCGCCTCCAATCCCCTTGCGGCATAATACCAGGCTCCCTCTGGCGATTATTTCGTCCGCCCCTACTCTCCCTCCGTCCTCCCCAGTCATACGAATTCGATTCAAACCGCCCACCACCCCCACCCCCACCACCACGGTATCCCCTTGCCTGCGGCGGGAGCTCATCACCGTACCGATCTCCCATCCCCATCCGATCCCTATAACCGCCATCCCTCCCCCTCGGCCCCGGCGGCGGCGGCGAAGCAGCCGTGCTCCTCCCCTCCCCAATCCCCGAGCCGCGCCCCGTCCTTGCCGCGCTCACCGGCTCGACCGCTCCGTCCAGGTCGTTCGGCGGCAGGATCGCGCAAGAAATAAAATCGCCCGGCATGAACTTGGCGTCGGCCAGCGTCTTGTGAGCATCGTCGTAGCAAGGATCGTCGTCGGGCAGGCCGGCGTCCGCGTCGGCTCCGGGTAAGCCGGCGCCGATGACCACGCTTCCCAAGTCTTTGGAGACGTGCCGGGAGGAGTCCTTGCGCGTGTCGACGTAGATGAGCCGGAAGACGAGGCGCGTGCCGATTGCTGGGTTGGGGAGTAAAGGGCCCTGGGGTGACTGCTCGTTGGCGATGTCGAGACTTAGTTCGTCCAGGGTGGTTGAGCGCCAGGCGGGGATTTCGACGTAGAGGGGGAGGTGCGAGTCTGAGGTGAACTCGTTCATTCTGAGAGTGGGGTGTTAGTTGGTGTCTTTTGAAAAGTATAGGGGGGAGGGAGGTGGGACCGTGTACCGATGAAATGCGCCGGTGCGATAATAGAGTCTGACGATGAAAGGCGGTTCCCTCTTGATAGGAACAGCAGGCTCGTCTGAATGAGCTTGATCCATGATGGCGGTAAGTTGATGATTAATATGATATCCTATCTAGGTTCGGCCGTTTGAGCGATGCAAAGTGCAATAATCCGCGAGTGTTGTCCGAAAGCAAGAATAAAAGCAGTGGTGAGACCGTGAGAGATGCTGAATTGTTTACGACATAGTCAAGGTTAAACTTGGTGCTATACTATGACGCGTCGGAGATTGTGACCAAAATACAGAAACATAACATTGTGTTACTGAACTTTTTCATGGCTTTCGAGCATGTGAAGTTGGTGCATATGCGGCTCGCAGTGACAGCTAGGAAATGTGCGGGATGGGAGCTCTAGCTTCCATCAGAGCCCCGTCTGCGCCGCGATCCCACCCGTGGACGTCGGACATGTGGGGGTGTCAGCTGTGCCCGGGCCGGTTCTTTGATGGCCGGGAATCGGCAGGCACAGTTCACGAGTTCACATGCCACTGGTTCCTTCCATGCGCTAGCGTGTAGCGGCTCAAGGCCGGTTCCACGGTCCCACTACTCCGAAAAATTTAGTAGAGTCGCACCCGACTACGGCAGTATGAACGCCAAACTGTATTTTTCCCCACTTTGCACCTGGCAGCTCCGCTATTTGCACCCCTTCCTCCAAGCAACTAACCTGCAGCCTCAGGTCTTCGAGGTCATTTTCTCTCCTTTGCTAAGGTCTTAGAAGTTTTTCCATCTATCCTTTTCTAAAGTCGCAGAGGTCTTCCAGACTTCCTCTTTTTATTGCATCAAAGGGTTGCATTTAGTCTATAATATTAAAAGCAACTTTAGAAAGACTATTCAATTGAAAATACAAACCAGGAATAATAGTTCAAAATTAGAGTTCAAAAGCACGAACTCTTTGGAGCTTACTTCAGTTGGACTTTAGAACTCACTTAGTTCATTCTAAATTAGAGATTGGAACTGAAGTTAGCTTTGACCAAGTTTCTCCAATTTTAAATTAGGGACCAACATTTTGTACTGAATGATCTTTCTAGAAGCTGCTCTTCAACACCATAGACCAAATATAACCATTTGATGTACTAGGAAAAGATGATTCGAAAGACCTTTAAAACAAAGACTTTGAATCCTTAGTTCTTGGCCGATAACGAAGTCCGAGGAATCGAGGATTGAAAGACTTCCGAATAACCATTTCTAAGGGAGTGGGCGTAACCACTAACAGATGTTCCCAGATGCAGGGTGGGGAAAAATACAGTTTGGCGTTCATACTGTCGTACCGACCTCCAGTGCAACGTCCGCCCGTAACTTCAAGCTTGCCTCGACCATTTCACCACAACAACATTACGGCAGATCAAAACCTACCAGAAGCCTACCACCACGATTTCAACACGAAGCTCACAACGCAAATTCAAATATACGCACGAACCAAGGAGTAGAAATCCAAGAAACAATCTATTTATCAAGAGGAGGGAACACAACCCCCAACAACACCGCGACAATGGACTTCGCCGCCCTCATGTCCAAAGAGATCGCAAAGGCAAAAGGCACCACCAACAACACCACCACCTCCAGCAAACCAACATCGACAACAAGCACATCAGCAAAGGATACTAACACCAAACCCGATTCAACAGCCGCACGAGGTTCCGACGCCGCCACCACCACCACCGCCGCCGCCGCAGCCCCGAAATTCATCTCCCGCCGCGAAGCCGAAGCCCAACGGCAGGCCGCCTACCTAGCCGAGCAAAAGCGACTCGAAGAAGAACGCGCCGCCAAAGCGGCCTTGAAGCGCAAGCGCGAAGAGGACGCCGTCGAAGAAGCCAAAGCGCGCGAGGAGAAGAAACGTCGACTAGCCGAGGAATCGCGCGCCCGCCGCTTAGCCAAAGAAGCCGAAGAAGAGCGCGCCCGCCGCAAGCGTCTCGGTCTACCCGAGCTACCTCCCACCCCTACTACCGACGCCATCGAAAAGGAAGGAGGAACCCCCGCATCCGGCATCGACGACTCCGATCTCGACGACGATGACGACGATGCCCATGACCTACCCGACGATGAATTAACCTCCAAACTGCGCGCCCTAGGCGAACCCGCCTTTTTGTTCGGCGAAACGCACCTCTCCCGCCTGCGGCGGTACCGCAAGGCCGCCGGCCTAGGGGCTCTCGGCCTACCCACGGGCCCCATCACCACCTCGTTGCTCCCCGTCGCCGAAAAAGACATGAAAGTCCCCGCCACCTCGGCCGACATCCCACCCCCGACGGACCGCAAAGCGCGCCGCTACTTGTTCCGCCAACTAGCCTCTTACTTCAACATGGTCCTCCGCGAATGGGACCTCGCTCTGGCCAAAGAAGACAACGCGGACACGTTTGCGGGACAGGCGGCGCGGAACGCCATGGTGCAATCGAAAGAAACCATGCGCCCTCTTTTCCGCAAGTTTGAAAAGGGCGATTTGGAGAAGGATATTTTGGAGGCGATTGTGGAGATTGTGCGGGCGGCGCAGGAGAGGAGGTATGTGGATGCTAATGATGGGTATCTGAGGTTGAGTATTGGAAAGGCGGCGTGGCCGATTGGTGTGACCATGGTGGGTATCCATGAGAGAAGCGCAAGAGAGAAGCTGCATGATGGTGAGAGGGGACATATTATGGGTGGAGAGGTGACGAGGAAGTATTTGCAGAGTATTAAGCGGTGTTTGACGTTTGCGCAGGTGAGGTGGCCGCCAGAGGATGTTAGACAGTTGATGGGTTAAAAGTGGGAAGTAGGAGGAGGATTGGGATGATTGTTGTACCTCTAGTGGGTGAGGTGGAAAAGGAAAGGGGAACGGAAGAAATGAGTGACCATGATACCCATACGATTTTGGAGACGATACTTTGACCAAGTCTGAAACTCGGAGCTCGGGAAGTAGACTTTAGGCGTGAAATTGTGTATGAGAGTTTGAGTGAATGTTTCTCTTTGATTGTGCAAGGTTTAAAATATTCTCAAGGACTTTCTAACTACATCCCTCTGTTCGTGAACACCAGCAGCATAATAATGAGGGAAGAACCCCGGCAATGTGATGCCACCCAGCAACCCAGACCGTCTAAATCCTTCTTCGTTCATGACTTGTTAATGCGACTGATCTCACGCAGCGTTTCGTTTACGGCTCTAACGGACGTGATAAATGTTCTTCTGACGGACATGCTCCACCATTCGGGTTCTTAGGCCAAGCTCGCAGTGTCATCCATGGCCATGCTAAGCGAAATGTCGTTCATTCCTCCAGGCTTGCGGGATCCTTTGACTTCGAGATCGGCGGCCATGATGTTCATGCGCCGGATTCTGTCAAGGGCTTGCTTTTCGTAGTTCTCAAAGGTCTGGAGTGCGTATGACTGCATTTGCTGTCTAGAGTCGGTGGAGATTGGGGTGATCGACTTTATGAGAAGATGTCTGGTCAGCATAACGGTACTGTACTGGGAAAATGAGGTCGAGGTAACATACCTTGCTGATGGCATCGATCCGAGCGTTCAGCTTCCCATCTTTGATCATGGTGAACAGCTCATCCTCAATCGACGGTCCCGGCCCATTAAAGGCCCTCTGCATCGTGTCCAGCCTAACACAGGAGAAGGGCTTAAGGTACTGGACGATGGACTTGGTGCGGATGTCGGCGTACAACTTGGGCACGTGCTTTTGCAGGTAAATATCGAGGAGGTAGTCTGGTCGATACGACTCCAGGATCTCTATACACGCCGCATATCTGCCGTTAACGAACTGTGTGATGGCTCGGCGGATGTGCGGTTCTCGTTGCAAAAACTCGCGGAAAGAGTCATTGTCCAGGAGGTTGGCCTGCAGCTCGTGCCTGTCCATTGTGGCAAGCGCCAGCAGACCGCCATAGATGGCAACGTCGTTCGGGCTGGCAATCTGGTTGTAAACCTCTGGGGGCACGTCGGAGCTGGCTTCAACAAAGGATAACGCCGCCTCCTTGTAGCGTTCCTGACCTAGCGCCGCGATGCCATTCGCAATCTTGCTGTACGTTTTGAGGGCTTTGGCTTTCGGGTCCGAGTCGTTTGCGGTATTGACGTGCTTGCTGAGATGATTGCTGACGGATTTCCAGTCGTGACGTTCGATCGCCACTCGGACAAGGAGCTTCCCAATGTCGACAAGCTGCTCTGTTGAGCTAACATCCGGCCTCATCTTCCAAAAGCTATCCATGGCAGCCTCAACGTCGCCGATAGCTTCAAAGTGCTTGCCTAGATCCTCGTTGCCCATCTGTATAGAATAGCAAAAGTGCATCAGGTTAATATCGTAGTTGTCGCTCATGTTCTGGGGGACGTCAAGAACGTACCCTGATGCTCTCCTTGATCAGGTTGTTTTTATAACCTTGAAGTTCGGCTTGCAGATGGGTTGTAGTGTCTCGGTTCTCCTTCTCCTTGGCTCCCATCCATGCCCTATCCAAGAAGGCCTCGGGCTCGTTGGGAGCTGCTTGGGAAAGGGAGTTGACTGCCATCTGGTACCTCAGGATGTCGCTGCCAGCCTTGGCCTCCTGTACAGCAGCTTTGAGTGCATCGACACATAGCGGTACCGAGCTCCTACCAATGTGAAATAGACGTTCGAATCGTGTACGTCCTGGACGTTTCAAGTCAGAACAATATGTACGCTTGTGCTTTGGGGAGGGATGTATACCTTTGTAATTCTGGATGTAAAGATCAAGGTCGAATTTCGGTGTCTCTGTGAATAGAACATACAATCAGCACAGGTGATCACAAAGAATCGGTAAATATCACCAAAACTGAAGGAGGAGATGAATGCCTATCAGGAGACAGGGGTGGATGCCAGAAAACAAGCATGAGAAGAGGGATGTTATAAGAACAATTACCTTTGACGATGACGCCGCCTTGATCCTCGATAGCCGTAAAGAAGACTAATTTCTTGTCGTCCATGTTGCTAGGTTCGGCCGTGAAGCTGGACGTGTTGTTGATATGATTTAAGCTAAGCTACCAAAATAACACAGTAAATGATTGCTGCTGCTCTGCTGTCGCTGCAGTGTAGTGGTCGTGAAGCTGTCACTCAGTCGCGGCTGATGGAGGGACAAGGGTACCGTGTAGGTTAGGTTGCCTGCGGTGGAGTGGCTTGGTGAATGTGAACACAAGCTGAACGAGGTGGGAGGCAGGGATGGTGGGGGTCATCCAACCGTTGTCCAAGGGGCATGGCCCGGCAGGCACGACGGGGCGGGGTAGCTTGCCTGCAATGTGGGGCCCACCAGACACTTCACCGGAAGAAACTCCTGTCAATCCGGCTGTGAATCTCAACAACTTGTAGGGACGGAACCTCGAACTTCAATACACTCTATGGGCAGCTCGCATCAATTACCTGCTATAACATAGCGGTCCGCCCTGCGATTATCCAAGACGCTTTATATCGTTGTGAAATGCATGTTTGGCTTTGACACCTTTGTTGTGAGGGCTATCTGTTCACTGCTGAAGCTGGACGACACTCTTGGTTCCTGTGGCCGTCTTTTGTCATCTGGACAACTGATGAAGACATCTCGAGCAAATGTCTGACGCAACAGGGTGTTGCCATTCTTGCCGGTCTCGCTAGTTTGGAGTTGGTGATTTATGCTCATCGCCGGTGGCTTCCAACTATCCTGCTGTCACCTTCAGCAGGTACCAAGCAGTCAGTTTCCCGCTGCTGGCAAGAATGCTCAGGATCTAAAGTGTCCGTTAAGCAGGACGGTCGGAGATCTTGAATTTTGTTCTTGTTCAAATTTAGTAACGTAGAGTTACAGGTTGTCCTCCGGAAGAAAGTTCATCAGTCAAGCTTACCTACCGTTACAGTCTCCCATAGCTATATGCCGTCATGTTCGCCGAGTGTTATATAGTGCAAACATCGCAGACATCCCTTTGGGAACCCTTTCTTCAAGACTACCTCTACTAAGTTATAGCTCCTAGGGCTTAGGTAGGAACGCCATTTCTAATCGTCGTCCGCATTCTCTTTTGTGCGACCTGTTGTGTTTGAAATCATGATGCTAAAGACCCCCAACGCGATATGCATTGAACCTTGGGCTTGCAAGCTCGATCCTAGCGTTCAATGATGTTTCGGTCTACACTAATTGGACCGAATAGGGGGTATTTGGTTCATATTCTGGCGGTGGATCATGCTCGCCATGCTATGCGGCGAAACTGTCGGCAAATTCCTATCTAGTGCAAGCCGACACCCTGGGAGATCCATTCGAGATCACATATCTCCAGGCGAGCCAAGCTAGACGAACCACGCATCCACGGCATGGATATGTATACGACGATGTGGTCTCCTAGTCAGTGCTAGTGATGCGCCGTCCCCTGGTATTGATCTGCCCAGCTAAGTCATTCATTCCCCTGGCTTTTTTGAGGTCTGGACAGAGTTCGTATTTGTCGAGTTTGAAGTCTTTCTGTTGGATTCAGAAGACACAGATTACGATCAAAAGGCAGCACAAACGGAGGTTTGCAAGCGACATAGACGTTCCACACACGTAGTTTGAGAGAAGCAGAACCTCGTCGTTATTTGCTTGTTAGGGCCTTGTGAAGCCGTTTAAAGGTTCAACCAAGGGCCTACCACCTCTGCCATCCTAACCTCACTGCATCGGATGGTAAAACATTAGCGTGGACTACTTGCGAATGGGCGGTTTGGTGGTTTGAACATCGTGAAACATCAAACCAAATCCGAATGCCTGCGCAGATCCGACACTTTTTGGCGATACGGGTCGATACGAACAAGTTGGAGTCTTGGAGGATGCAGTGGACAGAAAGAGAAAGTGTCATCGTGAGCATCTACCGATAGTGGAATAGCCTGCTACATTGCCAAGCCACGCATGCGTTCTCGTGTATCGTGAATTCCTGATGCTGGATGGTGCCATGTCCCTGTCCGAGCCTCCGGCAACGGGGGCTGCTACTGCAGTGCTGACATTTTCGGTGGGGAGAGATACCTACAGGTAGGGGGGTCAAGGGGGCAGAAAGGTGTGTGTAGGCGAGGTAGGATGCGGCGGAAGCTTGACCGTAAAGGTACGGAAACTCAATGCTTCTGTAGTGTACCTGCCCGGGCTCATTTTTACCGTATCCCGTCAGAAACCGACTCTGAGGGTCCCTTCGCTACCGAATCGGCGAATCGGCGATGACGGATGAGGTCTCGCAAGGCTGACTTGTGGAGAGTCGAGGAGTCCAAGGCTCCAAGCAAGCCACGGGACAGCTTATCGATCGTGTATCCAATGTATCCAATGTATCCATAGATGTTATGTAAACGGTCATGGCAGCCTGACTACAAACATGCGGATGGATCGATGGGAATGGAGTCATGGAGCTGCGTGATTTTAGCGAGTTGCTATAGTCTCTTGGCTTGCACTTGCTGGATGGAGAAGGGGAAAAAACTCACCCCTGGAATGCATGGAAGTCGAAGAAAAGGGGTAAAAGATTTCTAACGTAGCATACGTACCTCTTGTTAGTTCCTATCATGAAAAGATTCGATGTTAGCTTGCTGCTGAGGTCCCCCGAGGTACCTGTACTTGCCGAGGCTGCCCCGTATCACACCCGCAACTCTCCCTTTGTCTCAGCGAAAAGACTCGGTTTGGTTTTCAGTTTGCGGTGTTCCCGGTTGCGGCTCGGCGTTGATACTGTATGTGTGAATGCTCACGCCCAAGATTCAAGGGGATATCTCTGCTCTGGCACAAGCCAAGCAAGCGTGTTGATGGCAGAATGGAAAACGTGGAAACGCCAAAAGGCGAATGTGGGATTTGTGATTGGCCGTGTGTTCGGATCCGAAAGGGAAAGCCGCCAAATCGATATGTACTGATGGGCTGATTTTACGTTGGCTGGTGAGCGTCCCTACGTCAGCCAAGTGGTTAGCGCGCTTTTCGTGCGTCCGGTGGTTGCAAATCGACGTCTGATCCCTGCGTGATCCCTGTTGATCCCTTGTGCCTTCCCCATCTTTTTTTTTTTGACAACCGTCCCGTCCCAAACCGATTTCGCTGTTCACTGCACCTTGCCGTCAACCCCCCAATTGCTGCCATTCAGCCAATTCCACTTTCCCTGCAACGAGCGATTCTGGCGGCTGTTCTTTCAGTCAGCCAATTTTTCGATTTTCTTCTTTTTGCGACGACATGTGGTGACCGGTCTCTTGCGCTATCTCTTCTTGGCTTCCATTTCGGCGGGGGGTTGAAGTCAGAGTGACCTGACCAACCTCTGACCGACTGTGGAAGCGCACCTCTGAGAAGCAAAAACGAGGGTCGGCCTGACAATTGGGCGTTGACTGGACGTTCGGATGCTGACCGATCAACACCCAAAACTGGCGCGCGGCTCTTAAGAAAGGGACAAACAAGCCGTTGAGAAAGGGACTGCCCATGATTGATGGCCTCGCACATGACAATTTCTCAGTCATCAGTCATCACAAGTGGAAAAGTAGCCAATCGCACGACGTGGCAGATGGAGACGCGGAAAGTTCTTTTTTCACAAGAATTCTTCTCTTCTCCAGTCCCAAGTTCCTAGCGGGCACCTCCTGGCTTTCCACCTGTCGCAAATTTTTGAAATGTGAATGCTGATCGCAGCACCGGTGCATCAGAGTCAACAGGACTCCATTCCACCGCTTCGGGACCCCATCACTCGCCCCACTGGTTCTGCGAATGGCGCTCAACCCGAGTCCTAGGCGTGGCACGGTGGACCCGGGGTCGCTGCCGGATCCAGCAGACTTCCGTGCTCTTCGTCCAGCGCATCTAGCACCGGACCGGGTCTCACCGGACTTGCAAGGCTCCGTGCTTGGCAATAAGCCTCGTTGGGGAGGACCTTCGCAAGGGCGGTTTCCCTTTTGGGGCTTCTTGGATCGTTTCTGACTGCGTTTGGGAAAATTGAGGACAATCGCGTATGCACAGTGCATGGATCTTGCAACGTTAACATGCGTGTTGGAAAGACGCTGATGGGGGCAACGGCCAACGGGGGGTTGCGCATTGCGGAGGGAGGTTTTGCTCTTCGTCAACCTTACCAACCTCGTCCATGATCGGCCAAGTGTACGCCGTGGGTTTGTAGAAATCCTCAATCATCATTGAGGACGATGGAAGCCAAGATGGAATGGAGCAGGTTCCATTGCCTCGAAATGCTACAGTCGGCACTGTATCAATATGTATGACTGACTACTCATGTAACAATGCAAAGGGAAGTGAGTGGTGAATGTGGTGATGTGCAATCCATGTACAGGTAGATCCGGGCAGGTGCTACCTGTAATGCGTCCGGCCGCGGCGGGCGGATAAGGACCGACTTCCTTTGGATTCCGCGACCTCTGAATGGATCACTTGAGAACACTGACGACTTCCACTTGGAAACGAACATCCACCATTTTCACCTTCGCATCCACCAACAACTCGAAAACTGCTCTTGGCATTCCTCGACACGCATCATGAGGGACTTGGCATGCCATAACAGTTGGCCCGAGACAAATTGTGTCTGTTCCGAAAAGCTATGCACTTGCTTCGCACTTGCTTCGTTTTATGACGGTGAGTAAAGCGTCTGGAGGTATTGGTGCGGTTGTTGAGTCAAGTCGTTAACCATCAAAATTCAAGATCATGCGGCAAGGCTGTCTGTGATACACAGATTAAATCTTGGGCCCTCGTCTGGGTGATTACGTCGTTCCCTTTTTGGGGTTAATTTGGAGTCCGCTATCTTCCATCCGGGGAAAACCCAAAGATCGGACCGACATGGACAGGACCCCTCTTTTTTAACCCTCGTCGTCAGATGTGTGTCGAAACAGGCCCGGGCGGTTCGTGACGTTCTGACACACAGTCTATTGGCTCAACGATGCGGTGGGAGCATCGACAAGGACCTTCTAGCATCGAATTTGGAACCATATTCTATGCATCTTCCTGATCCTCCAAGTCCACTCACTCTGATACGCCGGCGGCTCCCGCAGTAGCAGGTAGCAAGTGGCCAGTGGCAGAACACGTAGCAAGCGAGGCAAGGTAGCGTTGCCCTGTGTCCCAACAGCTTGGAGACCTGGTCCTCGTCTGGCTCCTCATTTATGTCCTTGATTTTGATAGCGTGAACCTCGACTTGGCCGCCGACTCTCGCCCATCTACTTGTACTGTTGAAACAAATGTCTAACGACAACAGCAAACCCCTTCCCTTCCGCCCACTTACCGGTACAGTACAAGCACATCCTGTCCAGGACGTCCAAAAGACCCCTTCCCCATTCCCTTCTTCGGTTCCCAAGTTTCTTTCCCCCCCTTCCCTGCAGCACCAGGTGCCTCTAGCCTCACGGTACCTCAACCCCCTGATTACGAACACTTGGCAGAAAAAAAGTATGCGTACCTTGTCCCATATCCACACACTACCTCAATGCTTGTACATAGTATGTACTGTATGTCTCGAGCATTTCTTTGACCTCATGAGAAAACAACTCACTGGGACGGTCGGCGGACAGGGGAGCTCTCCTTCGCCTTGTGTTTGGGTTCCTCGCCTAATCCATTCGTTCGGGGTTAATTGTTTCCCTAGGTTTATTTCCGCCCGAAGCATCTGTAAAAAGTACTACACGAGCGTTAATGGTTTCTTGAACAACCACCGCAAGATTTGCTGATTCCTCAACGGGCAAATCCTTCCCTAAAGCGAAACAGCTGTTGAACCCACACGAGTCTCCAACCTACCCGGTCGGTACCTTTCTGCTGACACATCCGGTCCAAAGTACCGCTGGGTATCGGAACCGGCACGCCCCTCCGCTATAAGGTAGCAAAACCTCTTGCCTTCTTGGACTATCCAGCCTTCCTAGCGGTTCCACCTCCACGCGGCATCCTGTCGCCTCTTGCGGATCTACACTGGCTCTTGGACGCTAACTAACAGAAGGACAGTGTTCAAACTCTTTCCCCTATCAGCAGCCTTCCCTTCTTTTTCCAGCGGAGTGAGACCAAGCCAAGTGGATAGGACACCCAAAGTTCTTCGACGACGTCCACTTCTCGCAGTTCGTCGGACGGCTGTTGGTTTCGATCCACCCCAAGTCTCCAACGGCCCTGACCCCGGGCTCGGTAAAAAATACTCCCCTGACCTTGTACATTCTGTTAGACACCAGTATACTACCTTGGGCTTCCCACGGGTTTTCACCAGTCTTTTTCTGTTACTTTTGGTTGGGACGTTTCTTCGATCAAGTCCAACAAATCGACAAGCAAAGCAGCCTAAACCGACCACCGAGGACTAAACATCAGCTCACTACCTTCTTCACCCTTCTTATTTTTTTCGCCTGTTTGGTGATAAACTGTGGCCCAAGAAGTGTCTTTCCGGTGGGGTCTGACTGTTTCTGAAAGCCCTTGAACCCTCACACGAACATGCTAATCAGGGCAAGGGATTGTTGAGACGGATCACAAATCAGACGGAGGCCAAAGTAGGGACACAACACAGAGCTAAAACACCACACCGAAATGCAAATCAAGACAACAGACCAAGTCATGGCCGACCAAGGCAACACGATCTCTTCGGATGCCAGCACAAGTACTGGTGCCGTCACCGAGGCTACGAGAGCTCGCCAAACCCGCCCTGCCTCACAACCCTCGAATCCTTCTGGAACCAGTACCAGTACCAACAAAGTATCATTGAGCGCCGGTGGCTCTAGAAATTCCCCCGACATGTACGAAGATGACTCGATGGACCTATCCCAGCACGATCATGCCTCTCCTTCCGAAAGCGTAAAGTCTACCCCAGCCCAAGGCCCGTTAAAATCAGAATCCGAGGACACACCCGGGGACGCAACTGGACATGCCTCCTCCGAACCCCCGACCCTGCCGGTACAGAAACGTCGCAGAGTCACGAGAGCCTGCGATGAGTGCCGCAGGAAGAAGATCAAGTGCGACGGCAAGCAGCCATGCTCACACTGTTCAATCTATAGCTATGGTAACACAAACACTCACGATGTCTTCGGTCAAACCCCTGCTGACAAGAATCCCAGACTGTACTTATGACAAGCCGTCTAACCGACGCAGAAATCCCGCGCCACAGTATATCGAGGCACTCGAAAGCCGACTTCAGCGTGCCGAGTCTCTGCTGCGCAAGTTTGTCCCGGACATAGACTTGGCCGACCCTAATCTCGACCCAGCAATTCAGCAAGAGTTTCGGGCTAGGGAGCAGGCAAGAGCGCGGGCGGCGAAGCTGAAAGGCGAAGCTGCCCCAAAAGAGCCCGAGGTGCAGGATGCCCAAATCATGTCCATGATCGATGCGATTGGGCAACTCGACATGAAAGAGGACGGCGAGTGCGACTTCCGCGGCATCTCTTCCGGTGCTGTCTTCTTCGGACGCATGAAGGAGCACTTCAAGGGCCTACTAAGCAACGAATACAGTCTTCCGTTTCTACCCCGAAAGGCTGAGAAGACCGGCCTATTCAGTCTCAATTCTCCCCAGACTACTGCTGGATCGCCTTGGGAAGCATCATCTGTACCAAATGTCTACGACCTACCCCCACAAAATAGGGTCCGTACTCTGTGCTATTACGCACTCAGCTGCGCTACATGCCTTCTCCGGGTTGTGCACAAGCCGACGTTCTACGAATCGCTCGACAGCTTGTACGAGAAACCCCAAGATAGTTGGGGAGTCGAAGAACACAGGTTTTTGGGTCTGTTGTATGCTGTTATGGCGCTCGGAACCATGTACAACATTGACGAGAATCCGGGAAATCCTACGACTCATCAGGCGGCACAGGAGGAAGGGTAAGTTACATCATCTTCTGATTCATCGTCGGGTTACCGGATATGTCTGACAAGATTTTGACAGGGTCAAATACTACACATCTGCGCGATTGCTGCTGCAAGACATCGCTGAGTGCCGAGACATGACCTCGCTCCAGGGGCTTGTCTTCATGATTCTCTTCTTACAAGCTTCATCGAATATGAGCGCCTGTTATGCTTTCTTGGGAATTGCGTTACGCTCCTGTATACGTATGGGGCTTCATCGTCACTTGCGGCATGCTAAGCTTACCCCTATCGAAGAACAAACCAGGCGGAGGGTGTTCCACGTAGTCCGGCAAATCGATATATACGTCTCAGCTATTCTTGGATTCCCAGTCTTACTCCACGCCGACGATATCGACCAACCACTGCCGACGGAGGTGGACGACAAGTATATAACCAAAGATGCGATACTTACGCCGGATCCGGACGAACGCCCATCCTTTTTCCAGGCGTTCAATGCCCATCATAGGCTGATGAGTATTTTAGCCCGACTTATCAAGGTCATTTATCCAGTCAAGGGCGTGGAAGACTGTGCTCTGAAGAGCGATAACGAAATGGCCACCTACACCATCAGCTATGCGCGGATCAAGGAGATTGAGCGACAACTACACGAGTGGTTCGACCAATTACCGCGGTATTGGCGGCCTGGTCCCGACGACGACGATATGGAGGTGATTCGGTAGGTGGACAAATCTAAAAGAGAGAAAGAAAAATCTAGATGTGCATCACGGATGGTTTGCTAACTCGGTGTCATAACAGTGTTCGAACCCTCTTGCGCTTCGCATATGGCCACGTGCAAATGATGCTATACCGACCGTTCTTGCATTACGTCTCCGCTCGCATGACAGCAGGCAAGAAAATCGACGACAGATACTACAACTGTGCTGCCGCTGGGATCAGTGTGTCTCGCAACATTGTGCATATTGGCTTGGAAATTCAGAAACATGCCCACCTGATCGGACCATACTGGTTTCGTCTCTATACCGAATTCTTCGCAATCCTCTCTCTGGTCTACTACGTCCTGGAGAATCCAGACAAGACAGGATCCGCCGAGATCCTCGCGGATGCCAAAGCCGGTAGGGATGTGATAGCTAATCTTGCCCAGAGGAGCCTGGCGGCAGATCGGGTAACAAACGCCTTGAATGTAAGTACACCTACTCTTAGCAAGTTGTCATGAACAGCTTTTATTGATCACTTGTCCTTAGACACTCTTCGACCAATTGCCAGAGCAACTCAAGAACGGCACTCACCGACCTGCACCAACAAAGAAGAGATCATACGCTCCTGGATCCAAGGCGGGCAGTGTCTCCATCCCTACCCATGCTCAGGCTATACTACACGATACCTTGCCTCAGCGGAGATCCGATGAAATAGTCCGTCCACAAAGCGGCCCCGTTCGAAGAGAGACCCATCACCGACACCCCCAGCGAACAACCTCATTCGACACTGTGGCACTTCACCAACCTGGCATGCCTGGTCACCACTTTGCGACGCAGGCTACGGCTTTTCAAGACCTGCTGCCACTAGACATGAGCAGCATGACGGGCTCTGACACAAGCTCCAACCCCGGAGCGCCACCAGTCATGCACAGACAGCAGCATCATCGCCAACAGAGCGGTTTCCAACAAGCACAAACGCCTACAACCGGTGCGCTCTATAAGCTGGACGCCATGATGTTTCCCTCCGGTGACCCATTCGCCTATCCCACGCCACTGCTCGACCAAACAGGAGGAGGAGGACACCACGCAGTATCAGGCCAGCCACCACCACCCATCTCCGCCGGATCTGTGGGACCAACCCCCGGGACCGCCGGACCGGATAACATGCAGCTATACATGTCCGGCTTCTACGACGACGGTAGTATCGAAGGACAAGTACTGGGCCCAGTAGCGCCCTACCTGATGCAACACGGCGGACCCGAGCCGCCGCACGCTGGGGTTTTGGATCCGGCAGCGCAAATGTCTTACACAACGATGCTGAACTTGCAATTACAGCACCAACAACGGCAGCAGCAGCAGCAACACGGGCAAGATGGAAGACCGGGGTCGGGACCAGGCCGGGGACCGGTGCATGGCCAGGGACAACAACACCCGGGTATGCATCAGCGACATGCACATCAACAACATCAACATCAGCATCCGGGGCTTCATCATCAGCGACACCAGCAGAGTGATATGATGGAGGGGATTTTTAGGGGTGAATGGGAGGACATGCTTGGGGGTGGAGGGGCGCCGCCGGGGGCTGGAGGGTACCGGTGATTTATTGAAGGATTTTAGGGGCGGCTAGGCCGGTGAACTACACGGATGAAGCGTTCAGATGAAGTCCTGGACTTGGTTAACGACAACTTGCCTGCACTGGGATCAGACCGACACGCCTTCCAATACCGACTCCGAACCAGACATGCCTCAACAGATATCCAATTGGTCGATTCAGGAAAACCGTGAGAGCTTACTAGAAACCTGGCGAGAAACAGAGCGTGGATGTCGACCTGGGAGTCGCCTACAAATACATACGCCGTTTGTTTTGCGGTCTCGTTCCGGGCCCGCATCCGCCGCCTTTACAATTCTGGATTAAGAGGAAATCCACTTGTGGATGCAAGTAGGATGGTATTAGGAGAAGAGCAACAAAGTCCCGGCCGTGTCAGCACCGAGCAGAACGGATTGGGGATGAATTTCTCAAGTCATTACATCTGAAAGTCCATCCCTCCACCTGAACGGCCCTCGGGATTGCGGAATACGGCAAGCAACACTAGACAATCGGGGCCAGAAGAAAAGCGGGCGTTGGAGGAACTGAAGGAACCGTTACATGGTCACGAGAGGAATAAAACAGGGGACGAGAATAAAAGAGGGACGAATGACGGCAGATAGCAGAAGCTTCAATTTGTCGTGGGTGATATTTACAGCCTGACGGTACGGCGGTACGGCTGCGATTCTGATACCCGGTTTCTCATATACTAAGCTATATAATTGAAGGGATTTCTATCTCTTCAAAGTTTCCTCACGGAGTTCTTTGGGTACTGGATTGGGTTCGTATCTACATAGAGAGTTCGGTTGGGAGTCATCATGGTCGGGGAACAGGAACAGGAACAGAAAATGGAAAGAAGTACAGATCATCGTATACTCAATTATACCTCCCAGCTCACTCACACCTCCCCTTTGCAGAAAGTATGGGAATCAGATTACGGGTAACAAAAAAATGGTATAATTGACGATAACACACTGGGTGGTGTAACCGGCTTCCCCCTTACCCAACACCACCTCTCTTGAAGCCACACTACCACAACATACTTTGCATAAGCTAAATGCCTAGTCGCTTTCTCGTTACTATCTCGTCAATCTGAGAATACATTATTCTCTGTCCGCTTCAACACCGGTAAAAGGAAGACATCCGGATCGGGTAGCTGTGAGCTACAGACTGCCGTCAGACTTTAGCAGGGTTAGGGTTCAAAATGGCTCGGAAATTCAGACATGTCGTTTGAACTGGATCACCAACTCTTCAAACGAGACTGGATCCATAATTCGTTAGAGGTACTAATGATTACTCGGGCTTCTACTTCTTCAAAGTCGCACTTGGACATTTTCTGTCACGCACTTGGATATGCTGGCGGGAGCACTACACTGCTGACTACACCACTGTTCGGATAGCCCCACTTCTCCGCATCGAGAGTGGACAAGTGTCGGTCGGACCTCTCTCCATCAACAACTTCATCAAGGAGTTCACCGCGAATCTTACGATAGTTTCCCATCGCCGACAACGGAATTACTGCTCAAGTTCAACAAGTTCCGATTATCATCATCGACAACAGGGACTGAGACATTAGCAAACCGCTTAGCCCATCATGGCCAACTCAGGTCAAGAACACGAAATCCATTACAATCTCGTCGAGGACGATGAGTTCGATATCGTGTTCGTTCATCCTTTCCTTTGTGTACACTTTCATGTCTTTTTCCATTCATCCACCCAATATTCGCATCTCTGTCAATTTATCAAGTGTCCCATCCATCATCACAAGATTGCATTGGTCTCACCCGCCACTCCCCTTACCCATTGAAAGAGCAACTTGAGATAAGCTCATCGACATTAACTGGCCAAACAAATCTAGGAACATCGTTGTTGAAGGCCTCAATGAAATCCCTGGCGCCAGTGCACCATCCGTGTCCGCTGGTGTGGGATTGAAGTCTCCAAATTCTTCTCAACCACGCATTCCAGGGCGCCCTCTTTCCCAAAAGTGGCTTCATGAGAAGCTCGGAAAGTATCCAGGTAAACTCAACTAGCCTCTTTACTCTGATATAGATATTAATAATCCCTTCTTTTACAGCCAAAACCCATGTACAAAAGGTGATGGAGGAGCTTGATGCGCCCAAGAGCGGTCTCATCTACCTCCGTGGCTTCGATGAGCCGCTCTATCCATACTCCGACCAGGGACCACCATTTCGGCAGCAGCGACAGTATGTTATGAGATATCCTGCCCCCGACATACGTTTTACGTGACTTGTATAAACATAACACTTGGACCTAACCATCGCACCCCACCAGCTTCTTCTACCTCAGCGGCGCCGACTTCCCCGGTTGCGCCGTCACCTACGACATCCCCCGCAAGGAGCTGATCCTCTGGATCCGCCGTAACGACCCACGTTTGTCGCTGTGGTACGGCACCACCCCCTCCATCGACGAAACCAAATCCAAATCCGACGTCTCCGACGTCCGCTACATCGACGACCTCACCGCGTACCTCCACGCCGTCCTGACCCCCGAAACCGGCGGCGGACCTCTCTACCTCCTCTCCCCCGACCAACTCCCCAAACTCTCGCCTTCGCCACCGCAATCCAACCTCTTCAAGGGCCTCCATGGATCTGGATCTGGAGGACTAAAAGTCGACACCATCTCCCTCCTCCCCGCCATCGAAGCCGCGCGCGTGATCAAAACCCCGCACGAGATCTCTCTCATCCGCCGTGCCGTGAGCCTCACCTCCACCGCGCACAAGATGGTTCTCCAGCGCATCAAACACCTCACCAACGAGCGGGAAGCGCACGCCGTCTTCGAAGGGTTCTGCATCTCGCAGGGCGCGCCGCACCAGTCGTACGCGGTCATCGCGGCTTCGGGACCCAACGCTAGCACGCTGCACTACGACGCCAATGACCAGCCGCTGGAAGGGAGGCAGACGATGTTGTTGGATGCGGGCTGTGAGTGGGGGTGTTATGCTAGTGATGTTACGCGCACTTTTCCTATAAGGGGACAGTGGACGAAGGAAGGGGAGGAGATTTATAAAGTCGTGGAGAGGATGCAGAGGGAGTGTATTGATGCGATCAGACCGGGGAGGTTGTACTACAAGTTGCATTTGGTGGCGTGTTTGATTGCGGTTGAGGAGTTGATGAAGTTGGGGATCTTGTATAACGGGACGAGGGCGGAGATTTTGGCTAGGGGAACGGTGGCGGCGTTTTTCCCCCATGGGTTGGGGCATCATGTGGGTTTGGAGGTACATGATGTTAGTGGAAGGGAGAGGTTGTTGTTGTCTGGGTCTACGGCCTCTTCTTCAGGCTTGAATAATCAAGGAGTTCCGGGGGTTTCGGTTTCAGGATCAAGAAGGCGCATGAAGAGGGAACAAGTCACCCCCGAGGACTTGGCGGCCATCTGTCGCGAGGCGATGATGGACAGGGACGATGTTGAGCAGAACGTCGTCGGACCTCCACCTTACAAGGGGAGACAGAGACTTAAAGAGAACATGGTCGTCACCATTGAACCTGGAATGTACGTATTCCTCCCACTCCTTCCCTTTCCCTCACTCCCCCACCCCCTACCTCCCCTCTCGCTAGCCCCCTACCCCTTTTTTTCTCTTTTTTTTTTCTTTTTTTGCTTCCAGGAGCAATGCTAACCTCAAACCCCCAGCTACTTCCACCGCCCCTACATCCAATCCTACTTCCTCTCCAACCCGTCCCACGCCCAGTACATCAACACCAAGGTGCTAGACAAGTACTGGGACGTCGGCGGCGTGCGCATCGAGGACTGCATCCTGGTCACCAAGGACGGGTACGAGAACCTGACGACGGCACCCAAGGGGAAGGAGGCTTTGAAGATCATTAATGCGGGTATTCCTGGTTTTGGTGGCGGTGGTCACACTGGCGCCGCCGCTGGCGGGAACTCGTAGAGGTAGGTAGGCGCAGGAAGGGTTTGAAGTGAGAGAAATGAGGAGAGAGAGGGGGGGGTGCTTCTTCTATGTAGTTGTGAGGTATGGCATTGCATTGCTGTGATACATATTCTAGATGCTCTGTCCTGGTTAAGGTACTGAGATTTCCTAGTGTCAGCTTCTTCTTTTACAAAATCTTTAAAACGGACCTACCTACCTTATATAAGACAACGTGCCAAGTTAACGAAATCAAATCAAATTTGCAGATGGGACTTCATACCGATTCAGCCACTTTTCGTCTCTTGAGTTGTACTTACTTTAGTCATTTTATTTAACTCCCAACTGAAGCCAAACCAACCCTTGAGGTTCCGACATCGCCCGCTGCGTACCCTGGCCTTACCTTACCCCGGCTGATTTTGGCTAATTCTAGCCTTACCTACCCTGGCCTTAACCCTGGGTGAAGATCGCTACTAGACTAGTGCAAGGGACAGCTACGACGTCAGACAACGTGACGGCATGTGATGACGGGAAATGAATAAACATGTAATACATGTGATACGGCGAGGAAGAGATCGTGGGAGGATTTGTGGTAGTGGTTATGGGAATAGGTGGGTTAGCATGGGTTGTGGCTGTAGTTGAAGGTTAAGGTTGAGTTTGAAGATGTGAATTGCTTCAGTTATCTATAGCTAGCTACTTGTACATACAGGCAGAGAAGAAGGAAATAGGGGGTACCTTAGTCATAGGTAGAAACGTAGGTATAGGTAGGTATCTATATATGTATACAATAAGAGCAAAAAAGATCATACTTGCAATATGCAAAATAACTGGTATGACAAAGGAAAATAAAGAGTGTTGAAGTCCGTACGCAACAAACAAACATTGATAATGTTTGTTTGTTGCTTAAGCCCAACCCAAAATCCCTTGCAAGGGGAAACAACCTACGAAAAATACTTTTCGTTCATGCTGCTCCCTTGCGCCCTTAATGCCTCCCATTTGCCGTATGCTGCCCATAATCGATGCATAGTTCCCTTTCCCCCTTGTCTCTTCCCTTCCCTTCCCTCCCCTCCCTTCCTTCTCTATTTGTATCAAAGCAGATGTTGCCGCCCGTCCGTCTATATGGTTGAAGTAACTCCGTCGCCGCCTTCTATGCCTTGGTATCCAATTTCTCTAAAGAGTTATATCGTAGTTATACAGTTGGGTATTCGTATGTCTGGTGTGATGATGTGATTGCTCACGCATCGGTAACGGGGGATAGATAACCCAGTTTAGAAGCGAGAGATACCACGGCCGAAGATCCAGGAAACGAGCCAGTAGACGGGCACGAGGAACTTGTTCCTCAGGGACATGGACTTGGCCAGGTAGGCGGAGCGCCAGAGGACCCAGGCGGCCCAGCCACGGAGCTCGTCGCGGGGGCCCTGGTGGATGGCCTTCCAGCTGCCGAGGTAGGTCATGACACCCCAGTTGCGGAACTTGAAGCCGGGGGCGTTCTTGACGTCGACGACGCCCTCGTTGGCCTTGTTGAGGACCTTGGCGAGGTAGGTGGCCTGCTGAGCGGCAACCTGGGCGGTCTTGGGGAGGGTGCGCTGGCTCTCGATGACGGCGGCGTCACCGAGGACGAAGACATCACTGAGGAGGCTGTTGCTGGCGGAGGTGGGGACGATCTCGGAGCCCTTGGCAGCATCGGCGGTCTGGGTCTCGATGCGAACACGGAAGTGCTCGTCAACGAGGATGCCACCGGTGCGGGCATCAGTGGCGAGCTTGGCCTTGGGGCGGCGGGCCTCGGCGCGGTCCTCAGGGGAGATGGGAACAGCGAATTCCTGGGCGGCGAGCTGCTTAATGAGGGGGTTGGCCATAAGACCGGTGGACCAGACGACGAGACCGGCTCCGACCTCCTTGTCGCCGTACTGCTTGATCTTGAGCTTCAGCTCACCGTACTCGGAGCCGAGCTTGCCATCGGCGGGGCGGACGCGCTCGATGTTGTGCTGGGTGCGGATCTCGATCTTCTGACGCTTGAAGGCATCCAGGGCATACTTGGAGAGAGCCTGGTCGAACATGGGAAGAACCTTGGGAGAGACATCGTAGACGGTGATGCGGACGAACTTGAGGAGATCGGGGTACATCTTGGCAAGATCATCGTGGATGAGATCGTGCAGCTCGGCAGCGAACTCGATACCGGTAGGGCCACCACCGACAATGGCGAAGTGGAGGAGGTTGGCGCGGTCCTCCTCGGTGAGGGTGTCAAAACCCTTGGGGTAGGCGCACAGCTCGAAGAGGGAAAGAATCCTCAAGCGGATGCGGCGGGCATCACCGACATCGCGGAGGAAGTTGGCGTGCTCACGGACGCCCTCGATGCCGAAGGTCTGGGAGTAGGCACCGCAAGCAATGACAAGCTTGTCATAGGGGACGTCGAAGGAAGCGCCCCTGGCGGTGGCCTGGTTGAGCTGGCCGCCCTGGCCGATGGGGACAACAGCCTTGCTGGCAGAGTCGGCTTGGGCGTTGGCCTCGACGCGGATGGTCTTGTTGGCGAAGTCGATGTCCTGGGCCCAACCCTGGTGGAAGCCGATGCCGTGGCTCAGGCGGCGGATGGGCTCCAAGACGGTACGGAACTCGAGGGTACCGACGGCAGTAGAGGCGAGAAGGGGGGTGAAGACGAAGTAGGAGCGCGGGGAGATAAAAATGCGCTCATACTTCTCGGGATCGAGGTCCTTGGCGAAGGAATAGCCCGCCCAGCCGGAGCCCAGGATGACGACCCGCTCCTTTCTGTCATTGTCTGTGAGTAATGGTAGTCAGTAATGAGACTCTCTTGGCGAGGTAAGACGACGAGGTTATTTCGGGAGGGAAACTTGCTGTTGAACTTCACGGTGGAAAAATTTCTCGCCGTCAAGGCCAGTGGTGCTGACCGGGTGGACACCTGGAGGGAAGAGGAAGAGGTCCTCGCGAAGCGTGTGATGGAAGCCATCCTGAGACTTTAGCCGGCTGGCGTTGATGCTATTATGGTGTTCGAGTTGGAGTCAATAAGCTCTCCATTACCGATAGCCAGAAAAAAAGACTTTTTGGACCGCGTCCAGTGGGCGGATCACGATTTTATCCCATGTGGCCGGTAGCTGCGCTGTCAAGGTTCAATACCCTCGGCGGCGGGTCGGCCCTAGCTAACAAGGTAGACGCCGGTATGTTACCCTCCTCCTCCCAACCTTGAGGTCCGGGATCCATAGGGTAGTACGGATACATACGGGGACCTGTTGGGGGGCACCTCCGTCCTGTGCGCCAATTACGTTGTTGGATTTCGTGATGTCACTGAGAATCACTGAGTCGGTCTGACAAGCCATTGGCACCCATTGGCGAACTGGACGATGGGAAGAAGGGAGGGGCAGGGACTGGGTACGATTCCGAGCCAGCCGGCGTAGAGTTTTTCAGAAATGTATCGAGGTGTATCTTTTTTTCTCATTTGCTGGAAATGTCCTCATCTGAGGCGTAGTGGACCGTTTGGTTCTTGATATGGAAATTTTGGATGAGACCCCCCGGACACAGGCCGATAAGCATTATCGAGAAGAAAACTTTGTAAAAAAGGGTGAAAGGGTAGTCCGCGACTTCACCCGTTCATTCGCCGAGAGGGTGGTGTAGTGGAGGTCTCGTGGATGCCACAGACCGCCAGCAAAGGAGATCATGACCGGGAGAGCCCGGCAACCCGGGTACAATTGGATCGAGTGTCTATCAAAAGACAAGAGATGAAGTTGGAGTTGGGAGGTTGTCAACATGAGTCGCGGAGCGTCCGTGCGCTGAAGACTCTTTAAGTCTCGGTAAGTTCTGGTATCTACGGTGGCTTGTGCGAGATTGGCCAATGAGAATCCAACATGTCCCGGACAAGTGGAGCAGCTGCCGGACCGGAGGTTGAGGCTCCCAGACGTGCCAGACTCCCAGTGTGGCTCTTGGACCGCCCTTGTCGGTTCGGGCGGGAATTGGACCATGTGCAACATCAATGCGTTCCATCGTTCCGGCGAGGATCCTCCTAACTGCCCTGACTTGGATCTCTGGACCCGAACCCAAATTTAGACTTTTTTGGGTTTGGGAACTCGGAGACCGTCAGGTCGCGAATGAAGTCAACATCAGGCCATGCCAATGAACACTGTCGCATTAACGATCCCGTCGGCGTGGGAATGGGATCATGGCGATTTGGGGTATGGGTGATGTTGCGTGGGAAACACTAAAACCCGATTTCGATATATCAAGATTGCGATATTCAACTCTTGTATTTTTTCTCGACTTTGCAACAATGCAACCAGTCCGGCAGTAGAAACCGGATAGCGTAGCCCCAAACTCGGTGGATCTCCGCCCTTCTCTCCCTTCCTCCGTCTCGGCACACTCGGTCCAATGCCGCCAAAGGCCGACCGCCCGAATATGTTCGTTTCGCTTTGTTGTCCATCGTCCATGTATCCGGAATTCAGTCTTCCAGAAGGCCGCAAGGCCCGAAGACAAAGATGCCACATCAGCTCCCAACCTTGACTATGGAGTTCTAATCATATAACTGCTAGTGGTCCCCTGATTGCCGACATCTCTCTCCTTTGTCAAAAAATAGATTCAAGAATGACGGCAACCTCGACTCGGGTCAAACACCATATCGCTTACAAACAACACCAATGTCGATACCCCTGATTTGTCTGTTTGTTTGTTTGTTAGTTCTCTGAAATTACGGCTCCGTACCCGATCATTGTTCAAACCGGCATGATCTGCTTCTAGAAGCGTATATCGCCGCAGAGGAATGTTCCATGTTGTTTGGACGTCTCCCATCTTATCGCGGCTCTTATGTCCAACACTCCAACGACATCTCCAACTCCCGCCGTCAACGTCTGGGTGCATTGACGTGGAGTCTCGAGACAACATACGACAGACATAAAGGGGGAAAGACAACAACAGATACTACCAAGAATTAGGATCGCTCGTGTGTACCGAAACACCCTCCTCGATACACCTTGTCTCCTTGGACGGGTGACGGTCTGCATGCTGTCAAGCAACATATCGGATTATGGGTTCGTTGTGTCACTCGACCACAAGATCACATCAGACGAACCACAAGGGATGAGTAAGGCCGTCCGTGAGAAACATGCGAGCCGAAAGCTCAGACTTACGAACCGCCCTTGAACCCTTCCAGTCGCTGTGGCGTGGGGATGGTCACAAAGAACCTCGTGTTGTATCGTGAGGGTTGGTGGTGTGCGGAAGATGGCGGTAATGAACAGGGATGGCATGTGTCTCCGTAGATCTGCAAACTCCGCCGCCGTGCTTCATCCGGCTGTCCCACGACAACCACACCCAGGCAAGGGGAAAAGGGGGGGACATGGCTGTGTAAACAAAGGAGAAGGCAGGAGATTTGGGGGGTCAACTTGAAACATATATAAGACCAAGCAAAGACCCAAGACCTCAACCTCGCAAGGCACCATCGGTAACAGGGCACACTGGGAACTTTTTGCTGAGTCGCCCGGCCGCTGCATCCAACCATCTTGTGCTCCAAAACTTGAAAGTATGCCAGCCACTTCACATGATTGGAATGGAAGCTCGAAGCCCCCTTCCCCCCCGCAAGCTAACGAACAAGGCATCGCATTCTTTATGTGGTATGATGCAAACGATTCATCATGCGACTTTGATGGCGGCATTGCAAATACCTACCTAGCCCGTTGAAGACTCGCAAAGACTTGAGGAGGCTTGACTCCCCTCGCTCCCTTCCCCAGACTGTGCCAGGACCAGGACTGAAGTCTGACTGCAAGGTACAAACTGCTAGTGCAGTGCCTCCTTATCAATGATACCGCAAGTGGAAAGCTGACATGCAGACTGAGAAACCGAATCTCGAGACATTTGAAGTTGTGGGTGTGGTGGTCCAACATCAATGTTGAATTGGTGATCAACTGTCCGCCCCTTGGCCTCGTCTTTCCATTGTTTCTAGACTCCCCTTGACTCCCGTCCCGGCGATTTTGAGGGGGCTGGTGGTGTTACAGATTGATTGGAAGGACCGGCTCCTGTGAAGCGTTGGCAGTCGGCAAGCCAGCAGCTGAAGGCTATCAGTGGTCGAGACAAGCCATGGTCTCCTGTGGTGTATCGTCGCGTCGGGCTGGTCGGGTGGGGTTACGCAAGCCACAAGATTTTTGGCTTCAGCTCCGATCCGGGCCCCTCATAGGTGAATTCCAGGTTTCGACAGACTTTCTCCCTGCAGCAGCTGCATTCGGTGCATTATGAGGCACTAGGCGGCACGCTAATCTGCTGCTAGGAGACACGCACAGGTGGAAAGCGGTCCCGTCCCTCCCTGCCTGGCCTGCAGTGGTCCGCAGCAGTTGCGGGCTGTTGCGTGGTGCTGGTGTTGTGCACATCATCCGTTGCAAGTGCGTTGTTGAGGTTGCAGTGGTCACTCTTTCCAAGTGCAGTGCCATTCTACCAGATTCCGGCGCCAGCAGCGAGCAAACCAAGGAAAAAATAAGAGTCGTAAACCATGGCAAGAGCGGGTGGTGTGCACCTGTAGCGTTCTAGCGTTCCTGTTTCTACAGCAACTCCACTTTTCAAGTGAGTGAGGGGGTCAAGGCTCGTGTTTATCGCTGTCTGGCCAATCAGCGGCCGCGGTTCGTCCTGTTACCGGGCAGGATGCCTTCCATAAACACCACGACCAAGGTCAACCCCAGCGAGCTGGACCTGAAGCTCTTCCCACTGCTCTCTCCCCGTCTCCAACTTTTCCCACGACTCCAAGCTGACTGCTGGCCATTGACCAACTTCGTCATCTCCCAATCCGCAACCCAACTTGTTACGCAGTCAACCCAATCCAAACCTTCCCGACCTTGTCGTCGTCGTCGTCGTCGTCGTCGTCGTCGTTGTTGTTATTGTTGCGCTCGACCACAAACTCAAAAGTTCCCCAGCACCTCAGGGCAGTCGGCAACCTGAACCCATCCGTCATTTTATCGCCCTCATTTGCGGTGTGAGAAACGCGTGCTTGACCGACTACTTAAATACGATCGGGTCGCCAATCAGTTGTTGATATTTCCACGAGGATTGCCAGTGCAGCACCAAGCGAAGCGTCGCATTGCAAGCGCGTCCCTGGAGTCCGCCATTTCACAACTCAACTTGTGCACAACCACAACGGGGACGGCCGCCTACCTCTACTTACCTCGACTTACCACACATTTCCCTTGTGTGTGCCCTTGCTTTGCGCGATCTTCAATCTGTCTCAGTGCGCGGTGCCTTTTTTGCGACATTATACTGCCTCCCGTCTCCGTTACCTACCTAGGTACTTGCTATGCCATCGCTATAGCAAACGGCTCCAGCATCAACACCAAGTAATCTTATTGTCGACCACCACTCCTCCCTCCCAGCCTGCTACCTAGCCACGCCCAACCGTCCATCACCACCATGGCGTCGGAGGAACCGGTAGGGCGCGCCATCTCTCCACTGCCCTGTTGGGGCAATGACCTCATTGGTTCTCTCACCGCTAACTACGTGGCGCGTCTAGGTGCATCCTCTCCGCCTTTCCAAGAGCAACACTATGCCTAACCCGTCCAAGACGCAGAGTGCTATCCCTCGGCCGCTATCCGAGATCTCGCCCACGGAACAGAGGAGGAATTCGCCCGGTTCCAGCCAGGCACAGGCAAAGGTAAGCCAATACATAGCCGCTAGAGCCAGGAACAGAGCTCCATCAACTTCTCCTTGCTCCATGCATGTCGCATCTCTCCCTGGCTTCCACCGGCTGTACCTGCATTCACCATGCTAACGTCCAAGGAACAGTCCAAGATATCGCCTCTAAATACCGATTCCTCCCCCTTCCCGTCGTCTCCCATGTCGCCCATGGATAACGCGACCTCCCCGCATGCATTTTGGCGAACCCGTTTCAACTCTGAGAACAGTCTCGATAGTCGCACCGGATCCCCTTCGCCTGTCCGTCGCTCCTCTATCGAACGTCTGCAGAAGGCGTCCCGCGTTAAGAACAGCAACATTCTCGCCTCCGAAATCAAGCCGGGCCAGGAACCCCCTCGCCCCCCAGTCGAACGTCCGCTGTCCAAGGTCCAGGGAAACGCATTTGGTGGTATGGGATTCAGCGGTTTCCGGGGCCATGGGAGAAGCCAAAGTAGCACCAGCATCCCCATCTTGAGCCCCCCTCTTCGGCCTACCGCGCCTCCAGTCACCCTGCCTGCTCAGACTCGCCCGGAAACACCGAATAGGGATAAGGAGCAAGGAAGCCAGAGCCTGTCTACCTCGCCCATGAAGTCATCGCTCTCAAGCCGATTCAAGAGCAGTTTTGACCACGAAACCGGCACATGGACGACAGACGAAAACGGCCTTGAACTCCCAACCGGCAGAGCGCTTCACCGCCATGCAAAGAGTGTCACTTTTGATGCCGCTCCGCCCCAAGTGAACGAGTACGAGATGGCAACCCCGGATCTATCCTCGATTGGCAGTAATTCCAGAGAGGGGAGCTACGATTCGGAGGAAGACGAGGACGACGATGATCATTACATGTTGCACGATGGTGATCATAGCGAGAGCGGGGACAGCTTTGATGCCTCGCTCGAGGACACAGACAAGACCCCCGTTGTTGGCCCAGAGGACTGGAGGCAGGGCGAAAATGACGACCCATTCTCAAGAAGTGTCGGCTCGGAGGGTACTTCGAATGGTGACCACAGACCATTGCCACCACTTCCTGGACAGTCAAGCAGGAGCGATTCTGCCTCTCCCAACGCCCTTTCTCCTGTAAGGAGCCTCCCCACTCCTCCACCAGCTCCCTTGACCAAGGCGGATATGCAAAATATCGGCACTGGCAAGATGTCTCTCGAGGAGCGCCTCAAACTCATGATGCTTTCCGATGACGGAAAACACGCTGCTGAGCAGCAGCGGGAGCGTCGCATGCGTCGTGCTGGCACCCACAACCGCGGCGAGGGCCATAATTCTGAACGGGAGCCACTGAGCAGCCCTCTTTCGCATCCTGAGGAGGATGAGGAGGAAAACGATACCATTGGAGATCTTGAAGACTACCAACTGCCACCGCGTATCTCGCGCGAATCGATTCTGCGTCGGGTTAACGGTAACGGTGAACGAGAGTCGGATTATACCTTCTCTGACCCTCCAACCCTGTCTCCCCCTAGGCAATCAGCAGCCTACGACCCGGATGTGCCAATTCCTAGCACCGAGGACGACGACTCGGACATCAGCGATGAAACCGACAGCGAGGAAGAAGGAAGCGTTATCATCAAACGCCCACACCATGATTACGACAGTGAAGACGACTATTCGGTTGCGGATACGTACGATCATACCGAGACTGTCGACAGCGAGGGGGATGCATCTGAGATACACCATGACGATGAGACTGAAAGCCAGTTTTCTGTTGCCACAGATCCCGAGAAGGATGATCATGAGGATGATCAGGTGTCCACCCCGAGGGCGTCATTTACCCCTGCAATTGACCCGCCCGCGGTAAGAGATATCTCTTCCTCCAGCATGAGCGGCTCTCTGGAGCTTCCCAAAGAAAACAAGGATGGAGACTTCGCCGAGGGCTTGGAGTCATTCATGAGCAAACCTGCTGAGCCGGAGAAGGAAAAGGAGGCTGAACAAGTCGCTGAGCCTGAAAAGGGCAAAGAAACTGAGAAGCAGGCCGTGCCGGAAATCCACATCGAACAGAGACCAGAGACGCCCAAGATGAAGAAGGTGCTGTCAAAGCCTGAGTATGATGGTTCGGGTTGGGGAGAGCCTGATGAGGAAGATGAGTACGAGGAAGAGCCAGGTACCCCAGAGTCTGTGATCCACCGCCCCATGCCCGACAGTGATGAAGAAGAAGAAGCTCGCGCATCGCCCGCCATCCCGGAACAAGTTGCGACCATCAAGTCGGCGTCTGGTTCCAAGTTGAAGACTCGGCCGTCGGCGACACCTGCCGACATTGAAAGCATGCGTGAGGCTCGTCGCCACGTTAGCCGTGAAGTCCCAGCCATCCCTCAGGTTCCAGAACGCCACCGTAGCCGTATCTCGAAGGACATGGAGCCTGGACTCTTGAGAGCCTCGGCTGATGATTACATGATGCGCCATCCCAGCTTTAAGAACCGCAGCCTCACCCTAGATATCGATGTGGGCCTCAGCCTCGAAAGTGATTTCGAAAGGGTGATCGAAGCGCAAAAGGTTGTTTTTGACAATTTCCTAAATAAATCTCACACCACCACCGCAGGCTTTGGTTTCTCTGGACAAGCGTCCGAGACCAAAACAAAACCCGACCCAGGTGCACAAGATGTATTCCTCGATGCTAACGTTACGACTCGTAAACAGCGCGGTTATCTTATGCGACAGAACACCAAAATGGTTACTGCCAGTGATAAGGATGGCGACGATTCTCGTAACGGCTACCGATCCGCGGGCGGCTCACCCGTCAAGGCGAATCGTCCTCAATCGTGGACAGTGGAGCCTTGGAATCCTCAACCGAGAAAGAGGAGTCTTAAGAAGCGACCCAGCACCACCGGGCCAGTGCCACCACTTCCTGGCCAGGAGAGTAATGCCATAGCAACTACCTCAACAACCGAAGACGACCTCAATGCTGGTATGGAGGGTCCAGAGAGCGGGGAGAGAGGTCGTTTGTTCGTCAAGGTAATGGGCGTGAAAGATCTTGATCTGCCCATTCCAAAGAGTAAGTCTCTGCTATGAGGACAAAAAGGGGCTTGACTAACCTTGCTGTAGACGAACGGACTTGGTTTGCCTTGACCTTGGACAACGGCGTTCACTGTGTTACGACGGCTTGGCTGGAGCTTGCCAGAAATGCACCCATCGGACAGGAGTTCGAACTTGTCGTACCAAACGACCTGGAATTCCAGTTGACTCTCAATGTCAAACTGGAGAAGCCCGCCCCGGTTAAGCAAAAGGTGATACCATCTCCTGCCAAGATTACCAAGGCCAAGACGTCGACCTTCAGCAGAGTGTTTGCTTCACCCAAGAAGCGGCGCGAAATGGAGATGCGACAGAAGGAAGAGGAAGAACGCCTGGCGCAACAGCAGCGTGAAGCCGCTGCCCGGCAAATGAAGACTCAGCCCACCGCATGGGACCTTCTCTCGCCCTTGGCCGCCGAAGACGGAAGCTTCGCTCGTTCGTATGTCAACCTTAAGGAGCACGAATCCCGCTGTTTCGGACGCCCATATACAGTGGACGTTGCAGCCTTCAACGAGTGGGCTACCGAAGAGGCCAGTTTCGCCTCAAGCGTGAAGAGCAAGCGCGCTAGTACCGGGCCTCTTCGCCGTGCGCCGTATAAGATCGGAAAGCTGGAACTCCAGCTCCTTTTCGTACCTCGCCCCAAGGGAGCGACCGATGAGGATATGCCTAAGAGCATGAACTCGTGCATTCGCGAGATGAAGGCTGCTGAGGAGCGCCTGGCCCAATCCTGGGAAGGTGTCCTCAGCCAGCAGGGTGGAGATTGCCCGGTATGTTTGCCTCCATAATGTCCAATAATGACTATTGGACCTGCTTGCTGACGTTTTCTGTTATAGTACTGGCGTCGCCGTTACTTCAAGTTGGTTGGTACTAAGCTGACCGCCTATCACGAGGCAACTCGACAGCCACGAGCAACCATCAACCTCGCGAATGCCAAGCGGCTCATCGATGATCGTCGAGCCCTCATGGAAAAGGAAATCACCGGGAAGAACGGCAAGCGCCGTCGTTCTGCGTTCGCTGAGGACGAAGAAGGTTATATGTTTGTCGAAGAAGGGTTCCGGATTCGCTTCAATAACGGCGAGTTGATCGACTTCTACGCCGACAGCACTGAGGAGAAGGAGGGCTGGATGAAGGTTCTTGGCGAAATCATTGGTCGTGACACCATTCTTGCTTCGGATGACGATACGGTAACGGGCACCCCGTCCAAGTTGAAGGGCAAGTGGTGCGAGTTGGTGCTCAAGAGAGAGGAGACGATCCGCAAGCGTGCCGAGGGCCGACGGGTGCACTCAAGAACGAAGAGCAGTCTTGTATAAGTCGGGCTGGCTCGCGTTCGCGCCATACAATTATTATAATGTTGAGTCACGAGAACATGTTGTGAAGAGATATGAGAAGATGGAAAAAAAACAGATGATGCTTGGGAAGAGGTGCGTTTTGGGGTGGAAAAGTCCGGTGCTCGGAACAGTGATGAGGCACCGCACGGGGTATGACATCATAGGTGATGATGATCTTGATCGTGCTTCTTGCAGCCCGTTGTTTAGCGAAGCGCGGGATTCACGGGATGCACACTACATTGCATACATGGCATTTGGTTGCATTGCGCTGTCTGGTATATTGATTTTGGCTCTGGCATGTTTGACAGGTGGATAGCAAGCGTTGCATAGCCTCGCTGAACTTCTTTTCTTTCTTCGCTTCAAAAGGGCCAAGGTTCTTATACTACTTTTTGTCGGAGTTCTCTGTTTTACATATCTCTCTCTTCTTGCCGGGCTGATCTGGATCTGGAAGCTTGCTGGCGCATTGTTGTTTGCTGCCGGCTGTTCTATGTTGCCATTGTTTGAGTAAAGCACACACATTGCCGAGTAACACATACTACTTAGTACCTAACTTACTCTTCATTGTCTACTTGGGCTGGTGCCCTCCTTAAGTTTGTCGATTTCTGGATGTCTTGTTAGTAGAGTAGTAAGAACAAAAAAGAAATGAGAGCAAAGAGATACAATTTCTGTCTACGAACTTGAGAATTATGAATGGTCATGAGTTGTTTGCGCATAGACTGAATTATAGCTATCAGAGTAGGTTCAACTTGCATACCTGCTATACATTTGTTTCATTAACATTGGTCGGTTGTGTTGAGCGTATTCGTCTCAGTGTTTTGTGCAAACCCCGTCACGTCAGGTTGTGTTTGGACCAGAATACACTCAAGGGTATATGCCCACCTCTATATACACAGCACACACCCTCTCGTGATTTCCCCTTCCCAAACATCACCTCATCCCACGACCCATTCATTGGCTCCGATTCCACTCCACGCATTCCTGCAACGTAACACCCTTCCCACCAAAGCAATCCAGCGCGCTGCCAATAGTCAGGTCAACCCTGCCACCACTGAGTCTCTTGACCGTCTCCAAATCCTCAAGGTTCCGACCGCCACCGGCATAAGTCACAGGAATGGAACACCACTCGGACAGCTTCTGAACAAGCTTCTCGTCGATGCCCTTTTGCAACCCTTCGTTGTCGGCGGCGTGGATGAGAAATTCGGAGCAGTAGGGTTCCAGGGTTTTGATGGATTCTGTTGTGGCGATTGGGGGAAAGGGGATGTGAGTGAGTAAGTGAGTCATCAACCAGACAAAGAATGAGAAAAGCAAGCGGTAAAGGAACGAAGAGATGTGAGAACGGGGCGTAACTTACCCTCGCTCACTTCCATGTCGGTAATAGTCTGCCACTTGTTCATGGCGACGAACCACCTGTCGTCTCCCTGGCGGCGACAGCTCAGGTCGATGACCAGCTTGGACTTGTCACCGTCGAGGGCGGCGAGGACGGCGTCGAGGTGGGATTGGGAGAATTTGCCGTTGGGGAAGAGGTAGGAGGTGATGATGACCTATAGAGTAGAGGTGGACTTTTTTAGCGGAGTGATCTTATGAAGGCGAAGGTATGACCTGGACAGTAGTAGCTCGATGAGCTCAAAGGCCAGAGGCATGCAACAAAACACCCCTTTTATGAAAGTAAACAAACATATCCTCCGCAAATACCTCGACTTAAGAGAAAGAAGAAGAAAAAAAACATGCAGCCTCACAACGAAGAAAAAAGCCCAAACAGCAAAAACCAACCCAACCATTACCACCCCCGAAATAAAACAACCAAAACCAAAACACCCAAAAAAAAAAAACCCAGCCACAAGCCAAAAATCAACAAACCTTCTCAGCCCCCGCCTCCACCCACTCCCTCGCATTCACATCCGTAATCCCCCCTCCCACCTGCAACCCCCCCGGCCACGCCTTCAGGGACTCCAGCGCCGCTTCTTTATTTCCGGGGCCCAACATGATGACATGCGCACCCGTCAACTCATTGTCGCGGTACAGCTTCGCGAAATAGGCGGGCGGGTGGGGAGAAACAAAGTTGGTCTTGAGCTCCGAGGTGGCGCTGTCGAGCGTGCCACCGACGATTTGCTTGACTTGGCCAGCGTGGAGGTCGATGCAGGGGCGGAAGCGCGTCATTTTGGATTATGGAGGTAAGGTCTCAATGTCGTCGTGTGGTGAGAAAATGAGGCTGATTTATGATGTGAGGTGACGCGCAGGAAAGTGAGGTTCAATGGAAGTCAAGGATGCAGCTGTGCCCGCTATGTTTCAGTGGGGTAGCCCTATGCGTTCCCAGCACTCCAGTGGGAAGCTGCGGGAAGGTGCCGCCCCGCTAGAGGTACCCTACCCCCTGGGCAGCACAGTGCTGCAGATCCCTTCTCGACTCCACAGCTGCATACAATTCACACTAAGAAATACCTTATCGATAAGCCCCAAATGGTCCCCTTGTCCGGCATTGGACCACTGCAAGCCAAAAATTTTGGACCGCGGCGAACCAACCGGCAGCAACCTAATCGCGACACCAACCTAACTTAATTTCAACTACCGTCGTATCTCGTCATCGAACGTCGTCGAACGTCGTCCATCACAAAATGCCGTCAGCCACACTACTAGGAAAGCGGAAAAGCGTAACTGCTCAGCCCGAGGCGAAGAAGAAAAAGAGAGTTGCGGAGGACGAGGTCGTCAAGAGGATCAAGCAGAAAACCGCCAAGAAGAAGGAGGAGAAACCAGTGAAGGAGGGAAAGGAGGACACAAAAGAGAAGAAGGAGAAAGAGGAGGAGGAACAGGATATCAGCGACGCACTTTCCATTTTCCAGCGCGCTTTCGAGGCTCGGTTTAAGCCAATTGCTCCTGCTCCTGGTACTACCACCACCACCACCAAGACAAAGGCCGAGAAATCAAAGTCGACCAAGAAGAAGGCAAGGAAAGCCCAGGGAGATGAGGACGGCGATGAAAAAGATTTCGACGAGGACCAAATACTTGACGACGATGATGCGGTAGATTCGGGCTCGGAAGACGACTTCTCCGGCGAAGAGGACGAGGAGGATTACAGTGGCAGCGACAATGAAGAGGAGGAGGATGAAGAGGAAGAGGAGGCTCCCAAGGTGATGGTAGTGGATTACTCCAAGGACCCGTCAAAGGTGGATACGTCAAAGATGTCGAAGAAGGAGCTCAAGGCTTATTTGGTACGTTCTTCTAATTCCTTGTGGTCCTTTAACTATTTGGGGATAAATTCACCAACACACATCCCCAAAAACCAACAGTCCTCCAAACCCCCCAACGCCATCCTCTCCTCCTCCGACTCCCAAACAAACGGCACCAAGTCCAAAAAGGACAAGGACGGCGCCGACGGCGACGACAGCGCCGCCTTCCTCGCCAACGACCTCGCCCTGCAGCGCCTCATCGCCGAGTCGCACATCCTCTCCGCCGCCGGCGGCAACGCCTCGCACTACCTGTCCAGCGCGGCCGCCGAAACCGAAAAGAACACGCGCGCCTTCGCCGAGGGCCGCATCCGCAAGAAGACGACGGACATGCGCATGCAAGCGCTTGGTGCCAAGGGCAGCGTCCTGGAACAAGAAAAAATGCCCATGAACATGCGCAAGGGCATCAATAAGGCGGCGGAGACGTACGAGCAGAAGAGGAGGAGGGAGGCGAGGGAGAATGGTATCATTCTTGAGAAGGCCTCCGGCAAGGGCAAGGGGGGGAAGACGGGTGGTAACGGTGGTGGTGGTGGTGGTGGGAAGAAGAGGAGTGGGGATAGGCCGGTGGATATGCCTGGTATTGGAAAGATGAGGGGCGCGCAGTTGACGATCAGTAAGAGGGATATTAGGAGTATGGAGAACTCGGGGCCTGCTGGGAGGGGAGGAAGGGGTGCTAAGGGCGGGCATAGGAAGAGGAGGTGAGCGTGTTTGGGCGCATGTCGATGAGGGTTCTTGGTTTTTGGGCCGGGCGAGGCTTTGGCAACCCGTGCCGGACCCCCTCTTTTGCGTCTCTCCCGTTCTCTCTCCGTGGACGACATGGCTGGCTTGGTCATCATTCCGGCGTCGTATCGCGGCTGTTTCGGGCCACAGGTTCGAATCACTTGCCGGTCTGTTCCGGAATCAGGCTGGTTTGAAGGGCTCTGATACATCTTAAGCGCTTTCTCCCACTGATTCACTATCGGCAAGCCCTCAAGCATCCGCCACGCTGAGGACACGCAGCGAAGCGTGGAGATGAGTCTTTTGGGGATGGCGCTGATATTCCATGGCGGTGTGAGCAAATGCTCGGCAAGAGCTTAAGTCACTAGGTGGCAAGTTCAGACGAGCAAACGAATGGAAGTGTCAGACCTGGGGTGGTTGCCTCGAGAACCCTGTATAGTTTGCTACCCCCTTTGGGTTATCAACATTGGGTCTCAACCTCATGATCTGGATGTTACGGGACACTTCGGTGTGGGAAGGAAACACGAAGAGCTCCAGTCGATACCATTTCCACGACTGATTCACGTCAGCCATTCGAGGCACGTCTACTGAGACCGATTCTTAACACCGGCAAGACCAGAAGCACTAGGGACAAGGTGTACAAGGATTGTTGGGAAGAGAACATAGTAGACCAGTGTGGTGATAGACATGATGTCGAAAAGCCAACAGGAAAGCATTAGCTACATACTAAGAGCTCATACACAACTACGAATCCATGAGTCACCGCATCATCCAACAGCCCAATATTTGTGACTCGCAAGGTGAATGGATAATGAGACGTGTGGAAGGTGCATCCCACCCCGATTATTCGTTTTGGCAGTATTTAGACCTGGCCTGGCCCGCCATTCCTCTTCTCTCCTCAAAGCCACCAATCAAGCATTTTCCCCATCGTCGGAATCACTTCGTTTCAAGAACCAGACCAGAATCCAATGACATCAACGTACCTGCCTATCGTATCCCACTCATCACTTGCAAGCCATTTCAGCGGAGTCATCTCCAGGCAAAACAAGACAAGCAACAGACGGTGACCCAGAAACGGATGAGGAACCATAGTCAAACCTTGCGTTCACATCAGTCAGTACTGTCAACTCAACAACCATAAATATCTCCTCAAGACCGACCCCTTCTCACTCATCACCTCCTCTCTTCCTCCAACAGCGGATCAGCGGGTCAGTCGACGAAGCAGCCCACACATACTCAGATAATATCAAGACCACCACCACCACCACCACCACCACCAATTAACTCAATCTTCTCCTCCCATCCATCGAAAATGGACAACAGTCCTCCCCCCAAGCACCCATCCGTCGGCCAAAAGCTCACCGGTAAGCAAGAAGAGCAGATGGAGAAATCTATCAGGCTGCTGAAAAGCAAGATGGAAAAAGACCAGTGGGAGGCCGCGAAGAAGAGGATAGCCGAGGAGGAGAGAAAGGCCGAGGCCGAGACCGCCGCCGAGCAGCAGAAGATGAAGGAAGCGGCCGAGAAAGTAGAGGCACTGGCACTCAGTAGCAGGGGCAGGACCAGTGCCACCAACACCGATAAAGCCACTGCGGAAGCCGGTGTGGAAGCTGGTGAGGGGGGTAAGACTAAGAGTGATGATAAAAGTGAGGGTACTAAGAGATGACAACGATGGATTGGTAGGGAGGGTGGGGGGTAGATGGGGAGTGGGTAGGTACGGTAGGGTAGGGTAGGGAGAGAGGGTAAAGGGAAAGGATAAGGAAAAGAAAAAGGGGTGATGGATTTAGACATGATAGCATGCATTCACGCCCAGATGTAGGTAGCGGATTGAGCGGCGATTTGCGCTCCGCGAGGGAAATGACCAGGAGGAGAGCGTAGGTTTGTTCAATATAGCACTCTGTTGATCCCTTGAGTGCTGGGGCTTTCTGAACTGCTGCAGTGCCACGTCTGCGTAGCGCGTTTCCGTTGTGTGTTCATGTGACGGATGCTCCTCCTGATGCGCACCTTCCCTCCTGCTGCGACAAACAAAAACCTCGCTTTTTCAATCTCAAAAAAGCAAAAGAAAAATGCAAACACCCCATTTCCCATATCTCCAGCCATCCCGCTATTCGATAAAAGTTGCAAAAAGCTCAGTCGCCCAGGTAAGCTTGTGGAACGAACGCACAACGCCCCAGCTGCGACCTACGAAAACTGTACCACGAGATACCACGCACTCGGCAATGTTTTCATCAACGGGAACCACTGCGCCATAAGACCACAGGGCCCGTTGTGGTAGAGGGGTCAGATAAGGGACCTTATATGATGCCTGCAGGCGGCAGCAGTGCAGGCTTAGGGCGGGCGGGAAGGATCTTGTCGTCCGATGTTTGGGGGGAAGGCGTCCGTCATTACCAAAACCGTAATCACTCCTTGTTGCTAGTAGGGGACGTCTCCTCAACCTCCATCTCCATGTCCCCCTCTCTGTCGACATTCTCGCCCCCCTTGTTTTCGCCATCCTCGCCCCTATTCTCACCGCTACTCCCCGGCTCCGGCGCCACTGGAAAATGCAGATGCTTCCAGTCCTCCAACTCCTCCGTCACCGACCTCAACCGGTCCCGGATGCTTTCAATCGCATAACTACCAAGCAGCAGCCTCAGCGGCGGGTACGAGCAGTGGCCCAGCTGCCACACCAAGTCCGCGCACTTCTGGGCACTGGTCGGCTGCTTATCGCCCAACCACTGCACCATCCTCTTCGCGTGCAGCGCCGGCGACGTCGCGTGCGAGTACGGCTCGCTGGCCGGCTTGATGAGGAAATGGCCCCAGCGGGGCACCATGGAGGTGTCCGCCTCGTCTCTCCTCACCAAGCCCGGTTCGACGAGGGTAGCCTTGATATTGAACGCGTCGACCTCGTACAGCATGGCCTCGATCAGGCCTTCCACCGCATACTTGGTCGCGCAGTAAGGGCCCAGACCGGGGACGCCGAGGGCCCCGGAGGTGGAACTAAAGATGATATACCGCCCCGCCCCTTGCTCGCGGAAGTAGGGCAGGCTGGCCTGGATGATGTGCACGGTGCCCATGAAGTTGGTCTCGAACTGGTTGCGGATCTCGTGCTCGTCCTGGTCCTCGCACGCGCCGATGACGCCGTAGCCGGAGCAGTTGGCGATGCAGTCGATGCGCCCGAACCGGTCGAGCGTCTGGTCGATCACCCGGTTGACCGAGGCGTAGTCACGCACGTCGCACAAAGTCCCAAAGGCGTTCTCCGCTTGCGGGTGGTGCAGGTGCGCCTGCGCCATCTGCTCCCGCGTGGACTCGAAGATGCGGCCCACGACGGTGACGGAGTCGCCGTGGTTGAGGCAGCTCTTGACCAGGGAGCGGCCTATTTGGCCGGTGCCGCCGAAGACCTGTGGTAGGTGTCAGTTACATTGAGGGTTTGAGGGAGTAGTATAAGGGTGAGGTCAGGGGGGTGTGATGAGGAAGCTTCTTACGATCCAAACTAGGGGCTTCCGTGGTGCGCCGGGCTGTGGTGGGTCACAGCTCGCTGGGAGTGCGACCTTCCCCTTTTTACTGGGGGTTTCACTCCCGGTCATGCTTGGGGTTCTTTGCTCCATTGCGATGGTGAGATGGATGCCCGTGGTTTGATTTTGGTGTACTTTTGAAACGCCAAAGGCTCAGGTAAAGATCGCTATTGAAGCGTAGTGATGACAAGTGGCAATGCCGGCGGTGCAATGTGCGATACGCAAACGCCCGCTTTGTCGGATCTCAGCTCATTGTCACGACCAGAGGGAAAGTAGTGATCTAATGACGGAGCCAAAGGCCTGAGATATCGTGGGTAAAGCTTAGTTAAAATCCGTGATACGGCGATGAAAGCATGAAGTGTCATGAAGCCCCGAAGGAGCACCAGCCCGGACAATGTTCATGAGCGGGTTTCACGGAACACTGTTGTTGTTAGTCAGACTCCAGTAAATGCATTTGCTCTATCCTGCCCCAATAGGAGCATTCACCCTTCTAAAGGGATGTCTACGTCTGCACATGCTGCCTGTCAATGATTGGCTATACAAATGATTCAGGCGGCAAACTGATTGATTCCATTGAAAGAAGTTTGTGCCACGATTGTTCATAGAGTATCTTCCTTTTGTTGAAGTAGTATCTCTTAGTTCTTTTCATTCTTACCATCAAGGTGGCTATACCGATATCCTCAATAGCTGCACCGATAAGGGCTCTTCTCGATGCTCCGCAACGACCGGGCGCAACAAAGTCGTGATAAGAGCACGCCCCTGGCACCAGCAGCATAGCAACCCCGTTCAGCAAATGGAGAATCTCAATGTTTACTACCCCTGAAATCCGTGTCGTTGTGAAGCCTAGCCGGGTGATCAAGTGCCGAATCGTTGTATCGGGGGCGATGGCGCAATTTTCCTACAGCATCTCACCAAAGAAAAACCCCCTCCATACGTCACCCGCTTTTGGTGATAAAATATGGGCATGGTGTGATGCAACCCGGCCACGACCGAAAATTTGTCCGTGGCGGCGTGAGAGCTGGCTCAAAAAGCCCTTCATCTGAACTACACTTGAGGAGAACGGACTCTATATAATCTTATACATATCACATTTAACCCATCATCCCTGAACCATCTCCAATTTCTCGTTTCCACCGAACTGCCTAGCCCCACAATTTATTGCAACGACACCTACATAACAAAACCCCGCGGCGTCGTCTCATTAATACCCAGTTCCAGAAGCAGACACTATCAAAACTGTAAAACAGCCAAAATGAAGGCCTACTTCTACGACAACCTCCCTGTAAGTTACCTCTACCCATGATATCCATCGAACTCACTTCCCTGTCAGCCTGTTTGCCTGCATGGGTTCCGCTTCGTGATAGAAAACTTCCCTCCCCAACCGGTGCAGCAGTGTGTCTAACCCACAACACAGGGCGACCAACGCCTCCCCCACGACTCCGGCAAGGAAGTGACCGTCTCGGACCTTGAAAAGGTCGGGGTCCTTTACTTCCGGATCCCGGACGTCTCGGGCGTGGACGCCCTTGCCTCTGAGCGCGGCTACAAGAACCGGGATGAGATCACCGTCTCGCCCGAGAAGATGGGGGCCATCTACGAGACGAAAGTGCGCCAGTTCTTCGACGAGCACCTGCACGAGGACGAGGAGATCCGGTACATCCGCGACGGCGCGGGGTACTTTGACGTGCGCAACGAGGGCGACGAGTGGATTCGCATCAAGCTTGTCAAGGATGATCTGATCATCCTCCCTGCTGGCATTTATCATAGGTTTACTACTGATGATACCGATGTATGTTTATCCCCCATTCCTTTATTGCAAGTTGGGTTGGAGAACTGACATGCCATTTTTTTCTGGCTAAAGTATATCCAGGCTATGCGTCTGTTCAAGGAGGAGCCTAAGTGGACGCCTCTGAACCGCACCGAGGGGCTCGATGAGAACCCCTACCGCCAGGAGTATGTCACTCAGTTCCTGAAGGCCTAAACGGGATAGATGTAGGAGGAGCCAAAGGGGGTGGACATAGCCTCTTAAGCCATCACAAATCGAAAGAAGGGAAGCATGCCATACGCTAGCTGAGTTTGCTACTTGCTTTAAGCGACACATATCTATACCCGAATGCATGAAAGATGTCTATAACACCTATCAACCAATGTTTGGTATGAGCGGCCGTTCAGTTGTTTCCTTTTCCGCCATACCGACTGGCTGCTACCTAGGCTTTTTTCAATCGACCTCCTTGGCATGGTGGTGTAACCCGGACTTGGTTTTGCTCTTTCTGTTGAAAATCACACTATTGTCCTGAACGAAACGCCCAAGACCGCATGCATGAAGCGCGCTGCTTTTGTGCCAAAGTGAATGACTGTCTTGTGTACTGATCCCAAATTTACCCCTAAAAACGCCTGGTATCCTCCATAGAAAATATAATGTCAGTAGATTCGCACGACCTAACCTGTCATGCCCTTATGGCCCATGTTGTTCATGATACAGTCGACTCCCTCACTCCACCATACGCCTTAGCGGACCTCGGGCGGCGCAACTTCGGGAGCGCCAGCGACTGCAATCTCGTTGTTGATACCATCCGTGGTCTCCTCGCGCGGTCGGCCCTCTTTAATATGATAGTTAGTACAAATATCATTTTAGCAACCGCAAGCCACACAAAGAAAAGATGATGCGACATACCAAAGATACGACGCCACCACATGGGCGGGTCAAGGGGTCTTGAGCCGCCGTGAAGAGGAGGATACACGTCGGTGAAAAAGTACCAGATATGCCCAATCACCACGCCCATCAACTCATCCTTGGGCACAGTGCCGTGGAGGGTCAAGCTGAACGCCATAAGGACCCATGGCAAGTAGGGTGCGCTGAACACCAGCAACCCGAGAAAGCTGAGGCGGGTGTCTGGGTTACGACGAGACCATATGTAAACCAGCGTCGACGAAAGCGGATGGCCGAGGAATGGCATCGAAACGAGCGGCGACAGGATCAGGAGGAACACCATGGCGTAGAGTAACAGCCATGAAAAGTGCGCTGGAGATCGGCCTGCGGACTCTTCGAGGAGCCGCGAATATCGTTGCAGGAAGTAGACGTGGAAGAGAAGGTCGAGGGAGAAGGGCCCGAAGTAGAGGAAGGTGGTGAGTAGTCGCCAGTACTAAACAGGAACAACAGCAGCCGTGTTAGCGAACCATTGCTCTCTTAGACAGGCACATATGTGCCAGAAGAAGAAGAAGATGATGTTGATGGAAGACCACGAACCTGTGACTTGACAAAGACGGCGCGGTAGCTATAGAAGAGCTGGAAGGGAGTGATAAGCTCGCACTGGACCAAGCCACTCATGAGCACCGTTGCCGTCGTCCACCATCTTGTACAGATGGGCATCTCCCAGAACCACGTCTCGAGCGGGAAGCGCCCGGCATCGCCGCCATCGATCATCTGGTCCATGGTGATTCGTTATCGGATACTTGGCGGGTCCTGTATGCCGGGGCTGGAATGTTATAGACGATAGCGGCGTTGCTAGCACGGATGGTGAATCGGGTACCGTCTCCAATCAGGTACGGTTGGGGCGAATACGATGGTGCAAGGTCAACGACGACGTGTGGATTCGGACTGGAATAGTAAACAATCTCCTGACCGAGGATGTCTAGATAAACTATGTGATAACGCCTCGCCCGAAGAAAGAGAGCGTGGAAGGTTACGTTGATAAATCAAGATGCCGCGGTGTTGATGATGTCGTGTCCTCTAGAAGGCTTCCAGGTTAGGTGTAAGTGTCAAGACGGGAAGCGAGACGGGGCCACGGGCTGGCGGGAGTGGCGGGATCGCTAGCGGAACTCTGGGGAAGGCTGCAGCTGCAAGTGGAATGGAAGTGGGAAGCGCTGTGCGTCGAACTTTCCAGGGTCGAACAGCATGCTGGCTGGGATATGACAATATACGTAATATGCATTTATGCACATATATGGAGGTTGGACGGGAACAAGCTCAAGGCCTCAAGCTGCTTTGGCTGGACCCCACATTTTCCCGCTGCCATTAAAACCCCTGCATGCGGATTGCTCCATCGTGGAACCCCACAAAATCCACTGTGACCGAGCGCGCCCAGTCGCGTTCAAAAAAGAAACGTAGGCGCGTCAAGGTTCCCCATTCCAGTCGACGTTTCCCCAACCACCCCCCTTTTGTACAAACATCGTGGATAGTGATTGTATGAGTTGGCATTACCGGCTTTGTCCATTCACCTTCTCAGCCACTATACTCGACACCTTGGACAACTTCGAGTTTTCTTTGTCCTCTTTCTTGCCTTCCCATCCTGGCTGCAACAACCCCGAATTGCTGATCCCTTGCCGCCTTGCAAGACGCGCCCAAGCTCCCGTCAATTGAAGAAAGCTCCGCCGGCGCATCCACTCTAGCTCCCGTCGCAAACCACAACAACAACCCAACTTTCCGGTCTTTTTGTCAATTGCGACTTGGCAACCACCTAGGTTCATCTTTTACTACCACCACTTCATCATCTGGTCGACCCATCGATACACAACCTCCTCAATCTTCGTCTCCGAGTCCGTCACCAGCGAACCATCCACCTACCAAACTTTACGGATCATCAATACACAACAACAATGCCACCGAAAACGAAAGGAGTAGGCAAGCAAAAGGGGGTGCCTAAGAAAGCCGCGGCAGCGGCGCCCAAGGCCAAGGCCACTCCCCCGGGAAGAAGGAAGTCGCGCGCCAGCAGTGTTCAACGTATGTCTCACTACTCCAGCCCCATCTACGGTCGATCTCTGAGGGCAACCGGAGGCGCGGCGCGTACGCGCGTGCGCGCGTAGGGTATCCATGGCCTACGGCCTTAGTTAGGATCACACGCGGCTAACAATAACAAACAGCCGGTGACCCCGTTCCCCAGGGCAAAAAAAGGCGTTACAGACCCGGCACGCTTGCGCTGAAGGAGATCCGTAACTATCAAAGGACGACAGATTTGTTGGTTGCTAAGCTTCCCTTTGCGCGATTGGTACGTATTATACCTACCTACTAGGCCTCCCCTTGCCTTCCTCCTTGAGTTAGAGGGACCACCCAGACAACCCGATCCAGTGCTAACTTTTACTTTCGATAGGTCCGCGAAATAGCCATGCAATTCCGCCCCATGGACGAGGAAATGCGCTGGCAGTCGCAAGCCATCCTGGCCCTGCAAGAGGCCGCCGAGGCCTTTCTCGTCCACCTGTTCGAGGACACCAACCTGTGCGCCATCCACGCCAAGCGCGTCACCATCATGCAGAAGGACATCCAGCTGGCTCGCCGGATACGCGGCGTGTGGGGAGGTGCTGGATGGGTATGAGTTGTGATAGCTCAAAGCGGTGCAGCGAAGTCGCGGCGTAAAGCGGTACGGCTGGTCCAGCAGCGGAAGCGGAAGCGTAGTCGGAGTTGCTGTTACTACTGTGATGGACTACCTCTGCGGTTTTGGCTTGGCCTGGGCTGGCTAGGCTCGGTTTGGTCCAGGTCAGTCAGTTATTTTGTTCTTCTGCAAGGAGAAGAAAAGAAATCGGGGAAGTGGGGGAGGTGGAAAAGAGTCAGGGGCATGGGTCTCAAAGGTCTCAAAGGCAGTCAGGCCAAGACAAGACAAGACGGCTGAAGGCGCGCGACGATACGACGTTGGATCGCGTCTTCTCACTGGGGTTGCGGGTCGCAGGAAGGGTGGGGACATTGGACATGGGCAGTGTGTGATCCATCCATCCCGTGACTCTGCCTGCATATTGACATGACAGAAGGGAAACTCGGTCCCATCACCAGTACGACGGCAGAACAGAACAACGGAGAACCATGAACGGACGGTAGCCGAGGATCTGCGCAACCGCCTTGATTAGCCGGCCCAAACTGCTTTAGCGTGGGGGCCAAGGGGGGATCAAACGCATGATCTGACTGTAGAGAAAAGAAGGGTATGAGCGGCAAGGGGAAAGGACAACCCGGTTGTTCTTTGGCTTGTCGGCGAGTCGAGAGGGAGAAAATGGTTGAGGGACATTTGAGTAGGAGGCTTGGATGCGCTTCATTCTATTTTTTTCTCTCTCGGGACGGTCGATCAGTGGTTGAACACAAAGCGGCTCGGCTCGGCATTGGACAGGAGGATGGATGTGGGTTGTGTGTGTGCTGGTTTGATCTTTGGGTCGGCAGGCAGGCGGCGGCGTTTGAATGGCATCCCATGGGGAAATATCATCTGATTGATTGCTTTAAAAGGTAAAGCGGCGTTAAATAGTGTGTTTTACAAGACAATGAAAGGTATATATACACATATTTTTCCCAACATTCTCTAGTCTTTTTTATGGGAGTGAAGGAGGGTCCAGGTTTGTTTCTCCCGTCTTCGCCTTTACCGTACCAGAGGAGGTGAAGGTTTGGTTGATTGTGTCGGTGACAACCGTAATCCGATCGTTGACTGGAACTCCCAACTATTGTCCAACCCTTGAATCTGTCACCACGTTTGACACAGCACAACGGTATTTGTCCATACGTATAGCAGCAGCTCGAGATTGTGAAAACACCACCCTTTAACTAATCACTGACCATTGAGGAGACTCAAATGTTGGAAGGTGCTTGAATGGTTGTTGGTGGATGGAAAATGTCGTATACTTGGTTCATTGATGCTAACGATGATGAAGTTGGATGCTCAAATTAGAGAATGTCTGACTCGGCCGTCCTTATAAAAAGGACAGGCTTGAAGAGCATGCAAGCGACTGCCGACTGGCTGACTGTGCGTCTGTCGTGCCTGCTGCACCGATGTGAGTTGTTCCTGCATCAGATGTTCTCTGCTATTGAACAACCGTTGCGGCAAGTACGAACGTCTTAGAAAGCCAAGGGTTGGGCAACCGTTGGATGGGTCCTCCCTCATTGGTACGGTATCTGACTTATACTTAAAATCTGGTAGGTGAGCTTTGACAGGAAGGAAAAGTGGAAGGGTGTAGAAGGCCTGCCGGTCTATGATATGCTTGAATTTCCGTCGAGCACGGGATACATTCCCTACTTTTACCCAGGAACGGAGCTACTCTCTAACCAGCGCAATACGCCTGCTGAGTGTCTGCTTCTGCTTCTTTCGCTTTCGCTCTAAGCGAGCGGTAGAGAAAACAAACATGTGTATCAACAATTCTGGAAATTATTTTTGCCTCTCAAAGCGCAACATTCTAAACCCTCTTCCCTCTTATAACGCCTTTTTGTGTGTTGTGTTGAATGGAAAAAAAGAAACGCCATAAAAGGTTTATACAGCTCTCGACGAAAGAGAAACAGGAGACCGGGTTGAATCAACCTCCAACTCCTCTCATATGCCCATGCCCTATCGGTATCCCGTTCCTATCCACCATGTACATATCACCACCGTGACCATGCTGCCCATGCTGACCATGATCATGCCTCAGTTGATCAATGCTATGCATCAACTGCTCCTTCTCCCTCTCGAGCGTATCCCGTTCCTTCTCCAACGATAATATGTACCGCGTCGACATATCCAACACCTCCGCCTTGCTCAGACGCCGCTCAATACCGAAGTCAAGCGAAGGGTGTTGGCCCGGGATGACGCTACCACCGCCATTGCCGTTGACGCCGCCGATCATGGTCATCGATGAGCGCAATGAGTCTGGGAGCACCGCCAGGAGCCTCTCGAACTGGGCGTTGAGCCGGTTGCGGTACTGCTTCTCGACCAGATTATGCGAGTTGCGCGACTTTCGCTCTTCTGGCGTCTCTTCCGGTCGCGGTTGGATGTTCTTGGGAGCCCGTGAGGCGCTTCGCAGTTTTCCTTTGTTCTTGCTGAAGGCGGCAGTCGCAGACGCGGTCCCTTTCGCGGTCTTGGCAGCACCTCCTGGTACTGCTGGCACTGCTGCGGCTGCGTTGAACGGTGACCCGCGAGATATCGGTGTCATGATCTGGCTAGACGCCTTCTTTTTGCCATTATCCCACGGACCGTCCTCGCTCTTGTTGCATCCTTCGATCAACTCGGTAGTAGTTTGGACCCATCGATGTTGCTGCTGCTGTTGCTGCTGCTGCTGATTGGCTCTCTCATTGATGTTTGCGTAAGTGACGCCGTCTGAGTTATCCGAGAACCCAGTTTCGGATGGCGCGCTGATTGATCCAAATGTTCTCGCAGTCGGTGATGCTACAGCTCCTCGAGAAGGCGTGTTCGGTCCAAGGCTGTTTGGCGGGTAACCGTTCGCCCACGAGAACCCAAACCCGGGTTGTATTGGACTCTGGAGAATAGGTGGCGATCCGTAAATACTACCGCCACCGAGGTAGGAATCCGAGATATCATGCGATGGCGCGAATTCGTAGGGCGTCGAGCCCGGAGGTGCTGAAACCGCCGAATGTTCGCGGTTGTACAGAGCAGCGGCGCTCGTGGATGGTAGTTGTTGTTGCTCCCACCCAGCCCCTTGCTGATAGTAAAGAGGCTGCGTGGGGTGGTCAGGAGTCGGAACGTGATATGACGCTGTCGCCACAGGGAAGGTTGGAGAAGTTGGAAGCGTGGTTTGCCGGGCTGAAGAGGCGAAGTTCGGATAGGGGAAGCTCGGTCCGTTTTGCTGGTGTGTGGTATGGATTGAAGTGGTTTGATTTTCGGAGTAAGTGGCGTGTTCGGGCATGCCAAGACTTTTCAGACTGCCGCCGGGACTGAAGGCTGACGGTACTTCGGTCATCATCTGCTGGAAACGCCATTGTTACATGTTAGTTATTTTGCGATGGTCGAGTTTGCTTGATTGCGAGGCGTATAAAGGCATGCGTCTAGTTCCGGGCCCTCATCTCACGTTACTTCTGCCAACCTCATGACTGTTTTCTCCCTTTTCGTCTTTCCTGGATGACCCCGACAACGAAATCTCTCCACAGCGGTCTCCTGGTCTCCCTGCCCACGATGCTCCTCTGATCGACAATGTTATGCCTGGCAACTATGCCATATACGCACCGAATTATCAGGGAAGAGATCGTTGAGGACATTTTGCTCACTCGAACTGTTGGATTTCAAGTCATCCAGTCATCCACATAGGCTGCCTTGGTTGTGGAGTCTGACTTTCAGGATTTTGTTGATCTGTAGAGCTTGCGCGACACAGTCATCTCCAGCGACTCGGGTGTTTGAGGGAGGGCAATACAGATTCTCTGACCGTCCCTCCGTTTACCCGGTAGGCCCAGCCTTCAAATCACTAAACAGGGGACAGAAATGGGTGACTTCTGGATGAAAGGCTCGGTTTGGATCGGGAAGAGGCGAGTAAGGCAGAGAAAGTTTGCGTACCTCATGTGTTCCGGCGCCGTTATTGTCGAAGTACGGTTGTTCGCCGCCAGTTCGTGCCATCTTGGATCGGCTGTGTCCCGGGTTATGCGCTGCGGAAAACCAAACACGCAAAGTCGGGGAATATGAAGTCGTCGTCGGCGGAATATGGCGTGGCCCACAAGCAATTGGACTCTTGACTCTTCGCTAAAGGTCACTATATACCTCGATAGGGAGATGTCGACCAGGCTAAGATCGGCTTTTTCCATTCGCTGTCAACGTTTAGGTGGTACTCAGGCCGCCGCCGCCTCGCTCAGCGAAAATTACCTAGGTAATCACCCCGGGATCAAGGGATCGCACACGTTTCTCCCCTATCCAGTCCAGCCCTAATAGGCGGAAGTGAGACCCAGAGGCAGACAGCTTTAGGAGGTTGTGCTTGCCGTATGCCCAATCCCCGTGGTAGATCGAGCTTGTTCGAGAATAGTCTTGATTGCGCTGGCTGATTTTCTGTCGTCCAAACTAGGTTCCCGCTGCCCGTAAAAAGCTGATAGAAGCACAAAATCGGGGCAATGCTTGTTGAGAAGGATGAATGGCAGTGGAGTGAGCGCCTCTGGAATTTCAGGTCTCCCCACTGCTAGTCAGTAACTTGGGCTAAGCCTTAACGGGTGTGCCGTTCAGATGTACTATGTATAGGGGGCGGAACGGAGGGGATTACCTGATCTCCTGAGTTGCAGGTCAAGTGGCTGGCATACCCTCGTAGGAGCACCACGTACGCAGTAGTACTTCCGAAGATAGGAGCGGAGGTTATGGCAGCCACTGGCTTCGTGGTCACCTGCTCGGGCCGAGCCGCTGGCCCTTCCTTATTATATGACACTCTTAATTTCTGTGCGGTTCCGCCCGCCCTCGATCCTGTTACAACTTTATCATCGCTTCTTGGCACTTTGGTTTTCCATGGGCGATGGTTGATCCGGCTGCGGAGTGACTGCAGCCGCGGCAGCCGAGTATCTAGCACTGCGTTACTCGACATGGCTGGTTGGCACGCTCGAGTGTCCAGTATGTTGCACCTATGCTTGAAGCCACGCCTGCCCCCATCCGCCGCCCTTACCTTACGGTGGATAATGGACGGGTAGGGTGCACACCCACACAGCTGAAAAAACTTTTGATGATGATACGGAATCACCCCTGAGCTACTGAACCCTGGGCGCCATTGCTCTGCCAGGGTAGTTGAGGGTCGCTGACCCTGGCCGGTCCTGGTAGATACCGGGCGATGTCTCCTGGTCCCACTCGGTCAACCCTTGTGAGCGTTGAAGGAGGATGGGTTCTGCATCTGGCTATTGTTTTGCCCATGCATCCATGAGGGAGATACCCACGAGTCCCACCTGGGCAGGCTGCATCTGGAAACAGATTCGGGCGGAGAGAGCAACGGCTGGATCGATCGTTTCGGGAGGAAAGATCTCACTCAACAGAGCGGCAGGTGATGAGTGACCAGTGAAAATGACAATTCCGATGCCGAATTTGTCGTTTTACCATCCGTTCATGCCAGGCCGTACCACAGCCGTCGTGACACATCGATGGGCATTGCTCGTCGAGGACCTTCAAGGGTATGGTGACCAAGGGTGGCTGCACAGGCCAAATTGTACTGTGATATCTGTACTCGGGAGTAGTAACCGTTGAATAGGCCGCAGGGTGGGATCCATATTGCAGCCCTAAAGCAGTCCTACATTGGACTGCTAAGACCGGGGAGATTATCAGGTTGTCTTGCAGGACGTCCCTCAGCGCCGAGACACTTGCAGAGATCCATAGTCCCATCGGCTCAACGGGAGAACGGGTAATAGGCCAGGGACTGGAGAAGCCCCATTGCGATTTCCAGAATCAAGGAATCGGCGAATCAGAACGGTCCAATGCTGCGGTTGATCGCGCTACAGGTGTAGGAGCGACTAGAGTGGTCCCGTGTTGAGAACACGCCGATGGAGTTGACTGGAGATTTGTTAGACCCTCGGCAGGCCGTTTACTCCATCCTCTCCCCTTTGGATGGTCGCCTTGGCGGTGGCCTGTCTTCCTGTCTCGTGTCTCGGGTGGGGGAGGGCTCCAGACCAGAATCGGAAGAGGTTGACCGGATTGTGGAGGCACTCGCATGGCATCCGGCTTCCGGTCGTGTGTTTGCTGAAACTTGAGAGCCAAAAGCAACGGCGGACCGAGATGTCCAAGGCAGATGCGCAGACGGGCTGCTGGACAGGCTGGTTGACAGACAGAGCATACCGTATGTGACTCTGAGGTGGATAATGATCAAGCGCTGGTTTGACAGCTCTTGCCGTCGCCACAATAAGACGATGCTAATATAGGGCGGACAGTATGGGGAAGCCTTGGTCTGCTTAGGTACCTAACCCTTGGGATTCAGCCCTCGGTCTTACTTAGACAGGTGAGACAGGCCTTGAGGTGACAGGCCTTGACAGGCATCGTACGGGAAAGCGGAAGCAGGACAGGGATTGAAGCAGAGCCGCGCGTGATATCTGCGGTCTAGATTTGACGCCATTCCAATGAAGGCCAACATAAATGGAATCTGTAGGCGACGAAGAAGAATCTGCGCTGGGTCTCGTGTTTCCATGCCAGAAATATTGGAAGAAGTGAGGTGATTTTTTATGGGCGAGCAGCGGCAGACTGGTCGGTAGCAGCTACGACCTTGGATGAACTTGGAGGAGGCAGGAGCCCGGGACATACCGTGACCTAGTCCAGAGTTCAGGAGACCACGTAGAGGTGCCTCCACTGTCTTATGCGCCAAGTCGGTTCGGCCGAGCAAGTCCCGGTCTGAGGAAGACTTCCTGACTTCCAGTTGCCTCTAACCCAGCCGTGACTCCATGACAGCAACATCAATCGAAGTCGGTTTGGTCGCCGATTCCGACTTCCGTGTGTGTGGGATGTGTTTGTTCGTAAAAAGTCGGGGAGGACAAGAGAAGGAAATATGGCCTGATCGCAGTTTGGTTCGAGAGTCAGAGGGCAGTGGGAATCCAGGTGCAGACTAGACCTAAAGTTGACTACTGCTGGAGTGCTGGGCTCAAGTGCGCGGCGTTTCGTCCCCGAGTAACCGAATGACTGGCGAGTACGAATGGCGATCCCCGCCCAACTAGGCTTACAGATCGTATGGACTAGTAGATGATGACCCCAATTGGACAAATGGGCAGGCTTTTTGGTCGGGTACTGTGTCCTCTTTCGCGCACAAACAAGTGTTAAAGTTCTTCTCGTAGCACAACGAACCGGGGTCACATGCGCTCCTCAATTCCCTGAAATCGTATATACACCCCAGATGGGGCTATTGGGGAGTTATTGAGATGTCGAGTGAACATCAGAGAGTTTGGACGAGGAAACCCGGCCGAATCTGGATAAGATCGCAAAGAGCCTGGTCAAGAGCCCTGCTCGTCCAAGAAGGGCAAACACGGAGAAACGGAAGGGCAGCCTCTATTTGTTGGAGCGTTGCAACTGAGGGGACACCTCAGGAACTTTTGTTCCAAGCAACAGCCCGAGCCGTCTTTGCATAGCCAAGATATGCGATGCTATGCAATGCTGCGCCCACTCATAAAAAATAAAATGAATGACATTGTTGCGCATTGTTGCATAACCAGGACCATCCCTGAATGGCCCGGATTCATCAAATGCAGGCACACCACGATGCCCACCGCTCGTAGAGTCGAACCTTCCCAAGGGCAGAACCAAAAAGACAAGAACGCGGGCAGCGTCGGCCGCCATCTGTCCTCATAGCCGAACAAGCGAAGGTACATTGACCAACCAGGTGAGGCAGGAGTCCGAAAGACGGGAGTCTCCCCCGTCGCGGTTTCTTCATCTGGCAACGACGCCTCAACCTGTAGCAGAACTTGACACTTTCATCATCCCCCCGCCATGATGCTCTTTGTCCAAGCTCAGATACCAGGCAAGAAAGGAAGATATCCTCAACATGGGCCCTGGCTGTGGCTTTACAGGCCAAGTCCCTTGACTGGGCTGTTGCCTGTTCGGATCGATATTCAACGTCTCTTGCTGTCTTTTTTGTTTGTCCAATCTGTTCACGTTCCTCAAGCGGTATCATCAGGGCTTCGAATTGGCTTGCGGGCTGAGTCTATCAGCTAAAGGCGATTAGGACTTCATGCCTCGACGTTTGGCCCTTCGATTCGACCAAGCTGTGGCTCCTGCGACCTGAAGGCGATATGTGTTTCCTCGACATGACCGGGTTCCCCATCCGCAAACACTTTCAAGTCTCTGAGTAAATCCCGTTCCCTGTCAGCCCAAGGTTATAGCAGCCGGAAGTGATTAATGCTAATGGTTCCTGGCGGTACAGCCGTAAACACGAGTCGCACCTGACTCCGAGACAAAAACGGCCCCTTACCACAGCAATGGCCAACGCCGAATCGAACCCCAGAGATTGGCCCAGACACAAAGATGCCTCGCCCTCGAGCCAACGGAACCTTCAGATGCCTGCCATGCTCTTTCTGGTGCTGCCGCCAAGCGGAGGGCCGACGTTCATCCGTGCTTGTCGGACAACACAAATCGATGTAGACGAATGCGGCTACCTGCCTGGCGATACAGAAACAGTGTTCTGGGATATTCGAAGCTGATTTGCGCGGCTTAATGCAAGATCATGACCCGTCCCTTACGTAGGCGTATCGAGGCATACTGTTGGGCCACCCGGTCCTGGAGGCTGAGATCGGGATTCTGGACGACGTCTCATCGAGTTTCGGAATGAGTTCAACCGCTTGATTGCTTCGGCCGACATACGTCGTGGGAATTGGTCGTTGGCATGGCGGCATCAAACAGAAGCATTCAACAAGTTGCGCCGATACTCGAAAACGGAACACTTCGGCGCCACGGTGCTGTGCTTTGCTTTGCTTTCCGTATCCCCGATGGACTTGTTCCTGTACTGGCGCGCTGCGTCTGCTGGGCACTAGAGCCCTTCGCTGGCATGCAATACGACCTCGACAGCGGCTCTGGCAGATCGCTTTAGCATTCTTATTCGTCCACGGCAACCGAGCTCGGCGATAGTTCAGATGATGGAAGGCGCACACTGGCCGTCAACGGAAGGGTTGTCGTTGGAATAACGTGATCTTCTGCCAGGCTTCAGGACAGTAGTGGGGTGCTTCTGTCAAGTGCAAAGGTAGCCCTGATCTACCAATGTCGTGCATTTCTACCTGGGCCATGGCGTCTCCGTCTGGAACATTCGGTCGCTCGGCTCCGCTCGCGCCGAACGTCAAAGCTTGAGCTCTTCTGCTTCTGCATTAGAGCAAAGGCCCCCAACCTCTGATCTGGAGCTGAAAACCTGATGGACTATCGTCGCATCAGTTCTGGAGAGACGCAAAGTCTGTGGTGATAGGGGAAGCGGAGTATGGCGTTACCTACTCGAGGGTGGTGGGTTCGCT